AACCCTTTTTACACTGGACCACGTTGTGCAATTTCATCCAGCTCTGTAATAGTGTCCTTTCATAACACAAGCCATTTACAATTGTGAACATTGCATCCCTATTTGAATTCCCTTCCTTTCTGCAGTAGAAGAACACAAATGTCTTAACAACTCTCTCCATCAGCTGTCATGCCATTGTAGCAGGCTACAGCAGAGGGAGGAAGAGAAGAGCTGAAAGACCAGCAGCTTTTGGCTCTTCCTCTCCAAGAACTGTTTCTATCCCAGTTGGTCATTAGAAGAATTGCAGATAAGAACTGATACCTGAGTTTGCTTATTTCCTCCTTCCACACAATCCATTTTCCTTTTATGTCATGCCTTCTATTTTATAAGCCTTAAAGCAGGCAGTGTCTAGTTTCAGTGTGGTGTAGTGGTTAAGAGCGGTAGTCTCGTAATCTGGTGAACCGGGTTCGCATCTTCGCTCCTCCACATGCAGCTGCTGGGTGACCTTGTGCTAGTCACACTTCTCTGAAGTCTCTCAGCCTCACTCACCTCACAGAGTGTTGTGGGGGAGGAATGGAAAGGAGAATGTTAGCTGCTTTGAGACTCCTTAGGGTAGTGATAAAGTGGGATATCAAATCAAAACTCCTCCTCCTCCTCTTCTTCTTCTATTGATCTGTAAGCAGTTCTGGGAGCCTTTTTGGGCTGAAGGGTGGGGCAAAATGTATTTAAATAAACAAATGTTTCACAATAAAAAGACGAATAATAGTAACCAACTTTAACATGGATTTCTACTGAAGTTGGCAGGAAAGAATCTTTCATCTGCTATAGCGCACTGGGCATTTCCTTCCTATTATAGTTATTTTTCTTTCTCCTACACCAGAGGCATGTCGATGTGGTTGGACTACAACTCCAATCATCCCTGACCACTGGGTATGCTGTCTGAGCCTGATGGGATTTAAGAGTCCAACAGTATCCACAAAGCATGTCACAAGTTCTCCATCCCTGCCCTACAGAAAGGAAAGAACAATGAGAAGATGGTGGAATCCACACTGGCACAAGAGCAGATTAACTCGGAGGAGATAAAGCTTTGTGTGCTATAAATGCTGCTCAAGGACTGGTGTTTGCACTGAAGACGTACATCTGTAAACACTGCAAATTATGGGAACAAGGCCTACAAGTGGGAAGTAGTTAATTTATGTGCATTGCATGAGAGCTACCTTTGTGGGTGTATAACAGCATAGTTTATCCCGAGAGCACAGGCGCAAACATTTCAAAATAAACTCCTACTTGTTAATGCCTCTTGGTACTTGCATAAACATGGGGGAAAGAGACAAAATAGCACCCTGACGGGGACTTTAGATACACAAGATCATGTTCCAAAAGAATTAGAATGTGCTGTGCACCTGAGAAAATGTTGGGCACAGCCTAGCACATGGAGGTGGAGGGTGCATGAGTGGAAATAGGCCCTCTTCAAAAATCCATGCATATTTTAATTAGAAAATAGATATAGGTGGATGATCTGCTCTAAAGAAGACATTTACCTAACAGAACAGAAGAGTTCACCTAACAGCAAGTGGGAGACATTCTGGGGGGAAACAGGTACAGTACTGTACTTCTCAGATAGGTACAACTGAGCTCAAGTGCTAAGGCAAGTCAGGTAGTCCCCTTTGGAAAGGTCTGTGTTTATCGAGGAAGTTCCCTTGCTTAGAAAGCTGAGGGGGAAGGCCCAGGCAGTAGACCTCATTATCAGCTACTTAACTTGCTAAATGCTGGAGAAGCTGCCAGGTCAAAATGTCGGGAAATGTGTGTAAACAAATCTCTCACCTAATCAAACAAGGGCAATTAAGATGGCTGAACTGCAAGAAGAACAAAGTTGCGTGGGACAAAGAAAAGGATACAGGTCTTTTAATTAGAAAAAAAAAATATGTGTGGTCAGTTACAGCTGAACTCCTTACTCAAAAGAAAAGCAAGTCTTACTGATGGGAAGTCTTACTGATGGGCTTAAGATTACGCTCTTTAGGGTCCTTGAAACTAGTGCTGTCTTAATGCTGCACATTACATGAAGCCTGAGGGTACTCAGCAATCATATCCTCCTTATCACATCTCAGTGTCAGCCCTGGTCTACATGTTAGCAGTGGTGACTCCCTTCTCTCCCCCCCCCCCACCAGAAGCCCACCCCGCAGTACATCAGAGTAAAAAGAGCTTTGTTTGTGTTAGGCTGCTGCTGCAGCATGCCAATGTTCAGGGTCTAGGCTGGAGCAACTACAACATTTTCCTGACACAGGCAAGCCCGATTTATTTTACGGGTGATAATGAGATCCCTCCACTGAAACCTCATGTGCCACTTTGGAGGCACTCCACTAAAGAATAAAAGCTCTTGATTTGATTAGCAAAGCAGGATTGAAACTGGTTTGCAGTCTCTTGCATCCAAGTCCCAACCATCTACTGTCAGAAGTGATCGCCTCACTTATGCCCCATAGCCACTGCCAACAGTCTCAGAAATGCTACTTTTAATTAAAAACATTATTTCTAAATGTGCTTCACAGTTTGCGTTCTGGGTGAGAAGTGCTCCGAACGTCGTGAACTTTCAGACTGCTGCGCTGCCAATTGAAAGTGCCACTCTCTTTCCTTTTGTGACACAGAAAAAGGTAAAATGTTGACTTAGCAGTTGGTTCAAGGAGCATTTTGCTTCTGCAACCAGCTGGACAGGGTATCTTTATTTTATTTTTTGGGATAAGGGCTGGTAATGCCCTACTCTTAAAAGGACAGGAACTGGTTAAAGTGCAAAAGACAACAGTCTGCTTTGGTTAGAGAAATGCTTATGGAACTATCCCCCTTACAAGTACATGAACGGAGAAGCTATAAAAAAACAGAGATGTCACACGATTTTGCATGAGATATCCCTCAAGCTAGTGGCTAGATCAGGGGTAGGCAACCTAAGGCCCGTGGGCCGGATCCGGCCCAATCGCCTTCTCTATCCAGCCCGTGGACGGTCCGTGTTTTTACATGAGTAGAATGTGTCCTTTTATTTAAAATGCGTCTCTGGGTTATTTGTGGGGCATAGGAATTCGTTCATATTTTTTTTCAAAACATAATCCGGCCCACCACATGGTCTGAGGGACGGTGGACCGGCCCATGGATGAAAAAGGTTGCTGACCCCTGGGCTAGATTCGGAGATCTTTCTCATAAAATCCACATGGATCTAAAATTGCATGACATGATACACCTGCTGGAATTCCACCTCCTACACAATTATTAAACATTCAGGAATCCTTTCCTCTTTTTCTATCTGGCTGCCCGGATAGAAAGGACTCACCAGTGTGGCACAATGGCACCCCTGAGGACTCCCCCTGGTGCCCACAAAGTCTCTGAACCCCCCTCAACTCACTGCCCCATTTGTCACTCAGTTCTGTGTGCTTTTCAAGGCTCAGATCAGCATGAGAACAGATGAGAACAATGTTGGAGAGATGAAAATAAGAGGACCACTGACTTGGGGCACTTCCAGACTGTCGCTTTTTCTGAGTGGGATTCAATCATATACTTGAAAATACAGGTTACACAATTGCATCTGATAGGGAGAGGTCTGGTGTAATAAACCCACTTCCCGAAAAGATCGGACTTCTTGTGATAAGGAAAGTGACAGGTGAGATAGCACTTGCTTTGAGGCAATGCTGTTTAGCCTTCCTGCAAACAAATCTGAATGAATGCTCAATAAACACGTCATCTGGAAGCAAAGCCAGGAAGCTATAGGCTCCAACCTCACCTTAAGTCACAAGCGCACTGCTTGCTGCTTAGGCTTGTGGAATACGGGGCTAATAATGAGAGCCAACCTCAGAGCTGTGATAGCCAGTCCATACACACCCCAAAAAAGTGTAGAACAGAAAATTTCAGGAGCTGCACGACAAGTTACACTTGTAAGAATTCACTCTTCTGCACAACTATCAAAGATACAGGAGCCCTGTCCTCTCTTGCATTTTCCACCTACCTGTCAAACTTGTCCCCCCAGTGCTAGTGGAGGAGATAATTAACTGGATCACCAGCCAAATATAGCCACTTACCCCTGCATAAGAGGGTCCATTCTCTTATGCTAGGTTGCCTAGGAGCCTTATTTTGAAGTCCAGGTACACAGTGCCTGGGGGTAAAGGTAAAGGGACCCCTGACCATTAGGTCCAGTTGTGGCCGACTCTGGGGTTGCAGCGCTCATCTCGCTTTATTGGCGTACAGCTTCCGGGTCATGTGGCCAGCATGACTAAGCCGCTTCTGGCGAACCAGAGCAGTGCACCGAAACGCCGTTTACCTTCCCGCCTGAGCGGTACCTATTTATCTACTTGCACTTTGATGTGCTTTCGAACTGCTAGGTTGGCAGGAGCAGGGACCGAACAACAGGAGCTCACCCCATCACAGGGATTCGAACCGCCGACCTTCTGATCGGCAAGTCCTAGGCTCTATGGTTTAACCCACAGTGCCACGCGCGGCTGGGGTTATTATTCAACAAAATTTTACTAAGAGTAGACCTATTGAAATTAATGGACCTAACTTACATCATGTTCCTTAATTTCAACGGGTCTGCTATGAGTAAAATTCAGCTGAATATTTTTCCTGATCGATATGTCATAGTAAGCCAAAATGTGGCTTAGTGCAAATGCATGAGCATGCAGGCGCCAGAGAACAAGCTTGTTGCTGCAATGAATTGTAGAACTGTAGAGTTGAAAGGTACCCTGAGGGTCATATAGTCCAACCCCTCCCCAATGCTAAACCCCCTGAAATATCAGCTAAAGCATCCATGACAGATGGCCATCCAACTTCTGCTTAAAAACCTCCAAGAAGGGGAGTCCACAAGCTCCCAGGGTCTGAGACCATTCCATTGTCGAATTCAGCTGTTAAGGTTGCTTATTCCAGGTTAAGCTCTCTCCAAACTAAACATGACCTATAACCAAGGTTTGTTCTCTTTTCTATATAACCTTCAGTTACCTTTATAAAGAAAGCTTTTGAAATTAAACCAATCTACAAACTGGGCTTTCCCTGAGGTTAGACACACAACAGCAAGAAAATGGAAGAAGCCATCAGACTGTAAAAGCATCTATGCAGATTTTTTAAAAAAGAAAAGAAAATGAAAAAATCATTTCTTTTAATTTCCTTTCCTTTTATTTTTCATGAAGATCTTCCCTAAAGCCTCAGCTCTTGCTCATTCTTCATCTGCCGTTGTGTTTCTCATGTAGGCTCTGTGGACTACAAGGTCCAAGTTCTGTTGGAGACTGACATTAGCAAAAAAGAGAGAGAGGGAAGATACAAATGCTACTACATGTTGCATTATTTCTCTCTTTGTCCTGTGCATGATACTTTTTGTTTTTGTGTTGTTGTTTTTAAAAACAGATGGTCAGAAGAAACTTTGTAACCTCTTGGGTATTCAAAACTCACCTGGTTTTGTGTTTACATTTTGGGAGATTTGGAATAGCCACATGGCCAAAAGGCAGAGGCATTGCTAGGTACTCAAGAGATCTGGGCACTGGACCCAGGGATACAACACCTGGAGGGAGACCATGAGGCCTAAACTCACTGCTGTGAATACTTTGCTCTCCCTTCCTCAACTCCTAAGGATGAGACAAGGCCTTTTCTTTCTTTGCCCTATCACCAGCCATGAAAGCTTTCTTCTCTCCTCTGCAAGCTTCACAGGGACCACATGTCTTCCATAGGTTTTGTCCTCCCTTTTCTTCACCCTCTCTGCTACTGAGACAGTCCTCTCCCTTCCCCCACAGAGGGAATCCTTATCCTTAATTTTTGCCCCACCAGCCACAAAGGCTTTTTTACCCCTCAAGTCCTGCAGAGACCACAAGGCCTTTTACAAGCCTTCTATTCTATTCTATTCTATACTATACTATCCCCTCCTACGGAGGTCTTCCTCTCCCCTCCCTAATTCCCATGAAGACACCAAGGTCTCCTCCTTGTGGGATTTCCACTCCTCACTGGTTCTCAGCCAGGCACTGATCTGTTTTAAAGTTGTTGGTTTCTGGTTTGTGCTGTTGTGTTTTGACATCTACCTTATCTTTTTATTTTTAATTGCACTTAAAAAAAATATTGTTATGTTTAGCAAGCCACTTTGAAAATTAATGAAATGCAGCCAGGCTATAAGGGAGGCAATTCTTGGAGGAGCATGCAAGCACATCATTTGTGCAGAAAATGCATACTGTCCATTCTGCCCACTTTCTCTGGTCCATGAACTGGAGGACATGCAACTCACTCTCAGTTACTGATCCCTGTAACATGCTTGAGTTTCTGTTTCTTCACTTGAAATTGCCAAGCGATTTGCTGATCTGTTCAACAGAGTTGCTGGTTGCCTTCCAATCTGAGCTGCTGCAAAGGGGAGGCCAAAGCAGGTCTGACCCCGGCTAACAACGAACCCCAGGAGCACTCTGTGCCATAATAAATAATGCAGGACAAATAGAGAGGAAAAAGGCATGAGATGTGGGAAATGTGATATCTCAGTTTGGAGGCCCAGGTGGACCAACTTGGCAGCCTCTGAGGGAAACGGAATAAGTGTGAGAAATCACTCATCCTTAATAAAGACTAGTTTCATAGACCTTGCTGGTTGTGAGAAGCAGTCAGCTTCAACGAGTCACTGAAAATGAAAATAAAAAGTGCATTTTTTTCACTTCAGAGGATTCGACAGTTGATTAAATACCAAAAGAAGGAGCTTGGCAGTAAAAGGACTAGACGTCCGCTTCAGGGAATACAGGGCTGGCCTCTTGTGACTTGGGTTCATTTCTCAGCTTGGTGTCTCTAATGGATACTAGCCCACATCACTGCCTTGACTCTTTTTGAGTAAAGGGTTCAGCACACTGCAGCAGGGTTGATCATCCTTGGTCAGAAAGGAAGAAAGGGAGCGGAAGCCTTTGACAAGGTTGTGACAAAACTGTAGAACAGACTTCCTCAGCCTGGTTTCCCCCAGAAGTTTCAGACTACAACCCCCATCAGCCCCAGCCAGTGCTGTGGCCCAAAACCTCTGGAGGGAACCAGGTTGGTGAATTCTATTGTGGAATCTCATAGAATCATAGAGTTGGAAGGTACCCCCAAGGTAGCCCAATCTCTTGCAATTCAGGAATCTCAACTTGATCATACATGGCAGATGGTCATCCAACCTCTGCTTAAAAATCTCCAAAGAAGAAGAATCCACCACCTCTTGTGGGAGTCTGTTCCACTGTTGAACAGTCAGAAGGTTCTTCCTCATGTTTAGTTGGAATCTCCCTTCTTGTAACTTGAATCCATTGGTTCAGGTCCTAGTCAAAGAAAGCAAGCTGGTTCCATCCTCCCTGTGACATCCCTTTAAATATTGGAATATGGATATCATATCTCCTCTTAGTTTCCTCTTTACAAGGCTCAACATACCCAATTGCCTCTACCGTTCCTCATAAGGCTTGGCTCCAGACCCTTGATCAAAGGCACAAGGCCTCAACATAAATGCAAGTGATTCCATCTGTTTAAATACATTTGACTGTGGCCCTTTCTTTTTGAGCAGTTGAACAAAATACTGCCTAAGCGCTTTTACTTATATCTCCACACACAAGAAAGGGACTAAAAAGAGAGAGAGCTAAAAATTGAGGGAGAATTCTGCCATGTTCTTATGGAATAAATGCTACCCGCCCCAGCCCGGGCTATGGATTCGAAGGGTGCTTGGAAATTGGCAGCTGGGTGTAGAATGGCACACTTTTCATAAATAAAAGTACAGTACTCAAAGTCTTCCTGGAAATGATACCAGAGGTGGGGTGTGTGTGTTTTTTAAAAAGTTGTGGGTAAATTCCCACCCCCAACTTTGATGAATTCCCCACCCATGAATGCAAACTTCCCCATCAGCAAAGTGCCCTATTCCGTTCACTCAATCACTTTCTGCTGAGAGCTGCGTTCCAAGGGATGGGGAAATCTGTCAGTTCTTACTAAGTGGTTAATTCAGTATTCACACAGAGAGAGAAAGGAATGCGGTCTCTCTTAGATAATGGCGTTGCTCGAAGTAAAATGCCACCCCCTCAATCCCTCCTATCCTATGTCATCCCTAAGCCAGCTGATCAGTGCCTTCTGCCTCTGAGCTTTCTGTTCTACTACTCTCAATGCACACCTGGTCCAGGGAAGGGGGGCGGGGTCAGGAATGCTTTCTAAAGACACTGAGTCTGTCAGATGTCTCTCCACTGGTGGTGCTTCTTCCTGCTGCTCTCCCAATATTTCCCAGCTTCTCCCCTCTGCAGCCTCTGAACTATGACCCTCTGCAAACCACTGTTCTAAATCTATACTGTCCTCCTCTTCTCGGGAAGGTTCAGGAAGAGCAGGGGTGGTCCCCACCATTCCTCCTCAGTCCAGTCCCTGACATCACCCTACTCCTTGAATTACTAGGTCCATTTCTGGTCTTCCTTTCTCTTCCTCTGATGAGCATTTGTTTTCTGGGTTCACAGTGTAGCAGCCCCCTCTCCTTTCTCTCCCCACCCCTTACACACATAAAATGTGGAAGAGGAACTGGTTCTCAGAGGGGTGGGCAACAGAGCAAGTTTTACAGAGCGTCACATGAGATTAGGTTCCCCACTGCAGGCCTTGAGAGTAGAACCAATAGCCAATGAACTGTTGAAAAGAACAGCGTATGTTCATACTTAAGCCAAACCCTATTTCAGTTGCACAATGGTCAGCACAACGTGTACCACAGTATTCGTGGGCTAACAATCATGACCCACACTGGAATTTACTGGGTTTGACTATGTCAGAACTAGATTTGATATAATAAAGTAGTTCCACTGCAAAAAAGAAGTACGGTACATTTATGTTTATAGTGAAGGCTGTCCAAATGTTTGCTTTCCCAAGTTATGTATGTTATGTTTCAATTTGCTTAAAGCATTCCAAATGAAGGTGATTATACACTGTGGGAGGGAGAGGGAGGTGAGATGGCTTTTTGAGTCTCTAAAATTTCCTTCAGTAAGGGAATATTTGCTGATGACCAACAGAATGTCATATGATATACTTGGACAGGGCCCCTGAGGTTGTCAGATACTCAAGTAACAGTGTTATGAAAGCAGACATCTTATAAATAATTATAAAAAAATCTGTTCCATTCCTTTGCACTGACCCCAGATGGGCCAGCAAGGCCCTCAAAGATGCTGCTTTTTATGTCCACTCAAATTTGTTAAGAAGATCAACACTTGACAAAGAGTCTATCATTGCAAAAGAAGCTTGCAGCTTTCTAATCAAAAGATCTGTGTGTCTTCATGGTAGACATAAGTAATTGCTAGTTATTACTACCGAAAAGTAATTAATCCATTGCCCTGCTTCGGTTTTGACATCAGAGAAAAGATAAATATGGCACGTTGTTATTGATCAAACTTTTATTTTGTTCACTGCAAAAATAACATAAAATCAGATGTAGTAAGCTCTTACATGTTGAGGTACGGTCACCTGGTTGCTTTGAGCACAGGGAAAGCAGTCATAAGAATGCAAAAGGAGCCCTTCTGGATTCAGCCAAGGATCCATCTAATCTGATATCCTGTTTACAGCAGCGGCCAACCAGATGGCATAAAAAGCTGCAGCCTTTCACTGCTATTTGCCTCTTTGCCAGCAGGTGGTACTCTGGTGACTACCACCTCTGAATCTTAAAAGTTCCATTTAGCAGTCATGGCAAACAGTCATTGGTAGACTTATCATGGAATGTCAGGAATTCCTGACCACAGCGCTATGTGGTGCGTTGCATCACCACAGCATCTTGGGGAAGAAAATTCCAGACTGACTTTGACCAAGCTAGCCATTGGCTCATTCTAGACAGGAAGGAGTATACGAAGACTTCCTGTCTCTGTGACAACAGCCACGTGGATGTTACTAGCCCAGAGATGGTAATAAGACAAAGTCTCTACCAGAGAGGAATGGCAAATCAAGCTGTTGGACTATGCCGAAATGGCAAAATTGACCAGAAAGCTCAGGAACCAAGAAGATCAAAACTTCAGCAAAGAATGGGAAATTTTTTTAATTTATCTAGGAGACCACAGTAAGCAGATGAAAACCTTAACAGGATTCTAATAACACTTGTAATGTAGAGAATACTATGGACAATATGGAAAGATATAAAATATGGATTATGAAATAATATGCAGTTGAAAGGGTGTACAATAGGACCCATGGAGGGAAAGGTGGGAAGTCCAGAGATTTGGAGAAATCTCTAAATATGGATATGTAATTTGGAATGTTATAATTTTATAATTGTAAAACCAAATAAAAATTATTATTATTATTATTGTATATAAAAAGACTTCTTGTCTCAATAGCTAGAACAACAAGGTCTACCTAAACTCTGTTTCTGCTCTTATTCTTGGTGGATAGGTAAAGGTTTACATTTATCTTTCAGAAGAACCATCCCTTATTAGAATAAATCCTGCTACTGTATTTCGACATCTGCCAGGAGACTGCAGTACAGTGGCACCTTGGTTCTCAAACTTAATCCGTTCCGGAAGTCTGTTCTAAAACCAAAGCGTTCCAAAACCAAGGTGCACTTTCCCATAGAAAGTAATGCAAAACGGATTAATCCGTTCCAGACTTTAAAAAACAACCCCTAAAACAGCAATTTAACATGAATTTTACTATCTAATGAGACCATTGATCCATAAGATGAAAGCAATAATCAATGTACTGTACTATAAAATAAATAAGACAGTATTGTAGATGATAAAAAATAAAATTAATTTTTTTTCTTACCTGCACTGATGATAGAGATTGTTTGGATGGGGGACTTTTATCCATTTCTGCAGTCCCATAATCCATCCATCAGTAGCTGAACTGGGTTCCATACAGTCGCAAAAACAAATGAACCAAAAACCAAAAGCAAAAAAGCAAAATACAGAGCAAAAACAAAAGCGCCAAACTTAATCCATTCCGGAAGTCCGTTTGACTTCCAAAATGTTCGAAAACCAAGGCTGATTGGTGCAGGTGGCCTGGAAACAATAGCTGACAGCTGCATTGGACGTTCGGCTTCTGAAAAGAGTTCAAAAACTGGAACACTTACATCCAGGTTTTCGGCATTTGGGAACCAAGGCATTTGAGAACCAAGGTACCACTGTAGTAAACTCTAGCTGGAATTAGCAGAGGTGAATGCAATCTTCAAGAGAAAGTTATTTTATGGCATCTTCTCCTGAAGTAGGATCCCTCAACCAGAATGGTGAGGTGGAGACACCTTCCCCTCACCAGCACCTCTGTAGCTTATGAGGGTATGGCAAGGCAGCATTGAGATTAGGGCTGCACAGGTGTACTGATGGAGCCAGACTGATGTTTCTGCTGTTGGTGTGTCTATCCAGTCCCAGCTTTGCCACTGCCCTGCCCCATCCCAATCCAGGTAAGTGGCAAGTGTCAGGCGGGTGGCTCCACCCCACTTCAAAGGCCACTACTGCCCAGTGTGGTGTAGTGATGAGAGCGGTGGACTCGTAATCTGGTGAACTGGGTTTGATTCCCTGCTCCTCCACATGCAGCTGCTGGGTGACCTTGGGCCAGTCACACTTCTCTGAAGTCTCTCAGCCTCACCCACCTCACAGAGTGTTTGTTGTGGGGAAGGAAGGGAAAGGAGAATGTTAGCCGCTTTGAGACTCCTTTGGGTAGTGATAAAGCGGGATATCAAATCCAAACTCCTCCTCTATTGGGTACAACATGGTTTCCATTCTACTCCAACCCCTGAATCCATTGCTAATCAATTTCATCCGGTGGCCCTGAGTACTTGTATTAGGAGAAAGTGCAGAAAGTTTCCAGCATCTGTGTAACATAAATAATTTCACATACCTCTATATCACATTTCTAGTTGTCTTTTTTTTGGGGGGGGGGGGTTTCTCCCCCTGTCTCTAAAGTTACTATCAACCCAGATTCTGAGTTTTCAATGTGGGAAACATTTTGCCTTGCCAACATAAAAGGCTTCCAAAGGTTTGGAAGTACTAGATTGTTCGGAAAAAGATTATGGACTTCCCTACCTATTATTATATTTGTATACAGCCCTTCATATGAGGATCTCAAAGTGGTTCACAGCCTACTGAAGCCCAATTGCCCCCTCTCCCAGTGATGTTTTTAGCCACCACCCAAATATCTTTTTATTCCAACAGGCATTTACCATTCCAGGTTGCTGATGTTTTTAGGCCATTATATAACTGTATTTTAAAGATCTGCTGCCTCTTTTTTTATTTAATTCTAGACAGCCTCTTAAAAAGCAGAGACATCACCTTGCCAACAAAGGTCCATATAGTTAAAGCTATGGTTTTCCCAGTAGTGATGTATGGAAGTGAGAGCTGGAACATATAGAAGGCTGATCGCCGAAGAATTGATGCTTTAGAATTATGGTGCTGGAGGAGACTCTTGAGAGTCCCATGGACTGCAAGAAGATCAAACCTATCCATTCTGAAGGAAATCAGCCCTGAGTGCTCACTGGAAGGACAGATTGTGAAGCTGAGGCTCCAATACTTTGGCCACCTCATGAGAAGAGAAGACTCCCTGTAAAAGACCCTGATGCTGGGAAAGATGGAGGGCACAAGGAGAAGGGGACGACAGAGGACGAGATGGTTGGACAGTGTTCTCGAAGCTACCAGCAGGAGTTTGACCAAACTGCGAGAGGCAGTGAAAGACAGGAGTGCCTGGCGTGCTCTGGTCCATGGGGTCACGAAGAGTCAGACACGACTAAACGACTAAACAACAACAACAAATTATTTCAGTGTTTTGTTGTATCATTTTGCACTTGATGGATTGCTTTACTGAAGGATCTAAGCTGCCTTGACAATGCAGGGTATAAATTGTCTAAAGAATATAGTAATTAGTGCAATAAAAAGCCCAGGTCGACAAATCAGCACCAACTGCCTTAACCAGCTTTACTGAGGTTAGCTACAGACAGCCCACAAACCACAACTCACAATTAGTTCATGTTTAAGACTATATGCAACAGGAGTAGAAAGTGGTCTTTTCAGAGGCCTCTTTCTAACACAAACTGTAGCAAGCATTTAGAAGCCCAGCAAAAATAGTCCTATGTCACACTCTTGTCGCATCCTGTAAAAAGAAGCTGGGCCCGCCATTCTGGGTCCTGGTGACACTATTATTAATGAATTGGCTTGTGGTGCCAATTCATACAATTCGTTTGTCTGTGTATGCATATGTGGGAAAAGTCTCCCATGTTTACAAGGCCCAATGAACAGATTGTCCTCAAACATTGTGGTATTAAATTTTGCTGCACTGGTGTGCTGAAATCAGGGTGTGGAGGAAGTATAGGAAGACTTAGACTGCAAAGTGAAGTCAGACTTACATAGATTGAAAGGTATGTCACAATAAGGCAGAAGTCCAAGGGGCTCAAGGGTCACAGAGCCTATCAAGTGACTAACTGAACCACATGTCAGAGCCAGAGGCAACTCCATGACCCCCATCACAGCCAGCTGCCACTGGACTTGTACATGGAGCCAGATGCTGTGTCTTGGAATTCTTCTTCCACAGGTTGGCATTTGGATCCCAGGACTGTCATCCTGAGAGGAGGAAGGCTGGTTGCAATGTGGAGTGATAAAAACCAAAAAGGCAGCACTGGGCTGCATCTGGGACTTTCAAAACCACTGGGTTATAAATTAAACAAATATTGTCCAAATGCTTCGCATAGATTGGAAACAAAGGAAAGGCAAAAGCACAGAGAGTGTTTTCTTTAGGAAAACCGAAAACAACAACATTGCTTCCAGTTACAGCAGCCAGTTGTCAACTATATCCTACCTTCTTCCAATGAAAAGTTGTTTCAGCAAAGCAAACGTAACCCTCCTATGTTCAGAATGGTTTACTTGTCCTATCAAAGAGGAACCGATTATTTATATGGTATTATATTAATTTACATTTCCACCTACAATTTTAGGGACCATTTAATATTGTAGTATATATTAATAAAACATTACAATGAAAAAAGTTACTTTACAATGAAAAAAGTTACTTAAATAAACTTACTTTTAATGTAAAATTATTAGTATTAATTTTAAATTAATTAAAAAACTCAGGTCCGCTACATGAGTACATTCTTTAATAAGCATATCTACATGGTACAGTATTTTCAGTGATAAATAAAATCAATATAAAGTTTTTAAAAATGCTATTATTTCCAGAAAATAAAACACAAATAATCAGTAATGGCAAGTTACATAACATCAGAAATTCATATTACTATCTGCTTAGAGAAGTAAGGCAACACACAACATATTTAAATATAACTGATAAACTGTCACAAGAAAGAAATTTATTTAAAAAATAGGCTTTAAGTAACAAGTCTCATCATTCATTATTTACACTGGCAATATCACGGCTTCACTTATTATTTACTAGATTTTTAAAATGTGGGTTGTAAAAATGGTTCTTACATTAGAATTTTTTAGCAGAGAATATTCTCCGGAGAATGTTCTCACCTCACCTCACTATTCACTCCCAAGTAAATGTGCATAGGATTGCAGCCAAAGTCATTTAAAAAAACCAGAAGAAATTTATATAGGATGCATAGGACTTCTGTATTTTTCTACATGGGTACCTAAAGAGAAAGGTACAATGAATGCAATGGGACTCAGGCCCAGAACCAGCACACAACATATTTGGGCAAGCAGTAGGGCTATGAGCACTGCTGCTGCCCCAGCTTTTTCTGGGTGAAGGCTTTTGCTGTTTGCCCAGAATGTCATCTGACATGGAATGGGACAGCCCAGCAATAGCTGGGTCTGAACTCACTGGTGCCATTTTAGGCTATGTACATACTCTGGTTTACTCTGGACTTGTTATATGGCTTTGGGTAGTCTCATCTGTAAAATGGGAATAGTTGCAACACGCCTCCCTCAGCTCTTGTGAATGCAATGAAGACCATGACAACACTTTTGCAGATTCAAAGATGCCAGGTAATTAAACTGGCCAACAGTTGTGACATCCGTGACACATCTGCAAAACACTGAACATAATAATATCCTCTCACCAGAATATGACACTGGAAGCAATCCAACTATAGGTTAAGCCATTTTATTGTTTACAGTGGCAGAATGTTAAGCACGTGCTTACATTTCCTACTCAACTCAATGACCCTTAAATGTGCTAAGCATGCTTATTTCTGGAAGTATTACAGCTCTAACTGAAGTCTCCCTTGCTTGCGAACTCTGAATGCATGCAGCTATTAGTGCTTTTATTTCATACAAAATCAGACATATTCACACTCATTTATTGCCCTACTGTGCCGGAAAACCCCCCTACTTACGTCTTTCACAACATTTAATCTGGAGAAGGTGGGAGGTTTCCTATAATTGCTGCCCCTAATTATATTACTGGTGTGCTACATCTTTAATGTGCCATAGCTGTAATATCAGAGGTGCCGGTAGGGTGTGGGTATGTGTGTGTGTGTGTGTGTGTTTTAAATCAAGGCAAGGAAAACAAAAACAGAAGAAAGGACAAGGAAAAGACAAGTGTTTTGTAGGGAAACTGAAATGCTTAAAAATCACAGACTGGTGTTAAATCCTGAACTTTAGTGAGCAGGAGATGAGCTGGGTTCATCTAACACCAACAAACATGATATAGCCAAGGGGTATTTCACCCTGGTTAAATACCAGATGAATTAAAGGCCGTTGCCAGCAGCTACACTGAATGTCACTGGGATGCAGCCTGATTGCTTGCTGAGTGCTATGAGTGAAGTATGTCGGCTCCTTCTTTGTTAAGGTCAGCCTAGATTTGGAATGGTTCATCTGCGGGGCTTTGCTGGAGGCACCATTGAGAACACAGGTGTTGGGAAATGTCTCTTTTGTGCAGCACTGAATAGTGTCAGAGGACATTCGGCATCCGTCAATGTGTTGGCAGTTTACAAGATGGACTCACCAATCAGGGCGCAGAACAGAGTGGCATTTTTAGTAAGGTGAAAAGAAACTTTTAAAACGAAGAAGCCGCAGCTCATATCTTGCTTCACAAAGGCATGAGTGGCATCACAACTGGACAGATCTTGAATGAAGCCTAGTCCTTTCCCACAGCTCAGCAATACTGTTTGCATCTCTGGATTACTCATAAGATCACAGAGCGTCAAGAGAAAAATCTAGTTTACCACACAGTGGATGGTTGTGCTTTGAACACAAATTGCAATGGTTGGTGGCCAAAGCAAATAAATATCTACTATCATCACATTCTGTCTATTAATCAAAGCATGTTGAATCCTTTTCAAGTTCACTTGTAGACTTTCATTTGAGCAAACTGCACAATTTGCTTATTGACTTGTCCCATCGTGCCTCATGGGCTCTTTGGACAGGATTGGGCATTGATGATTAGAAGGTGACATCTGGTAGACTTCTTGAATCAGTGGGTGGTCTCTATGTCTTCCAAGAGGCCTTTGCACCATGAATGTTGTCCCAATGTTCCACACCCTGATATTTTAATCTGTTCTAAAGTTTGTATATTTTATGTTTTATATTTTGTAACCTGGTGTTGCTCCGGAATTCTAAGAAACCAAAATATCAGTGCAGTTTTGAAAGATTGAGTCTGCCATCTTGATTCAAAGTGGCATCCAATTATACCTAAGCATAGACAAAAATCTGCTCCTTGATCTGAGGAACCATCATGCAAAATTTGGTTATGATATCTTAAGAAGTCTCCAGATGCATAGTGAATAGACAACTTACCAAAATATGTAGTAGATGCATTGTTTAACTGAATAATAATGTCTGTTGATTAACTTAAAAATCAGAATCAATCAGTCTGGGGATTTAGTCCTGGGCTAAGTGGTGATTCTTAGTATATATCAGATTAGACAAATTAATACTAATAATTTTACATTAAAAGTAAGTTTATTTAAGTAACTTTTTTCATTGTAATGTTTTATTAACATATACTACAATATTAAATGGTCCCTAAAATTGTAGGTGGAAATGTAAATTAATACCATATAAATAATCGGTTCCTCTTTGATAGTACAGTACAAGTAAACCATTATTGTAGTAATTAAAAGAAAGGAACAGATGAATAATAGATTTATGCAATGCATTTATTCTCATACTTAGGTACTTTCAGCATTATTTTCAACATATTATTAAATCTCTCCAGTACTACTTATATGATATTTTTATATACCTTTGAATTATTTACACCACTGTAAATTACCTGTATCATTGTATATGATATTACTACTCCTACTATATTTTTAAAGATAAGAAAAAAGTTACAGCCTCAAGCTCTTAAACTGGAAGGGTGCAAGGTCAGTCTCCCTGGGCAAAAACAGAACAACAACTTAATAACTTTTAGCACAAATTAAGTTATATTGTCTGCCTAAATCCACTGGGCTGGGGTAGGGATAGTTCTCAGAGGATGGATTAAAAGCAAGGTTCTAAGCATTCTTTCCCCATTCACTGTTATAGCCTTTGGACCTCAGTCTTGAAACCCTCTCTATTGAGCTCTGTCCAGGGTTCTGATACTTTGTCTGCCTTCCCAAATTCCTGATTTGCCTTATGCTCTGAACCACGGCTGCCTGAAAACCCAGTCTACAGCCCTGGGTAGCAGAAGCTTCTCCTGCTAGATCATGAAATGTTTAAAATAGCAGCCATATTTCAAGCCGATACCTGTTTTCATCTTCAGGGCCACTTTAGATAAGCATGCTTGATTCATCCTGCACTACGCTGGGGTAAAGGGATTTCATGGGGAAGTATACTCTATGGACCACACTCCAGAAAGTGTGACCACAATCCTGGAAATCGGAGGAGTATATTCATGGATTTCTTTATTTCTCCTTGCACTCTGTGTATCCAAGAATGATACAGAGTTTTCATAAAGGGGTCACAACTCCAAGTAGTCTGGTTCATTACCTTTGTGAATGAAGGGCAGCAGAGGACAATGGAAAGCCTTAAAAAAACCACATCTATTGGCTACATAAATATGGTTTCTGGTCACTAAGTCCAGCCACTACAAGTGTGAACACTTTGTCCCAAACATTTTATGTTGATCCTTAGAAGAAGAAACAGAAAAGGACTGTGGATGAACCCTATTTTCTTTCTTTCTTTTTTAAACCCCCCCCCCCCCGAGATCCTTGACTTTGTAAGTGTGAAGGAAAGCTACCAACCTACCACTTCGCATAAATGTCACATTAAACCCTATTGCTGTCAGGCCTAATTGAAATTTACAGGCCCAATAGTCCTTGTATTAACTGAAGAACTGTCAGACTTCATTACTTCCAGTGGACTCTGACAATTTTGTCTTAACATTATAGCACGTCAGTCTGTTTTCCCTTGATAGCAGGAAAGTAACATAACATCTGCATTTCTCCACTCCAGCAGTGGAGTTATTGCAACTACTATGATAAGTAAGCTGTTGTCCAAAATAAGGAGGACTAATCATTCCAATGTGAGAAGTATCTAAATGGGGGGGGGGGGAGGCTCATGTAACAAAGATTGATCTTTGTGAAGCAGATATAGTGTTTACTTAGGTCCTTTAACCCAGGGAACCTGTGGCCCTCCAGATACTGTTGATCTCCAGCTCCCATCAGCCCCAGCCAATACAGCCCTTGGTCTTGCAGTGGTTGAAAGACTGATCAAGGTGGCTCCCACAAACCATCAGAGAGGCAGCACCTGCCAGTATCACTGGTAGAATTTATGCAACATGGTTTCTTCTGCTCCACCCTTCCTCTTTGTCACTAAATCAGCCAGTGAGCTCAGTTGTCCCTTGAAGCAGGAATGGAATAGTAATAAGCGCCCACAAGTGATATACTGAAATTGCACAAGCGCTAAAATGTTTTGCCTTACTACTCAGCCCCAAAGTGTCCACTGGTAAAATGGTGGCTACCATCTTAGGAATAGGTAAAGTGCCAAACAGCTGGCATGGACAAGGATTCAGGCCGCATCACGGGACTGAAACTGCCTTGGTCGCACTGGTTGATGGTCTCCGGCGGGCTAGGGACAAAGGTGAGAGCTGTTTCCTAGTTCTGCTGGATCTCTCAGCGGCGTTCGATACCATCGACCATAACATCCTTCTGGACCGTCTTGAGGGTCTGGGAGCTGGGGGCACTGTCATACAGTGGTTCCGCTCCTTCCTCCTGGGCCGTGTTCAGAAAGTGGGGGGGGGGGAATGAGTGATGAGCCCCCTCCCCCATGCTTTTCAACATCGACATGCAGCCGCTGGGAGAGATCATCAGGCGGTTTGGGCTGGATGTTCATCAATATGCGGATGATACCCAGCTCTACCTCTCTTTCAAATCAGAACCAGTGAAGGCAGTGACGGTCCTGTGTGAGTGTCTGGAGGCGGTTGGAGGATGGATGGCGGCAAACAGATTGAGATTGAATCCTGACAAGACAGAAGTACTGTTTCTGGGGGACAGGAGGCGGGCAGGTGTGGAGGATTCCCTGGTCCTGAATGGGGTAACTGTGCCCCTGAAGGACCAGGTGTGCAGCCTGGGAGTCATTTTGGACTCACAGCTGTCCATGGAGGTACAGGTTAAATCCATGTCCAGGGCAGCTGTGTACCGGCTCCAACTGGTACGCAGGCTGAGACCCTATCTGCCTGAGGACTGCCTCGCCAGAGTGGTGCATGCTCTGGTTATCTCCCGCTTGGACTACTGCAATGTGCTCTACGTGGGGCTACCTTTGAAGGCTACCTTTGAACTACAACTAATCCAGAACGCAGCAGCCAGACTGGTGACTGGGAGCGGCCACCGAGACCATATAACACCGGTCTTGAAAGACCTACATTGGCTCCCAGTACGTTTCCGAGCACAATTCAAAGTGTTGGTGCTGACCTTTAAAGCCCTAAACGGCCTCGGTCCAGTATACCTGAAGGAGCGTCTCCACCCCCATCGTTCTACCCGGACACTGAGGTCCAGCACCGAGGGCCTTCTGGCGGTTCCCTCACTGTGAGAAGCCAAGTTACAGGGAACCAGGCAGAGGGCCTTCTCGGTAGTGGCGCCCTCCCTGTGGAACGCCCTCCCACCAGATGTCAAAGAGAACAACAACTACCAGACTTTTAGAAGACATCTGAAGGCAGCCCTGTTTAGGGAAGCTTTTAATGTTTGATGTATCACAGTATTTTAATATTCTTTTGGAAGCCGCCCAGAGTGGCTGGGGAAACCCAGCCAGATGGGCGGGGTATAAATGATAAATTATTATTATTATTATTATTATTATTATTATTATTATTCAAAAGTAGTGCCGATTTCCATACCAAGTTACTTTCTATTGTAAGTCACAATAAGATAGCAAAACAGTAGAATATTGAAAGCACTGTTAACAAAAAATAAAAATAAAAAGTAGAACTTCTATTTCATTTGTCACCCAAGTAATTGTCTGGTGGACATGCACAAACAGAGCTTAATGAAGAAGCACACCCTCAGGACTATTTCTTATGCTGTAGATTCCCTGACTCCAAACTGGAAGGTAGCTTAATGGAAGCATTCCATAATGGGTACAACTAATAGGTAAAGGTAAAGGGTAAAGGACCCCTGGACAATTAAGTCCAGCCAAAGGTGACTAAGGGGTTGTGGCGCTCATCAGGCCAAGGGAGCCGGTGTTTGTCCACAGACAGCTTTCTGGGTCATGTGGCCAGCATGACTAAACCACTTCTGGTGCAATGGAACACCATGATGGAAACCAGAGTGCATGGAAACGCCGTTTACCTTTCCATTGCAGTGATACCTATTTATCTACTTGCACTGGCATGCTTTTGAATTGCTAGGTTGGCAGGAGCTGGGACAGAGCAACGGGAGCTCACCCCATCACAGGGATTTGAACTGCTGACCCAGTGGCGTAGCGTGGGGGGATGCAGGGGGGGCCAGCCGCACCGGGTGCAACATCTGGCGGTTAGGGTTAGGGTGCGCAAATCCACGGGTTAGGGGGCGCAAATTACTTGCCTTGCCCCGGGTGCTGACAACCCACGCTATGCCACTGTGCTGACCTTCTGATCGGCAAGCCCAAGAGGCTCAGTGGTTTAGACCACAGTGCCACCCTTGCCACATATTTCTCAGTAAAGATGGTTTCCCATATGTTGTTTCTTTATCATGGACCCAAGTTCCATGCAGCATGGGGCCAGACTTACTTCAGGGAAAGTTCATTAGGCAGTTACAGTGGGCAAAGTCACAGCAAGTGGAGTTACATCAGGTAAGGTCACATCAGATAATGATCTCTTTCAGGGAACTGCAGCAAAGGGCATTCAGGTTAAGACAAACAGGATCAGAACCCCTAGATAGCTCCCAATGAACTGGCTGGAGTTGAAAGGAATAGAAAAATGTTGCCCCAGTACAGAGTCAAAGTCATCTGATGTCTTCTAAGAGCTTATAAGAACAGTCACAACCTTTTTCTACATCAAGTCCTGCCTCTGTGAATGAAACTGCTGTGTTCTTTAAGGAGTTATTCCTGAAAGCAGAGACTGAGTAGCTAGAGATCCATGTTGGGCAAGGAATGGTTTTAGGGAAATTATGCAGTCATGCATGAAAACAGACTGCCAATGTGCAATTCTTCACATAAAAAACCAAAAGAAAAATGTGTACAGGTACGCACAGGTATTATCTGCACCTGTACATAACCAGAAAGGAAGGACTTTGCAATGGATAGAAAGAGGGGCAGGGATGGTCAAGATGAAGCCTGGCTGCATCCCATAATCCTTCACCCACTGATGTGCAGGAGATAAGTGTAAGATGCAAGCAGCCGGGGGAAGGGGCAGGGCTGAGAAAAGGTCGATATTGCCTGCTGCAATGTGGAAGGGGTGCTGCAATTCTGCATGTGGGGAAGTAGTGTCTGGAGACCAGTAGGAGGCTCCTGCCTAGAAACTCTCCAGGGCTGAAGTGAAATCAATGGGATCCATTTCCAGGCAAGTGCATGTTTAGACAGAGGTGCTGAGCTAGCACCTTTATGTATCACTTTAGCCATTTAGCTACCTTTGGAGTCTCTAGTACATTTATTCCTTTGTCACACTTCCACATTCTCAGTTTTCCACTCACCGAAGTGCCCTTTCTTGCTTCTTTCTCTACACAGATGTTCTCTGACACTTGTTTTGGATTTTACACCTGATACTGTTTGTAGTTTTCCTTCAGCAGTTAACCTGATGTGTGACCTCGGCTTTTCCAATCTCAACTTCCTATGAATTTATAATGTGTTCACAAATATACTACAATTTCCAAGTGATGGTAAAACTCCTTGTCATAACTATTTTACCCACACCTATCCTGCCAGCAGAGCAGCAGCATTAGTTCTGTATTTACAGAAGATTGGTGAAATCCTGACTCTAAGAGAAACCAACCAGTGTTGCAAAACTGGGGTGCAGAAGGTCGGGCTTCTTATCTCTAATGTAACTGCATGAGACCTGATCTTCACAGTTATAGAAGAGTGCTACTTACTATTTATGAACGTGTCTATCAGACCACTTGGTCTCATTTCTGCACATGCAATGTTAAGTTTATAATTATAACAATACCTAAATGGTTTAGATTAGTAAGTTTAATAATATTACTCTTTTGTTACTTCTTCTCTCTTATTCTGCAATCATATACATATGTGTGAGTAAGCCCCCCAAAACCAGAGGTACTTACTTTCAAGTAAACATCCACAGACTTGCATACTAGAATAAATAATAATAATAATAATAATAATCATGTTATTATTTATACCCTGCCCAACTGGACTGCTTACAACACATAAAAAATTATAAAACATTAGACATTAAAAAAAATCCTGATAGTGTTTATTTCCTTGACATCTGATAGGAGGGCGTTCCACTACCGAGAAGGCCCTATGCCTGGTTCCCTGTAACCTCACTTCTCGCAGTGAGGAAACCGCATGTGACATCCACTAGTCAAACTGAGAGCCTCCTTTTCAAAGGAAATAACAGCAATGGAAGAAAAAGGATTTCGTTTGAAGGACGATTTGATTGCCGTTATGTATTACTTATTTCCCAGCTCTCCTGAGGACTTTTCAGCGTGGCTTACAAAAGTGCAACAATACCAAAAAACAACAACCATTGAATACAAAAAGCAGCAGCAATAAATTATATGGAAAAGCAGCATTTAAAAGCCATACTTATAACAACAACGAAGAAACAAGTTTTTTAAAAAATCTAACAGTAACCAACAGAGGTCGTCGTACATGGCAACCAAGACAGTTTCTGTGCCAAAACCAGGCCCAGACCCTGATTGAAATGGATCTAGAAAATCAGTTTCCTCCCAGAGCACCTGGATCTGGTCTGCGACAACCCACTTAATAAGGGGAAGGGGAGATTAGTCACTGGCCAGTAGCTACCGTACTTAGATTTTCTAAGAGCAGGGAGGGTTTCTTAAGGAGTGGTTTTAGCACTGCCCCCTTCAAGCAGGCAGGGCCCACCCCCTCTAGCAGGGAGGCATTATTCACCTCTCTGGCCCAGCCTGCTGTCCCCTTCCTGATAGTTTTTTTCAGCCAAATGGGCCAAGTGTCCAGAGTTCAAGTGGTCATCCTGACCAGTTCAAGCACCTTGCCCACATACTTGAGCCTTACCAACTGAAACTCATCCAACACAACAGGACTAGACAGTGTTCTGGACACCCATTGAGCTTCACCTGCTGTAACAGCAGGAGCCAAGATCCCAGTGGATGCATGCAATTTTATCTTCAAAATGCTTTGCAAACAAGTCACAGTGAGCTACGGTCAGTTCTACCATCTCCTACAGAGCTGTGACTTAATGCCAGGGATGGCTAAATCTGTCCATTTCAGTTTCTCTCAATTTCTCATTTTTCCAATTTTAATTCAGTTCTCTATATTTCCATATAAGTTTGCATTTCTTTATTTATTTTAAAAGAAGTCCTGATGAAAATTCAGCAGTATTTTAGTGCAAATTACCGCAAATAAACACACTTTGGGGTGCCATTTTGCCTCATAAACATTTTTGCCAAGCAACGCACCCTACTGTAATGCATTTTTTTTGTTATTTTTTTGCTAACATATATATTTATATTCACACTTTACCCTAGGATATATATCTTCATACACATACACTTGACTGGAAAACTGCACTCCAAAATTTGAAGAAGTGTGAATTTTGAAGGAAGGCTATATTTTGGTTCACTTATTCTGAATTTGGTAGGCTCAAATGTTAACTGAATTAAACTTCTTTATCCCTATTTAAGACATTGTTACTCATTTCCATTTATTTATTTATTTATTTATTTATTTATTTATTTACTTACTTACTTACTGGTCGGGAGAACACATTTGATATTTTTTTCATTTATCTCCTTCGGAAGAAAATAAAAATCTGAATCTTTCAACCATTAGCAAAACCCTTTCTTTTCCACCAAGCTTTATGTGGCAATGGAGCATATTGGGATTTTTTTTTTTTAAAAAAAAAGCATGTTGCCACGGTCTTTTTCAGTGATTTTAAGAAAAGTATTTTCTTTTGAGTTTTTTTAAATATGATTCTATCTCTGTATGACCTGTCTGGTGAAACAGGTTTCACTTACAAAAGCTCATGTAAAAAAGATCAAAATTAAACTATTAGTCTAAAATATACCTCTTCATTCTTCACTTGTTCTTTATAAAATAAAAGTGTGGTGTATCATTGCAAGGACTGTCCTTAACAAGCCTAGCACAAGGGATTCAGAAATAAACCACCCTGTGAACTGCCCTGAGACCTACGGGTATAGGGCGGTATATAAATTCAATAAATAATAAGGAGGAGGAGGAGGAGGAGGAATGAGGAAGTATTATACAGTCTGAAACCAAATAGGGTTGGTAGCAACCTCAACAGGGCAGAGGGTGTTCTATAGATCACAAATTAAGATGGCCTATTTGTTTCATAGAGAAACAAATCCACATTTCAAAGATGATCAGTCATACAAAGTCAATCTGTACAATAGACACCGGCGAAGAAGATGCCAGGAAGACAAGAACAGAAGATGAGCCTGTGTCAGGGACTGGAGGAATGGGAAATGAGCCCTCGGTCTGATGGGCTCCTCTCAGAAGAGGAGGAAGAGTGGGAAGTTTTGCCCTCCCTGTCTCCAGCAGTTTCAGGGGGAGAGGGAGACAGGGATGAATGAAGAAATCCCGAGTTATGAGACAGTGGAGGATGAGGAGGGGGAAGTTAGAGAGCAGACGGCGGAGACCTCCCTGGAGAGTGTGGGAGACCCTCCTAGTCCAAAGACTCGCAGGTCCCTCCGCATTCATGAACAGAGAATGCGGAGGGGTGTGACTCCTGAGACTTCCTGTAGTTTCCAGGATGTTGTGGGAGACAGAAGAGGAGGGACTCAGAGTAGCCAACGTCTCCTATGGGTGGAGACATGGATCTTTCGTCTTGCAACCAGATGACTGAATAAAAAGCCATAAAATATGAACTGTTTGTTCTTCTTGACTCTGAGGCTACCAAGGGAGGAGAGGATACTCCACGCCTGACAGCCTGCTACATCCAGCCAATGGCCCTTCTAGTCATATCCTCTTCTCACAGTGGCTAGTCTGTGGGAAGCCTGCAACCAGGACAACAGCACAACAACTCTCTGCCCACCTGCTATCTCCATCAACTGGTATGCAGAGGCATTATGCTGAGCGGAAGTAGAACATAGTCATTGCGGCTAGTAGCCTTGCCCTCCATAGACTAAAGGTAACTGTAGACTGGTGAATCCTTATACAAAAGTTTCCATAACTGCTCTATGAGGCTTCATGGACAGATCATTTCCTTCCCCTGTTCCTGCTTCCCCCTTGTGTCTTAAAAATGCAAGCAAGAGAAACAAATCAAAGCCCAGCCCAGCCTTCAACATGCCTAAAACTATACACACACTTTCCCGAAGACGGCACCAGCCAGTTGCCTCTTTTGTTGACTCCTTCCCCATTCATTTTGGATGACAGCTTTCAGTAAACACCATACAATGCCACAGTGCGACATTAGCTTTAGCAACATGTTGATGGAGGGCCAGCAACATCTTTATGCCCAGGAGATATCCAACAGGAAATTGTTTAAACCTCACACATATCCTGAAAGGCCTTTTCATACCGAGTGCCCCAAGACTGCCCGGGCGTCACCACCTTTCTGCACCGAACCCTCTCCGGCACGGTTACAATACTTGAATGCCGAAGTGCAGGAGGCTCTGGGGTGACCGTTGAGTGCACTCGGATTTTACAGACTGTCATATGGCGAGATAGTGGTGGGTTTTGATGCTGTCACCTATTCAGTCAGCCCAGATGAACTAGAATCACCATTTCAGTTATATCATAGCTCGGGGCGGGAACATGTCACCCTCTTTATTTCCAGCTCAGAACAAGCTGCTTAGGCAGATGCTAACTGTGGTCCTCCCTGCCATGTTCTGTAGAGTGGCCTTTGTCTGGGTTAATTGAGCCCCCACTCCATTTAATAGGCTGTTGAAGCCTTATTGAAACAGAGCTAGTGCCGCAGGTTAAATACATTGCCATGCTCTTGTTAATCCCCTCATTAACAGAGCTGTAAAGCTTGTTGAGAGCTGTGAGTTTGCATATATTAACAGAGAGTTCTTCACTCAAGAGCTATCAATAAAATAACAAAGCCAGTTTGCAAATAGTGAAACCAACAGTGACACAAAGCTAGATACCTTAAAAGAAATAAACAGCTTAATAACTGATAAATCTTATTTTTCACACGAGTGGGATTAAAGCAAAGGCACCTGACAGATTTGGCGTTTTTTTATTGGCTGAAGATACAGTATAGATTCTTAAATGGGTTGAGCTGGTTGAAACGAAAGAGAGAGAGCAAAGGAGAAATCTATTATTTCTCCATCACTGCATACTGGTCAATGAGCCATTTGGGTAGAGCCAGACTTACAAGAAGCCACCAAAAGCAAATGCATGTTCCAAATAAAACTTGAGAGAATCTGAAACGCAAGAATCCTCTGAGATTTGAAGAAGAAGCAAAATAAAGGACGTGCAGGCTTAAGGAAGGAGTTGAGTTGCAATAATTACAGCAGGCTGCCAATTCACCAGTAGGCGGAAGTAGAACCCATTGCCTGTTGATAAGTCCTAGCCATGCTTGTAAAATTTATATTACTAAATAGTCAGGTAAAAATTCAGGAAGCCTTACAAATAAAGATTCAGGAAACTCAGAAGTTATTAAAACACAGTACGACTTCAGCAGAGAAAATAAGTGGCTGGTACACTGAGCCATCTAAAATACGGGCAATGCAATACTATGTACTTTAGTCAGCAAATTGGATGCCACAGGGAAGTGTATAAATGACAGAATTCAACACAATACAGTCTTTCGGAGAAAGGCTATGCTAACATCAAATTTCACATAGCATGGTTAAATCTTGGAACTTGCCCCCACAGTAATGGCCACCAGCTGTGAGCATGGTGTGTGTGTGTGCGTGCATGCGCATGTATGCATGCGTAAAAAAAGTAGCATACAAATAAAAGGAATGAATGTATGAACTTGGATGGCTATGAAAGAGGGTAAGGCAAATCCATGGAGGAGGATGTTATGAATGGCTGCTACTCATGTTGTTGGCTATGAACTACCACCAGCATTGGAAGAAGTATGCCTCTGAAAACTAGTTGCTGGAAATCACTTGGTGTTGCACTTGGGTCTTGCTTATGGGCTTCCCATAGGCACTTAGTCGCCCACTGCGAGAAAAGGAAAGTGGTCTAATCTAGCAGGGCTTGTTTTATGTTCGTCTTTAAACTATCAACATGGTAGCTTATAAAATAGAAGCAGCAAGATGTGCCCGACGATTTCCATGCGACTGAAACGGATTCCTCTATAAGCTCAACTTTTTGTTGACCTTCATCTGATTTGATAAGTAGCCATACAGCAAACACAGGACACAAGGTGACTAGCAGGCCATAGAAATACAAGGTTACTATGTAAATGAACATACATTGCACCAAGGGTGCCAACCTGAATAAAACAGGGGGGGGATCCCCACCCCACATAACTGAACACAAGATGCAGCACAGACACAATTTGAATGGCAATGCCCATTGACTCTGGGGGGGCAGACCCCTCAAATATTTTATTGGGCTCCCCGAATAAAACGGTTGGCTCCTGTGCATGTCACGTGAGAGATAATTTCTAGTCTTACTAGGTAACTGTGCTATTATTTTATCACCCTTCCCCCTCATCTCCTCATGTTTTTTTCTGTTTATACCCATGACAAATTATTCCAGTGTTTTGCTAAATTTGGATCTTGTCTGCACCAATAATGTGTACTTAACACATTTAGCCAGTGCTGGACTTCTGGTGCTATGAACTAATAGTAATACTTGTTTTGGCACTGGCAGAGTACTCCTCAGTTTGAAATCTCCTCAGCCTAAACTTACATAACTCTGTTATAAAAACTGCAACTAGAAGAATTTGTCCTTGAGCTTGTTCTTCCCTTTCTCCCTCTCACTCTTTTTTCCTTGGGTGCCATGTATTTTTACATTGTGAGCCTGAGGGCAGAGACCATTTCTTAGAACTGATTTTTGTAAGGCTGCTCTGAGAGCCTTTTTCTTTTCTGCTTAAATATTTCTGTTTAGGCAAATCTATCCTGACATATAGAAGTGTTTCATCTCTTTTTGGCTGATGTTGATTTTAATAAACTTTTTAGTAATGTCTTTAGATAACTTTTAAAACTGCTTTCATTGATAATTTTAATGTTTTATTTTTGTAAACCACTTAGAGGTGTTTTTTGTTTTGTTTACACTCAAGCAGTATACAGTGGTACTGCGGGTTAAGTACTTAATTCGTTCCAGAGGTCTGTTCTTAACCTGAAACTGTTCTTAACCTGAAGAACCACTTTAGCTAATGGGGCCTCCCATTGCCGCCACGCTGCTGGAGCATGATTTCTGTTCTCATCCTGAAGCAAAGTTCTTAACCCAAGGTACTATTTCTGGGTTAGCAGAGTCTGTAACCTGAAGTGTCTGTAACCTGAGGCGTATGTAACCCGAGGTACCACTGTATAAATGTTAAACAAACAAACAAACAAATGGTGAGGTATAAATGTCGTAATTAAAAAAATAACCAAATGCATAACCTTTTGTGGTACATTTTCACACATCAAAGTCAATAGCCAGATCCAAAGGTGGGTGTCCATAATTTGAGGCACTGGAATAATAAATTGGTACAAAACCTATCAGGATGAAGTGCAGAGTTCTTGTCAGCCAGCCTGCTAGTGTTGTTCTAAAGAACATCAACATCCAGGAGGAAGATGTAGAAACACAAGAGGAAATGGACTTTAGCTCAGTGGTGGAGCACCAAACTGCAAGCAGATTGTCCCAGGTTCAGTTCTTGGCATCACTACGTAGGGCTGGGAAAGACCTCTGTCTGAAAACTTAGAGCTACTGCCAATTTGTGGAGACAATATTAAGCTAGATAGACAAATAGTCTGAGTTCATATAAGGCATCTTCCGTTGTTCTCAAGAGGAATCAAACAACAGATCCACTACCCCACGTTGGATTCCCAATGTATGCCTCCTTCTCATACTGTAAATATGTTTAAAATGCAGTTTGTAATTTAAAAGCATAGTTTCCTAAATGGGATGAAACTTTCATTGAGTCAGGGCTTCAAACACATTATGCAGCCAGGATGGTGTTTATTTCCTGGCCATCAGGTTTTAAAGATGTCAGGAAGATTCTTTTGGTTAAATATCGGAAAAGGACAGTTGTAAGAAGGACCATAAAAGCCTTAGGTTTTCATTTCCAGTTGCCAGATTTGATACGAAATCTATGTTGACCACACATGCAGGATGAGGTCACTACAGGTTATTTTCTTTGTCGCTTGCCGCGAAAGCTATACAATGATCCATATCGATTGCAGGGCTCCCTCAAAAGAGAGAATAAAGTTGGAATTCTAGCCGACAAGCCCAAACTTCTCCCACTGAGTCGAGAGCGGCTGCTGACTTTGTGGCTTGATGGTTCTAATTGCCCACGGCCAGGTTCCGCTCCAAAAGCCCAAGGCCCCAGCAGACCCTGTTGCATCAGTTTGATGCAAAACATGACAAGGCCTTGACTCCCCGTCTCTCCATTTCACTTGAGCAAATGTGTTAATAGAGCTAACGCCATCTTATTTTCTCACCTTGGTTCAATAGGAGGTGACCAGGCAGTGAATGTGAGGCTACATTGGAATGAGGAGGACTGGTGAAGTGAGGGTCATAGAGGAGGCAAGGTGCAGAAGTTCAGCAGCCTGCCTGCTGGGAGCACTGTCGCTTACACTCCGGGTTGTTTTCCCTTCTCGCCACCCCCAGCCATGGATATCTTATAGTGAATTCTGCCTCAGTTTTGCAGACCCATTCCATCTTGCCTCCTAGCTTTTCTACTTCCTTGTTTTGATAGCGTTTTCCTGGATATGTCAAGTAAGTATACATCGTTAGTCATGCCAAATCCAAAGCTGGCAGTGGTGCCGCTTTTATTTATTTATAATTTTATTTACTGTATAATTTTAATTACAGTTGTACCTTGGATCTCAAACGCCTTGGCTCCCGAACAAATCAGCTCCTGAACGATCGAAACCTGGAAGTGAGTGTTCCGGTTTTCAAATGAGTTTCAGAAGCTGAACATCTGGCGCAGCTTCTGTGGCTTCCGACTGGCTGCAGGACACTCCTGCAGCCAATCGGAAGCTGTGCCTTGGTTTCCAAACGGTTCCAGGAGTCGAACGGACTCCTGGAACACATTCTGTTTGAGAACCAAGGCATGACTGTATTACCATTTCCAAAATGACATTCACATTCAAATATACATTTCCATTGCTGATATCTTTATAATAAAAACATTCAACTGTTTCCATTCTTCTCCTTCCCTAGTTCCAGTGGTGCAGCTTTTAGAACCTGGACTTAATGGTCCTATGTAGAGCACCTTTAGATGGGCAGGTGTATCACTTCATTTGCGAGATGTGCCACTGACATTTCTCTTTCGCCCCTGCCCCCCCCCACGCCACCATTCTATACAACTGCTTCTACATTCCTCATATTTTAAGCTAATAAGAATAATAATGTTTGCCAACCCTGATTTTTTAAAAAGTATGTGCAGCTTTGCATTGTGAATTCACTGAAATAATAGCAGCTACAGGAATAACATGGAGTTTAAATCTTTTCCCTTGATACATAAACATACTTTGGAAATAAAAACACTACTTTTGCCCTAGAAAATGACAGTGCAAAAGTTGCCACCAATGACAATGTTGAAGTAAAAATAATCAAATGAGGATCTTGAACCATGTGCTTGCTTAGTCACCCACCCCATCTAGAGAATTCTTTTTTATTAAGGAGAAAAATACGATAACGCCTGTCCTGCAGTTTTCAAAGGATTGTGCTCCCTCATTAGGAAAAGGATCATGCAAATGTAAAATTATATTATTATATTCCAACTTAAAAACTAAGATCTTGGTATCTAGGAATCAGATCACTGAGAATAGGCTGTAAAGATAACACACCCATAAGAAAAAAATTCAGAGATACAGGTCCAGATCTCAACAAGTAGAAGGGCTTCTGAAACACCCCCCCCCCCCCACACACACATTTCCATATGCAGTGCATCAAGTTTCTGGATGTGCAGGGGGGATTCTCAGAAATGGCACAGTGCAAATAACTGCTGGAAGGAAACTGAAAGAGTGCCATTTCAGGTTATCAGTATGGAGGCGGGTGGTGCTGTGGTCTAAACCACTGAGCCTCTTGGGCTTGCTGATCAGAAGGTTGGCAGTTCGTATCCCCGCAACGGGGTGAGCTCCCGTTGCTCTGTCCCAGCTCCTGGCAACCTAGCAGTTCAAAAGCACACCAGTGCAAGTAGATAAATAGGTACTGCTGTGGCGGGAAGGTAAAGGGTATTTCCATGCGCTCTGGTTTCCATCATGGTGTTCTGTTGCGCCAGAAGTGGTTTAGTCATGCTGGCCACATGACCCAGAAAGCTGTCTGTGGACAAATGCCGGTTCCCTTGGCCTGAAAGCGAGATGGGGGTCGCAACTCCACAGTCACCTTTGACTGGAATTAACTGTCCAGGGGTCCTTTACCTTTTTACCTATACCAGGACCAGAGGCTGCACAGCTCTGAATATTAGTTGTGGGAAAACAACAATGGCAGAGAACTCTTGCACCCATGTCCTGCCTGTGGGTTTTCCCAATAGGTATCTGGTTAATTGTATACTAGACTCAATAGGTCTGATCTAGCAGGGTTTTACTTACGTTCAGCTTTGGTTGGAAGGCAGACCACAATGCAGAGGGAAGAGTTAACTTCCCTCTCTGTGTGCAAGAGCCCTGATATTGATTGCCCTCCCTTACTGCTGTTTTTTTAAAAAAAAAAAATATTTCTTGACTACAACACTTTTTACATCATATGTAATTTGCAGCTACGTGCAATGCATTCCTGAAAATATTCGACTTATTTGACCATTTAATTCAATGCTTCACATTTTCATTTGGACAATGTACTGTAAACTGTTCAACATATATGAGGTTCCTTTTAGAAACCCTTGGCATACCATGTGCTGAATCCAGCTGTCCTTATTCAGTGTTAGGAAGTCAAAACTCTGCAAACTTCACTTTGGCTGTGTTTCAAGGGAAGTTGGGGGTGGGGGAAGAAACATGCTTATCTGAGTCACTTACAATCATCAAGTTTCCCAGAGATTCAGGTTAGAAAACTAAAATGCTTTTAACAGCTGTGTCCTATGCCCAGACTGCCAGTCTCTACATACCATGGCTGCCCTGTGGAGGGAAGCAGGGACTTCAACTTTTTGGCTCTGTCTTCCATTGTTTGCCTTTTGCTGTCACTTGGCGCCTGCCACAGCTGTTACTAAAGATGGCATCTAATGTTGACATCAGGCATAAGGGAGATAGAAAAGACTTTGACTGTATGTGCTCAGTCAGCGGGAGGGGGAAAAGCACCTCTGCCCTCTGTCCCGAACAATGGGCAATTTTTAGCAGTGGGCAATGGTGCACAGATGTTGAAAGGTGCTAAAATGAAATATTCCCCCTATCCTTCTTGTTTTATTCTAGGTCCAGCTCTCCTGCTAAATGAAAAGGTTATGTAAAGAAAACATTTCAGCTTTGCAAAGGGGAGCAGATCACGCTAATAGTGGTTCTTTCTTGACCTCTTAAAGCATGTCATAAGAGATAACCCCTTTGCAAAGGCTTTTTTCTTCTGGGGGAGGAAGTAGTGCTGGTGGGTTGTGTATTTTTCACTACAGATCAGGGGCTGAAAAGGACCAGGAGGGCTAAGAGGTCCAAATGCAGAGCTTCCCATCCATTCTTCACGCATTCCAGTAGCTCTCAACCTTTCCATGTAGAATCATAGAATTGGAAAGGATCTCAAAGGAACCTGGTCGACCTCCCTGCCAATTCAACAAACATTCACCATTCCTGATAGGTAGGTATCTAGCCTCTGCTTAAAAACCTCTGCAAAAAAAGGACTGTCCGCCACTTTCAAAGGCAGCCTGTTCCACTGTCAAACAACTCAAACTGTCAGCAAGTTCTTCTCCAATTCTTGTAATTGGAACACATTGGTGTGGGTTTTGAAAAAGGGGAAATAAATTTGGTCCACCAGCTACATGACAGCACTTCAAGTATGTGAAGATGACTTTCTTATAACCTCTTAATTGCTTCTTTTCCAACTAACCATATTCGATTCTTTCAACCTTTCTTCATAGGACTTGATCTCCGGCCCATTGACTTTGTCAACATCCTCTGAACATGTTCCAGTTTATTCACATCCTTCTTAGATGGTAGTGCCCAGAACTAGATGATCAGGGTGAGGTCTGACCAAAGCAGAATACAATGGTACCATGATTTCTTGTGATGTGGACAATATACTTCTGTTCACATAAGCTACAGTTGTATTATATACTTTTGGCTGTTGCATTTCACTGCTGACTCATTTTTTAGGTTATTGTCTGGTCTTCCTTCTGCCAAGATAATATTAGATCCCTTTTCCGTCTATCACCAGCTAAACATTGTGATATACTGATATATCACAATGTTTGAAATAAGGACAGAGCTATGTAGAGGCATTGGCTGACTTCACATTTTCCCCTGCATCATAATTTTGGCATAGCGCACATGCACAAACCATCATTCATGATATATTGCCAGGTCAAAAATTATGAAACCGGTATCATGACATGGACTTCAAAGTAGTTTGGGACAATTTATCGATATATCACCCAGCTACACATGACACTATATTGGTTTTTCTATGCTCATGTCCACATTACATGGCACCATGCTGTCTTCAAGGATTTTATCATCTTCCATCACAGAACTTAGCTTGAAGTCCTCCTGATCAAGTTTGCAAGGCTCTTGCCAAACACATTCTCCCCAATCCTTGTGAGGAGCAACCTATCTTTCACCAGAAGTTCTTCATCACTGCAGAACAGATCATGATCCAATAATCCAAACCTTTCCTGATGACGTCCTCTGCATAGTTAGTCATTCACTTCCAGTATTCGCCTCTCCATTCCTAGGTCACAGCCTTCAGTAGGAAAAAGTGATGAAAAAATTACCTGTGCCCCATGGCCCTTCAGCTTCTTATGCAGAGCTTCATAGTCACTTGCAATACACTCAGAGCTGTGTCTGGGCGTGTCGTTTATTCCTGCACTGATTAGCAGGAAGGGATAACAGTCACTAGGCCTTATGAGCCTGGCCACATTTCCCATCATATCCTGGACACATGCATCAGGGAAATGACATGTCTTCAGTGAAAACATGTCAGAACAACACACCGCTGTCTCTACTTCTCTCGAGAGGTAGTCCCCAGCTACCACCACATGCCCCCTATTCAGGGCAAGCGCAGGATTCTTTCCATGCACCAATAAATCCAAATCCTCCTTCATGTAGCCTACCTTGATTTCAGCAATCAAGGTGCCCCATGATATTCTTGTAAAGAAGCTGGTAAAATGCGGTCTTGACTATGCTACCACTCAGTGGATTTGTAACTGGCTGACTGACCGAACCCAAAGGGTGCTCATCAATGGTTCCTCTTCATCCTGGAGAAGAGTGACTAGTGGGGTGCCACAGGGTTCTGTCTTGGGCCCGGTCTTATTCAACATCTTTATCAACGACTTGGATGATGGACTCAAGGGCATCCTGATCAAATTTGCAGATGACACCAAACTGGGAGGGGTGGCTAACACCCCAGAGGACAGGATCACACTTCAAAACAACCTTGACAGATTAGAGAACTGGGCCAAAACAAACAAGATGAATTTTAACAGGAGAAATGTAAAGTATTGCACTTGGGCAAAAAAATGAGAGGCACAAATACAAGATGGGTGACACCTGGCTTGAGAGCAGTACATGTGAAAAGGATCTAGGAGTCTTGGTTGACCACAAACTTGACATGAGCCAACAGTGTGATGCGGCAGCTAAAAAGCCAATGCAATTCTGGGCTGCATCAATAGGAGTATAGCATCTAGATCAAGGGAAGTAATAGTGCCACTGTATTCTGCTCTGGTCAGACCTCACCTGGAGTACTGTGTCCAGTTCTGGGCACCACAGTTCAAGAAGGACACTGACAAGCTGGAACGTGTCCAGAGGAGGGCAACCAAAATGGTCAAAGGCCTGGAAACGATGCCTTATGAGGAACGGCTAAGGGAGCTGGGCATGTTTAGCCTGGAGAAGAGGAGGTTAAGGGGTGATATGATAGCCATGTTCAAATGTATAAAAGGATGTCACATAGAGGAGGGAGAAAGGTTGTTTTCTGCTGCTCCAGAGAAGCGGACATGGAGCAATGGATCCAAACTACAAGAAAGAAGATTCCACCTAAACATTAGGAAGAACTTCCTGACAGTAAGAGCTGTTCGACATTGGAATTTGCTGCCAAGGAGTGTGGTGGAGTCTCCTTCTTTGGAGGTCTTTAAGCAGAGGCTTGACAACCATATGTCAGGAGTGCTCTGATGGTGTTTCCTGCTTGGCAGGGGGTTGGACTCGATGGCCCTTGTGGTCTCTTCCAACTCTATGATTCTATGATTCTATGATTCATACTCTGTGGAACCTGGGGTACTTATTCTCAGCTACAGGCCTATCCTGTGGCCATAACCTATGACCACAGCTAATGGCCAATTTGAAAGCCACAGCTCTCTGTACTATCATATTTTATTTGTTTTTATTCATGCAATTTCTATACTGCTTAATACTTCAGTTAAGAATCGAAGCTACAGCATTATAAAAACCACAATCACTACAATTAAAATTCCGCGTTTTAAAACAGCACAAAACTATTGGGTAAGATCTTCTTAGGCATTTGTATAGACTAAATAGCATATTTTAGTATGAACAAAAATAACAATGCATGGGGAACATCATAACTATTGGCAAACTGAAATACATCAAAGACAGACAACCAGGCCCACTCACCGAATCATATATGCGAATATCCATTTTATAGGCAGTCGTGGCTATCTCACTATCTCTCAAATTTAAGCTCATAGCAAAAGATGGGGCAAAATGACACACTCTCTGCCCCATTCAATGTCATGAACCAACCATATTTTGTTCTTTTGTGATATCACTGCTATTTTTCAAATATATTTGGAAAAACATTAACGCCAGTTGTCCTTTTAAGGAGTTCACACTTTGTTTCTTAGATAATTAATGAACTGATGCCAATTATTGCTTATGCTTCTTGGGGGTTTTGTATAGCATTTATTACCAAGAGAAAATCCTGAAATGCCATATCCCAAATTGTGCATTCCCAGACATATTACCTGGAACCAAATCCCACAACAATCAGTGGGACTTACTTCCATGTAACATGCTGTAAGTTGAGAGTTTGCTTTCTCCAGCATCAGTTGAAAGAAAATGCAACAATTGTAATCCGTGTCATTATCACCAAGGCTTTTCTAAACTGCTAGTGAGTACCTTTGTTCTGTCCCCTTTTTTGCATCTAATTAATGCTAATACATAATGTCCTACCAAGATTTTCAAAGCTGTGCCGTGAAATAATGCAGCGTTACTTTTGTAATTCAGGGTACAGAGCACATTGACGCAAAAGCTTAGTAAAACGGGCACATGGTCAAAAGGAGCAATTAGCACATTGTTATTATGCAATGATATTATAATCTGCCTCGTCCCCCAAAAGAAATTGCTTATTGCATTTTGCTTCGTTAGCATTCCGCCTCCCCTTTTAGCATGTACGGTGCTATACAGTTACAAGCCAGTCATGATACAGTCCCAAATAGGATTCCCTACAATTATTGTTTATAAAGCAATTAGAATCTATTTGTTAGAGGAACTCCCATTTGCTGTTAGCTTCCCCGGCTGTCTCTAAAGTTCCCTGAAGCACAAATTCTGTGTTGGATAATTTGGGCAATAATTCTGATGGAGCACTAAAAAAAGAAGCAGACTGAACTGCTTTTCTAATTTGGGGGGTAAGATTAAACTGCTGATACTATTATGTCACAGGAACTTAGGCTGCAGTCTTATACACACTTACCTAGAAGCAAGTCCCATTGAATTCAAAAGGGCTTTATTTATTATATTGTATTTAAATTACTTTTTATGCCACTTTTCAGGATTATAGAGACTCCCAAAGGAGCTTACTATAAAAGATCACACCAAAACAATAAAGCATTATTAACTACACAATTAAAATCTGTACACAATTTAACTCATTGAATATAAAACAGATAAGCAGCAGATACTTTATAAAACCTCATTTCCGGCACAGGATCCAATTCAATGTTACACTACTGGCCATCCCAGTTCACCTTAACCAACAGCTATTGTCTGGTTTAACAAACACCAAACAATGTATGCATATCTCTGCATACATTGAGGCTGCTTTTGCTGTGGCTGGGCAGAGACCAATGGTGATAACTGGTCGTTCTCTGGTTTCAGCCTGGTGTTCAAATTGTAGCTGATGTACTCATTGGTTCTATCAGGTCTTAATCACCCTGCAGACTAATCAAACTATGCAGTAGGGTGGCTTTTAGGGTTTTACTCGGGTTGCTTCACTCAGCTCCTCACTTGGAAACTACTGCCAGTATGGAATGCAGCAGGCCACATTCTATCACATCTATAGGAGAAGGGACGTGGGTGTGGCTGTGGTCTAAACCACTGAGCCTCTTGGGGTTGCTGATCGGAAGGTCAGCAGTTCGAATCTCAGTGATGGGGTGAACTCCTGTTGCTCTGTCCCAGCTCCTGCCGGCGTAGCAGTTTGGAAGCACACCAGTGCAAGTAGATAAATAGGTTCCACTATGGCTAGAAGGTACACACTGTTTCAGTGCGCTCTGGTTTCCGTCACGGTGTCCCGTTGTGCCAGAATTGGTTTAGTCATGCTGGCCACGTGACCCGGAGAGCTGCCTGTGGACAAACACCGGCTCCATCAGCCTGAAAGTGAGATGAACGCCGCAACTCCATAGTCGCTTTTGACTGGACGTAACCGTCCAGAGGTCCTATACCTTTACCTTACATCTATAGGCTTGTGGGATCATATAAGACCCTTGATTAGATAATCACACTGATAGCCTAACTGGATGCAAATCAAGGTATAATGTTAACGAATAAAATTTTTGCTAGCCTGTGTGAATAATATCACTGGACTGAGAACACCATTCATTACATGAACCAGCTCATCTCCTAATATCACCTGAGGAAGCCATGTTTCAGGTGGCATTTATTTGGGTTGTTTCACTAGCAGCACTTCGAGCAGGGCTGTCTGTATGCTGTCTCTGTAGCACAACAATTTTGAAATTAATTCCTGTATATGTATTTTATTTATAGGAGGATTTCTAAACTGCCAGCTCATAAGGAACTATCACGGTGGTGCACAATAAAAGTATTAAAATATCATAAAATACAGAATGAATGGCCAACTCTCAATCAAATGAATTCTATGAAAAGCTTTGGTGAAACAGAAATAAGTTCAGTACATGCTTAAATATTAAATTGGTAGGCACCTTTATGAGTTCAGTAGGAACAGTGTTGCGGTTGAATGAGACCCACCAGAAACTTCTAGGAAGGCTTTTTAAAAAAAGTATATTACAATATTGATGAGAATTTCAAATATCATATTTTATATGTAACAACAATTTGTATATATTCAGAAGAATATAAGAATCCTGCTGGATCAGATCCCAAGATCTTTGTTCTTATATATCATCTCATTACTTTATTGTAGTGGTAAATGATTGTCAGTCTGCCTTCTGCCATTTCAAGGGCAGAAGTAAAAGTGATTTTTTAATATTAGTCACTCCTCTCAATGGATCTAATCAAATTTGTCACTCTTATGAAGACTGACAGGGCCAGAAAGTAGACTGCTGAACTGCAGCCTGCCAGGTTTTAGCTATTCCGACAGTAAGAGGGTGGATTTTTAAGGCTGGATTTTGTACTGATCTCAATTTGATATACTGTACTGTAGAGCTGTGCTCTACATCAGTGTCTTGATCAAAACAGTCAAGTATACATTAAATTGGAAACACATTAAATTTATATTTGAGTTGATTTAAATAAGGAGCTTTTTAATATATTGGCAAACAACCAGGTATGTACACAAGCAGAGCATGCTGACTGCTTATGGATTTCCCTTCCTTGCCTATTGATTTGCCTATTTCATTTTCAGATTATTAAAACATTGAAGTGGGGTTGTGCCTTGGTTCAGGATTTTTGGCAAAAAGTTTTTGCTTAGTTCAACTGCACTCAGCACTGGACTTGCTCTCTATCTTCTGAGGTCTAAATAAATCAGTCCTGCATAAAGAGCTAGTAATGCACTTGTTAACTGTGGCTCATTTAGAGATAACATACTGCAAGAATAGCAAAAAACAGCTTTCTTCGTGAAGGCAGTATGGTAAGATTTGGCAAATGACATTAGCCAATTTTTTAAAAGAAAAAAACAAAAGTAAACTGGACAGGGACAAAATAAAACAGGATACATTTCTGAGCACATGGTTGTATTTCACCTTTTATGTTAACTCTACTCATAGCAAGGTACAGGCTCCAATCTTTCATAAATCTTTTTGGAGAGTGTCTTCTACTTAGGACTTTATGCCTTGTTTTTATACCCTGTTGGTTGTGTCCCAGCATATGTAAGTATGGTATTCTAAAACGTGTAAAGCATTAAGACTCAAAAGGTTCAATTTATTGTATAATTGCTTTGTATAATGTAGAAAATAATCATTTCATTTCAATAAAAATGTTTCTAAAAGGTTTGGTTTCTTTAAGCACATGGTACTATATGTTCTACAGTCCAGCATGGGCATTGCACCAGCAGTCATGCTGATTCCTCTTAGTTGCACCTAGAGCGCAAGGGATCCTTAAAAATGAATAGCAGTGGGGGGTGGGTGTCACTCAGAAGGAAGAAAGAACACTAACTGAGGAGGGGAGTCTTTCAAGCAATTCTCTGACAGCAGGAAAACATTGCATTTTTTTTTTGTTAAAGGAAGTAAGTCACTTAATCTTTTACACCAATAGCAAATTTTACATCTCTCATCACATCTGGACTTTTAAATAAATATATTTTTGAGCTGTTTCCAATATTACAAATCCGTAACCTAATACACAGGTGGAAATAGTCATCACATCTCAGGCAAACATTTGGCAAAAGTAGTCTCCGAAGGACAATATCAAAGACCTAATTAAAAGCATAAGAATGATACAAAAGACCATTGCCCAAATATAAGAGGCAAAGGAAAACTATTGCGCTGCCAGATAAAAATCGCACATGAACACACCAAAAGTAGAATAATTTACAAAGAGCTTTGCCTGAATAAAACCAGATCATCACTAACCCATACAGATAATTGCAATAGAGTTAAACCTCTAAATAGGCTTTCCCCAACGTGGTTTGCTGCAGATGTTGCTGGACTTCCCAGCCAGCATGGCCAATGGTCAGGGAAGATGGAGTCCAGCAATACCTGGAGAACTGCAGGTTAGCCACCCTGGTTTACAATTGTCCCTCCTTCAAGAAGGATCTTAACCAATGTAAATAAAGCCTTGCCTTTTTCTGAGTGCCATGGGGTGATCTAATTTTAGGGCCCTTTAAAATATAAGGGTCTGAACCAACATGTATAAAGCTGGAGGTTCTAAATCTGTCGAGGGCTTGAAAAACACACACACACACACACACACACACACACTGCTTCCTTTTCTTTCTTTCTCCATCCCCCTCCTCCTCCCCAACTCCTCAGCTGTGGTGCAGCACCTGCCATTAGCTGTGGTGGCTCCTAATTTCATATTGTCTGACAGTAGCAGTTGGACCAAGGTAGAGCCAGCCAGACCGAGAGGCAGACTCCCTGCTTCCACAAAGCTGAATTTAATAAGATGAGAACAGTATGCCAAGATGGTGAGCTCCCTTCTTAGCACTTATCATGACACTAGTCACTCAGCAGGGCCCTTATTGCAGCAGTAATCTGGGTGAAGCTGGCAGAGCGTCCTGCTTACAAGTTCAATATAATAGAACAGCAGGGCACTGGGAGGGGGGCTGGCAGCGCAGCTTAACAAACTTAAAGCCTATTACGCCATGCTTGAGGAGGGAAAAGAAAATGGCTCGCAAAAACGTTATGCGCCAAGTGGAAAACCTGGAACTGCCAAGTGCGGCACCATGCAAAAGCCCTGTCCACTCTGGTGCATTTGGGAAGTGTGCAAGCAATTAGCAATACCGACTGAAACGCCTATAATGTGGACTGGAAATGCAAATTTCTCCCATTCTTTTCTTGGCTTTTGAATGTTAAGGCACACTTTAAAACAGCCGTTGAAAAAGCAGCTTGTTGCTCATCTGCAGCTAGGAATTGCCGAGCCCTCACAAATAAAAAGATGGCTTTATGGTGCTTTCCCATTCCTGATCTGTCTGCATCATGCCCAACGTAGCAAGCAGGGTCCCCTTTTGGCTATGCTGTAAGAAAGCAACATATGTCCACAGACAGTGCTGCAAAAAACCCCAGTGCTGTTGTATTTTTGCTCTCCCATTCCTCCCTCCAATGGCAATGGCTAGGGCCAGCCTTACCATCAGGCACAGCGAGACAAGACGCCTGCTTCTTGGGAGAAAAGCAATGACAAACCTAGACAGCATCTTAAAAAGCAGAGACATCACCTTGCCAACAAAGGTCCGTATAGTAAAAGCTATGGTTTTCCCAGTAGTGATGTATGGAAGTGAGAGCTGGACCATAAAGAAGGCTGATCACCGAAGAATGGATGCTTTTGAATTATGGTGCTGGAGGAGACTCTTGAGAGTCCCATGGACTGCAAGAAGATCAAACCTGTTCATTCTTAAGGAAATCAGACCTGAGTGCTCACTTAAAGGACAGATCCTGAAGCTGAGGCTCCAATACTTTGGCCACCTCATGAGAAGAGAAGACTCCCTGGAAAAGACCCTGATGTTAGGAAAGATTAAGGGCACAAGTAGAAGGGGACGACAGAGGACGAGATGGTTAGACAGTGTTCTCGAAGCTACCAGCATGAGTTTGACCAAACTGCTGGAGGCAGTAGAAGACAGGAGTGCCTGGTGTGCTCTGGTCCATGGGGTCACGAAGAGCTGGACACGACTAAACAACTAAACAACAACAGCAAAGCTGAGGTGGTGGAGCAGGGAGCAGGGATGAGCAGCAAAGTGTTAAGAGTTCAAACTTGAGTGTGCTATAAAGCCAGCCTGCCTGCCCTGCCTCCTAAGTAAACCTTCTGCCCTCCAATGTCCTTCTGCTGATGTTGAAGGAAGATTCAACTGCAGATGCAATTGTCCTCTGTAAATGGAATTGGTGTGTGTGTGTGTTTGCCATCTTGGGCTTATACACACTTACCTTTCCTCCGCTCTTTCCAGACACAGTCTGCAATTTAAAAGATCCTTAGTAGCCAGGTTTCTGCAACATGCAATGAGGGTTTGTGAATGTTATGCAACAGCATTTTACTTGTTAGATACAGATTTTGCGGAGTGATTGTATTGTACTGAATCTTTTGGAATTTTATCTACGGTATATGCCAATAAAGGTTTGAGATAGAAAATTTATACATCTGTGTCTTAGGACCCCCTGCCCTACTTTTCTTTTTTTGTCCCAGTGGAGCAAATATCAATTTGTGGAATGCTGGAACAGACCTTGTTCTGATTCAGCTTTAAAGAGTGGGGTTTTGCAGGGGAAGCTCGGGGCAAACAAAATCAAAGCACACACTCAGACACAAAGTGTTAAAGCACAGACCTCTGCCTGAAAAGAGGTAAGGTGGATAAGCCCCTTACAAGAAGAAAAGGTTTGGGGCCAGCCTTGGCAATGATGTCAGGAGCCAGTATCAGCTTTAAACTTCCAGGCTTTTGGAAGCATCTGGTATTGTAAAAGAGGAGATTTCTTGGAGACTTACTGGTGGCATTTGCTGGTGGCTCTGTGGGAGGTCAGCCCTGAGTCCTTGTAAATGGAGCTTTTCCCCTCTTCAGACACCTGAATCCAAACCACTTCTTCCACACAGAGAAAGCAAGCCTCCCTCAGTTGAACTTGACATGAAGCTAGCAGCTCTGACATGCAGCTGATAGCAGTCGGGCTCCCTGTCAACTATGTTCAGCTGATCAGCACTGACAGGGTTAACTATCAGAAACTCTCTTTAAGTTCCTGGTTGCTTCATTTTGGTTTCTTCTGTGCCTTCCCCTCACCTGACATCACATATGACATCACTTATGGGTTTTAATAACCATATTTCATTCCGTTACAGACCCATGGATGTTGGTTCACAGACAAAAGGATCAGCTTACCAGCTGCATTTAAAAGCACAGAGCTAAACAGTTTAAATCCCATCTTAGGCGGTTTAATTGAAAGTATAGGAATTAGCTGTTCGGCTGATCTCCCCCTTCGTTACCACATTTTTCAAAGAAACAGGTTACAGATTGAAAAGTAAGTTTAAAATAAAACTCACAGTCAAGCATTCGTCCTTAGCAGCAACAGCATTAAATTAAATGAAGGTAAAATACTTGTGCTTATAGAAAAACAGTTTCAGGCAGGTGCCTGTTGCTAACTTTGAGGCATGTCTGCCCCCACAGTTGGCTGAAGAGAGGGGGAGAAGGAACAGGAAGTACTCATTTTGCTTCTTCCTTCCCAGGAGAGGAGGGGAAATGACATCACACGGAGCCTTCTCTACCTATTACTTTTCTATGGTCTGCATGGTCTTAACCCCTCCACATGCTAAATAGAAAGAATATGCACTGTTAGATTTGACTGCAAATTTCCACAATCACATGTGGGGCAAGTGGGCATGAAAGTCTCATCAGAGGAGGATAAAAGAGAGGATAAAAGAAGAATCAGATGTAGCACAACCTCTATTTCACTGGCATGAAAAGTCTGGAAAGGGAAAATACGTCCATTTCTTCAGATATGTTACCAGGAAGAAGAAGAAAATAACAGAAGGGCAGGCATTAATCTCAAGTGAAGATAAATGGAAATAATTCATTCTGTTCTGATTTAAAACTTTCTTCAGCAGATCTTACACTTTTGTCATGGAATATTCCCATCCCATTTTTTCTATGGGTTTGTAGAGCAAGAGGAACAGAGAAGAAATGCTCAATGCATTTTCCAAGGCAGTGCATTGTACAGGCAAACAGCCTACTATATATATGGAGACAGATGATCGGGTAACCTCCATGTGCAAGTGCTCCATTTGTAGACACTGGCCTAGATGTTATCCCTTCCCTTAAACTCATCACTTTGTCACAGGTGGGATGGACGCTCTCAAGTTATTCATGGCAATCTTAACTAGCCAAAGTAAGATGTTTTGGTCCATATTTCCGAAGGCAACAGAAGTGAAACAAGAAAGTTGGATATTTTAATTATATTAACTAAATATAAAGGACCAAAGGCTTAAAAAAAAGTAGTGGGAAATAAACTAATTAAACACAGAATAAATTATTGCTGGATCAGACCAAAGGTCCATCTAGATCTTGCAGCTTAATTTAATGAAGGTGGGGAAATCTGGGGGCTGAGTGACATGAGAAAGAAAGGGGGGGGGCTATCAGTTCAGACCTTTGACAAGATTGATTTGCCCTTTCCACAGCAGTGTACTGGACAATGAGAAGGAGAGAGAAAGGGTGCGTCAGAAAGGAAGGAAGGAAGGAAGGAAGGAAGGAAGGAAGGAAGGATTGCAGAAAGGGAGAGGGGGGGTGGCCTCACCTATCAAGTAACCTCTTTGAGATTTCTTCCAAGGAAATACAGCCCTAATAGGGAATGTGTGTGTGTGTGTGTGTACCTTGGTTGTCGAACGGAATCCATTCCAGAAGTCCGTTTGACTTCTGAAAACATTTGAAAACCAAGGCACGGCTTCCAATTGGCTGCAGGAGCTTCCTGCACTCAATCGGAAGTCGCGGAAGCCACGTTGGACGTTCAGGTTCCAAAGAACGTTCGCAAACTGAAACACTCACTTCCAGGTTTGCAGTGTTTGGGAGCCAAAGCGTTTGAGTCGCAAGACGTTCGTCAACCAAGGTACAACTGTATATGTATTCTCTATTAGACCAGCATTCTATTAGGAATGAAGACCAACTATGTGCTAATGGGAGCTTACAGCATGCATGATATGATGGCGGTAGTCTTCCTTACTCTCATGTATCTGGTAAATATTACTTTGAATATGGTGGTTCCATTCCTATCAGTTATAGCCAAAATTTTATAAATGTACTATGTAGATCATATGTCAATTCATGCAAACAATGGGAGTGGGGAATAAGTCTAATTTTTTCCATTCTACGTTAACTGTATTTGAACTCAGAAACATACCTCTAACTGCTGACAAAGAAATGGAAAGTGTATGCTTTCATTATCAATCAGGCAGTAACTTGAAAGCCAAACACCAACAAACAAATTGGCAGCTGGCACCGCAATGTGAAGTGTTAGCCATATGGTGCTCACAAACTAAAATATTTATTTGATTTGTCTTCAAGTGCCTAAGATGGCAGCAAGTGTTTAAAGATGAGGGCATTTTAGGATTCATACTTCTCTGAGTAGGGGCATGCGTCCCTTCCTCAGAAATCCATTTTGCACAACCTAGGGAATGAGCTCTTCTTTCTGATGTGTTATCTTCGCTGAAGACAAGATTCTCAGAAGGTTTGGAGTCATTTGCATATCTTGCTGCAACATGAGCCAAATGGCATGCTCAGTTTGGTCTACACTATTTAAATTATCTGGCATAGAACTGTGTTCTCTTTTCTTCTTTTCTGCCAGTGTTTACAGTCCTGCTACCAAAAGAAACAAGGTGCTTCTAAAGGAATTTAATTTGTTGAAGGATTCAATCAATCAATCAATCTTTATCAAAGACCGGACAGCAAAATTAACAACAGCAACACACGCTTCTTCAGCATCAAGAGGCGAACGTAACTAGAAATTCCCTATAAACTCATTTATATTTAAAAAAAAAAACCACTCCTTCAACTAAAATCTGTGTTCCAAAGTTTAAAATCAGTGCTCATTCATCGGCCATCACTGTCACTGTTGTTGAAGGATATGAACTATGTTAGTAATGGTTTTAGCAGCTCTCTCGTGGCCTTGTGTGAACCCCTTTCTTTTATGCACATAGGAGCATAGGAAGCTGCCTTATAAACTGAGTCATACCACTGGTCCACCTACCTTAGTGTTGTCTACAGCATCTCTCCGGGGTTGAAGACAGTGGCGACTCCCAGACCTACTAATTTTGAGCAATGAAGTTATTTGGCAGATCCAGTTTGTCTCCCATTTGTACCCCTGATGCACTGTGATGCTGCCACTGAATGGCTGCACAGAATGGGGTGGCAATTCTCCAGTCCAGAGCATTCCGTTAAGAAAACCTGCTGCTCTGCTTTACGGCATCCAATGTCTAAAACCACTGGCTTCAAACCATTAATTAGTCAATCCAGCTTGAGAAACTGAAGATTTCATTTGTTTTACTGTAAGCGCTAGTGGAATTATTATTATTATTATTATTATTATTAGGGAGGGGTTGTAATAGAGCACAGGTTTGTGTGCAGAAAGCCATTGTTTCATTTGGTATTACACACATGTGTAGGAAGAAGGCTGTAGGTTCAATTCCCAGCATTTCCGCTTACAGCTAGGAAAGACCCTGTCTAAACTGATGGAGAGCCTCTGCCTGTCTGTGTATATACAGTGGTATCTCGGTTTTCTAACATAATCCGTTCCGGAAGTCCGTTTGAGTTCTGAAACGTTTGAAAACCGAAAACCGAAAGTGGAAGCCTCAAAACGGAAAACTCAAAACAGAAGCCGCGTTTCCTGTTCGACTTCCAAGGTGCGTTTGAAAATCGAGGCACTTGCTTCCAGGTTTTCAGCGTTTGAGTTCTGAAACGTTTGACTACGGAGGCGTTCGAAAACCACTGTAATACTAAGCTAGATGGACCAATGTTTCTAACTGGAGGTGGGCTGAGGGCTCCAATTTCAGTGCAACTCTATTGACACCACCAGAACAATTTGGGGAAACAGCTAGAGACATTTGAGGAAACAGCTAGACTATCTCAATCATTCCTTATTGCCCAGTACTGGTCTGATTGTTCCACAAAGACTAACACCAAGTGCTCACCAACCCCTAAATGGCCTGGCTCTCAAGGACAGATTGCGGGCTAGTAGTTTTCCTTTTGTTATTTTCTGCAACATGTCTTTCCTCCTTTGTGTCCCAAAGTGGCCAACTTTCTTAATACTTCTGCACAATGTTCTTTGGTGACTGGCCCTTCAACAAGGGTAATTAAAAAAACAAACGTGATGTCCTATCACATATGTAAAACAGAAATGCAGAACCTGTATTCTTCAACTTTCTATCATATATAAAACAACATTCATGCAGAACAAAAATGTCATAAGAGAAGTTCAAAGTTGTTTTCTACAATGTTACATGTAAAATTAGGTTAAGAATGTAATGCATAGAGGATCCAACATTTCACATCTAAATCTACTTAATTCTTCACTTGCATGCAAGACTGATGAATATTAAAAGTCTAGTGTTCACAGTGTGGAAAAAGAAAAAGGTCAAAATAGGCTTAGGTCAAAATTGAGACCTGAATATGACTTAGCTTTAGCACAGTTGTAAAACTGCTTTTATGAGAGAGAAAATACTGCATATTTTATACTGCATATTAATAGTTATGTAGAATTATGCCTGAGGGTTCTCCTGCTATGTGGAAGGGCTTTAATTCATTTCTAAAAGGGTTTCTGAAATTATATGCAAAATTCAATCTTTCTCACAGATTTTCTGCTGCTTCTGCTTCTAGTATGAACCGCAATTGGACACATAAACCCACAGAGGAAGTATGTGAATTAACATCGAAAGAAAGGGGAAGAATGAAGCATAACACACTTGCCATTTGTTAGACCCCACCCATACATCTTAGAACAGCCATCTCCAGCCTGGTTCTCTCCAAATATTCGGAACTTCATTTCTTTCATCCCCATGCTGGCTGGGGCTGATAAGGGTTGGTCCAACATCATCAGGAGGGCATTAGGTTGGGAATACTGTTTTAGACTATGGCGCTGTGGGTTAAACCACAGAGCCTAGGACTTGCCAATCAGAAGGTTGGCGGTTAGAATCCCCGCGACGGGGTGAGCTCCCGTTGCTCGGTCCCTGCTCCTGCCAACCTAGCATTTCGAAAGCACGTCAAAGTGCAAGTAGATAAATAGGTACGACTCCGGCAGGAAGGTAAATGGCGTTTCCGTGCACTGCTCTGGTTCGCCAGAAGCGGCTTAGTCATGCTGGCCACATGACCTGGAAGCTGTACGCCGCCTCCCTTGGCCAATAAAGCAAGATGAGCGCCGCAACCCCAGAGTCGGCCATGACTGGACCTAATGGTCAGGGGTCCCTTTACCTTTACCTAGCTTTTGGCTGCTCTTCAAGCTAGAACCTAAACCAGACGCATTGGGCACAAATTGTAAGGAAATGCCATTACGTTTTGCGCTTTACTCTTACAAATAGAATATTAGGTGGCATGTTTGTGGCTGGGCTATGATTTCTTTCCCACTGCAAGTGGGAGTAATGCATGAATTAATGCTTTCACACACACACTTTCACACACAAAGGTTGCCCTATAGAGAAAACAAACCTATCCAGGAGGAGAGTTCTAGCCTAGGCTTCTACTTTACATTTGCAACTCGGCCCTATGTGTCAGGAGTCATGACACTATGGACGTCTACTCAGAAATAAGTTCTATTAAATTCAATTTCAGCCCTAATTTTCTAGGTACAGGGATTGTTTTGTTTATGTGTTTTTTGTATGGGTTCAGGCATGTAAATCCTCAACAGCAAACTGAAATTGTGGCCCTGTAGATGCTGTTGGAATCCAACTCTGCCATCCCTGACTATTGACCATGCTGATAGGAGATGATGGAAGTTATACTTCCTAGAGGGTACCAATGTTGGCTATTGCTGGTGAAAGGTGACAAGATGCAAAGGAGAACAGGAGAGAGGAGGGAGTTTTGGCAAGTGAATCTTTACTTGCACATGTCCTATGAAAAGCTACACTGCCAGCAATTCTCTCTTCTGCACAAGTATTAAAGAAAAAGGAGGCCAACTTCCTTTGTGTCTGGTTTTTCCTTTTACGCTCTTTCTGCCCCTTCTGTTAACTCTCTTCCCATAAAAAAGATGCATTCCTCTTTAGGTTAAGAAACACATGAGCCATGTAGATCCCAATGTGTCAGTTGCAGAATAGTAATATAAAAGGCAACAATGATATTTCACACATTGGCCAAAGGCCCAAATTATTGAAATACACAAGCCCTACCACCTGACTTCTCCCAAATTTAGCCAAATCATGCCCCCAGAGCCTTCTGTGAACAGTAGCAAAAGGGAGTGCAGGCCCTTTCTGGACCCCTCTGCAATATGAGCACTGCACCAGCATGAGTCAATCATCTTTTTAGCAACCAAGCATGAAACAAATCCAATGCAGCACAAGAAAATGATTGTGTCTGGGAACAAAATTGCAAATGTTTTCCCACAATTTTGGGGGGGTTTCATTTCATTAATTGCATAAATCATCACACCCTCTCTAGGTGTTTTGGCACTATGCTGGAGGTGCAAACCAAGGAAGGGCAGTGCTAACCACTTCCCCACAGATGTATGCAGAAGACATCTATTGCAGACAGCAAGGCTGCATGGTCAGCATTAATCACTTTCAATTAGACACAAACCACATCATTTGTGATGCTTTAATTCAACTCAGTGTACTAACTGACATGAGCACACCTATTTTCAGGGTTATTTTAAAAGCTTCCAATTAATCTCTCGCCGACAATTGTTCATTTGGAGAGTGGGTTTAATGTGAGCTACCTGCTGCACAGGTATCTGAAGGATAATTGGTTTATATAACACTTGCACTGTCGAGTCTTCTTAAGACTGTGTAAACCTCCCAGACTGTGAGCCAAAGGAAAGGAGAATTTGCTGCTGTTGCCATTCGTTTTAACTGTCAACTCTGGAAACTTGGGGTATCACCAGTGGTTCAATAGAGTGCTGACAGTCTTGTCTCTAAGGGCCTTCAAAATGGTGAGTCTTGGCATCTGATAATGACCAAAACTTTGCTTTTTTATTCCCAAAGGGACTGATCATCTAGATGAGACAAGAAGAATTGCCAGGTGTGCATGGATTTACAACAACAGAAACTGAGGTCACCTCTAGGTTGTGAGTATTTAGTGAGAGGAAATCAAGCATGTACCCGAAATTTAGATTAAAGTGCTTAGTCAATCTGGTGCAGGAAATCAACTTTTTTCTTTCAATGACTTTTTGTGGTTAGGAATGCTATGGGGAAATGCACTGAGAAGTGTGGGATGAACAAATGGTTAACAGGGAAATATATAAACATTGCACAAGCAAATTGGGGTGAATGCTGATTGTCATATAACTTCCCTGCAAAATATCCAGAATGAGGGCTCAATAAAGAGCGGACATCATACAACCTCTGCATATACTTTGTGCAAACAAATCAGGGCGAATGCTCAATGTACAGGCCACCTGGAGGAGCCCTGAGTGGGTTCAGCCAGCCAACAAAGCTAACCAGGCCAGAAAGCCAGCTCTAATGACCAGAAGTGGCATGGCAGCTAATCTTCATGCACAGCAAATGGTTCTGCAGCACAGTAGGGCAACCCACAGAAAGACGCATCAAGAAAAAAGGAGCCAGTCAGCCAAGTGCTCTATGGAAGATCACCAAGTGATCCAGGGTTGCCAGCATCTCTCTTTTGTTAGGATAATCAAGCATCCCTCCTACCTGGGTAACCCCACTATATTCAAGGACATTACAGTGGTACCTTGGGTTACAGACGCTTCAGGTTACAGACACTTCAGGTTACAGACTCCGCTAACACAGAAATAGTACCTCAGGTTAAGAACTTTGCTTCAGGATGAGAACAGAAATCGTGCGGTGGTGGCGCGAGGCCCCATTAGCTAAAGTGGTACCTCCGATTAAGAACAGTTTCAGGTTAAGAATGGACCTCCAGAACAAATTAAGTTCTTAACCCGAGGTACCACTGTACTCAAGTACCTCACTAACCATGGACTCCTCCAGATTAGTGGTTTTTTTACAGGTGTATTCTGCAACACGTCATGACACAATAATAGCACATTAGTAGGGGATTTATAATAGACCGTCCAGTGTGGCGCTTTATTAGTTCTTCTGTGGTGTCCCCCCAAATTACCACATTATTGCTATCCAGAGGGGGAATCTTGCACCATAGTGCAACAAAAGTGGAACAAAAAGAGCCCCGTAACATTTGTGGTATAAAACATTACTGTACAGGATTTCAGCAGGAAGCAGTTTGGAAATGAAGCAGTATGTCCTCCCTGAAACATCTGCAGGCACAAACTATTGAAAGCAGCGTTGTGTATAATAAAACAACAACAACAACAATTTTATACCCCGCCCATCTGGCTGGGTTTCCCCAGCCACTCTGGGCGGCTTCCAACAAAATATTAAAATACAATAGTCCTTCAGATATTAAAAGCTTCCCTAAACAGGGCTGCCTTCAGCTGTCTGCTAAAAGTCTGGTAGTTGTTTTTTCCTTTGACATCTTGTGGGAGGGTGTTCCACAGGGTGGGCGCCACTACCGAGAAGGCCCTCTGCCTGGTTCTCTGTAACCTCACTTCTCGCAGGGAGGGAACCGCCAGAAGGCCCTCGGCGCTGGACCTCAGTGTCTGGGCTGAACGATAGGGGTGGGGTGGGAGAAGCAAATGTCTACCTGTCCTGTCCCCAAGCCAAGGTGCACAGTAATCAAGGTCACTCAAGTTATTTTGGCACCTAGTACAGAATATCCCATGATATCCCAAATATCCCATGACCACCTATAACCATTCAACCATTCACCTGTAACCTGCAGTAACCGTTCAACAAATAATAAATTAAATAACTAATAGTTTGCTGCTCTTCTATGACAGCACAGATCAATTGCCTGTGGTGGCTGCCTCAACCTATCAAATTCTTGTAAACTGAGGAGTCACCTATGGCAAGTAGAGATTGCTTCTAGGCCACCCATCTGTGAGCTTCTTGCAGTGAGGGAACCGCCAGAAGGCCCTTGGAGCTGGACCTCAGTGTCTGGGTTGGACAATGGGGGTGGAGACGCTCCTTCAGGTATACTGGGCCGAGGCTGTTTAGGGCTTTAAAGGTCAGCACCAACATTTTGAAATGCTCAGAAACGTAACTACCCCAATACCATCATGAACACTCAGAACATTCAGAAAATTCAGAACAGTCCTCAGAACATTCATGAAAATTCAGAACAGTCCTCAGTTTCAGATGAAATTCCAAAAAAATAACAATTAAATTCATTAGGATCTGAAAGTATAGTTGTTCAAGTGTTAAAATTTGTATTCAGGTATTTTTCATTTATGAAATCAGACTTGCTGCATTCATTGTTATACACAGTAACTCTATCAGGAATAAATGGCTCTGTAAACAGATGCCCTTTTATTGCCTTTTACATTTCATATGATTTGAACCTTTTTAATGCAGCCTACTTTAATATTCTTAAATAATTTCTTCTCAGTCTGAAAAGCAGTGCTTTATTTCATGCAATTAGATATCTTCGTTGTTATGGATAAACACCTACGGCTTGATTCATAAAGGAAGGCTTACATGCGTGCAGTAAAATGCTGTACACACACCACATTGTTGTGAGGAATAGACCCTTGGGCATTTCCCTCTAGATTTACAATGAAACTTGGTTATGGAAGGGAATTGCATATGTGAGTCAAATGGGCTTGAGGCAGCAGCTCAGCTTTATCCAGGAAACATGAAAAGGCTTCAGGGAAACATCATCCCTTGGTGATCATAAAAGCAGCACTTGCCTGCTTCCATGTGGAATATCCTTAGAACCTTGTTCACAAGCTCAGAAAGAATGGAGAGGCAAAGCTGAGTGGTTCTGGTACCCAAAGGGATTTCAAAGACAGGGCTGCCAAACACAGGGGCCCAGATTCTTCAGCTAGATAAAACTGGGCATAAATGCAGGGGTTTACAATCACATCCCTCAGAGGCCAGTTTCAGTGGCCAGATTCAGGCTTTCAGAATAATCTGCTCAAGTTACAATCCACAATTTATTGAAATCACTGGAAAATGACCGAGCACGTTAAGGGGCAGCTATGAAATTCCAAAGCATTGGATACATTTAACATGAATAGTTTAATTTTACATAGGTTCATGAAGCACCGGCTGATCAAATCACACTGTTTAACCAGTCACATTCATTAGTTACAGATGAAACAAAAATGGATTTTCAGTCATCTTTAAACCAGGGAGTTGTCTTCTGTTCACACAAGACATTCCTCATTTTCTATTTTAGTGTTTATTATTTTAACTTAGATACTTAAAGTAAGGTGAAGCAGTGCATATTCTTACTTTTTATGAAACTTATTTAGGCTTTGTAAGAGAAGCTTTTTATTCCACAAAATATTCTCTGTCTTTAAGCCTGCAGCTGTATTTTTTGCTTTCCACCCAGTTGGAGATAAGGGGAGGAAGGGGCTGCCCGCTAATTAGTTTTTAACACAGTTTCAGTATGCACTGGGGGGGAAAAGGCCTACATTAGAAAAAGTCTTATAATCACCTTGCTTTAGATCTTTTTTTATTATGATGATGATCACCTTGTTTTAGCTTTGTTATGATTATTTATATTTTATATTGATTTTGAACTGTGAAGATTCCAAAATGCATCAGAAACATGATCTCTTCTCAACAAACTTATAATGAGTCATCAGCCGTATATCAAAGGTGATGTGAACTGAGGGTAACAGGACCTCACCAGGAACCAGTGAGGTGAAGTGGGGACTCAAGCTCAGCCATGCAGCACACTGGGTAAGCATGGGGCAGAGTTAAGAACTGCTAGATGTGTGTGAAACATCTGCATATGATGAACTGTAGGTTCTCAGTGAAGTAACTTCAGGTGCTGAATTGACCTTGCCTACCCAGGCTGGCCATTTTGTTCTGCTGGATAGGAAAAAGTATCACAGAGCTTCCTGCACCAGTTGAGACTTGCTCGAGCAGTGAAGGCTTTTTGAGCTTTGGTATGCTCCTGTATTCTTTATTACACTTCAGTTTCTGATTTCTGGCTTGTTCTTAGATCCTTCCTCCTGGTTCATCTTCCAGTTCTGACCTACAGTACAATCCTCATTGTGTCTATTCAGAAGTAAGTCCTACTGAATCAAATAGGGTTTGCTTTCAGGTAAGCTGTGGGACTGTGCAGTCCCATGGACTGCAAGAAGTACAAGAAGATCAAACCTCTCCATTCTTAAGGAAATCAGCCCTGAGTGCTCACTGGAAGGACAGATCCTGAAGCTGAGGCTCCAATACTTTGGCCACCTCATGAGAAGAGAAGACTCCCTGGAAAAGACCCTGATGTTCGGAAAGATTGAGGGCACATGGAGAAGGGGACGACAGAGGACGAGATGGTTGGACAGTGTTCTCGAAGCTACCAGCATGAATTTGACCAAGCTGCGCGAGGCAGTGGAAGACAGGAGTGCCTGGTGTGCTCTGGTCCATGGGGTCACGAAGAGTCGGACATGAGTAAACAACTAAACAACAACAAGCTGTGTTAGGAATGCAGCCTTATTCTTCGGTGCTGATTACTGGTTTAATTCAGACTGCTGTCTATGACCCAGGCCAATACCCACTACTATTTCTCAATATATGCCACCTTGAACTCATTGAACAAACATAAATAGTTGTTTGCCTAAGCCTTCGGCTACCTAGTGAATTTGCAGCAGAAACATTATTTAAGCCAAGACTCACAGATCACACTTAAGAGCTTCCACACTACAATAACACAAGTACTATAACTGCTTGGGATCCTACTGAAAAAATCCTACCAAAGGGATACCTTTGTTTTGTACCTTGTTTCGTGTGAGAAAAATGAAACCAATCCAAAGATGTGGTTCTGCTTGCACAACCTCTTTCACAAGTGGAAGCATGACCATTGTGATATAATTTATGTGTAATAGCACAATGTGGACTTTTTGAACAAGTTCCTGCACAAGTGTTTATGGTGGTGGTAGCCAACCTAGTGCCCTCCAGATACTTGGGACTACAATTCCCATTGGCCCAGCCAGAATGGCCAACGGTGGGGGATGATGCGAAGGAAGAGAGGGGCAAGCATGGGAGCCTAAGGCTTCTTTAGCCTTGTTCTAGGTCATGCTCATAATGCTAAACCATGGTTTAGTATTGTATACAAATCAGCCTAATATAATGGGAAGTGCACACAATATTGCTTTTACTTTTTTTATTGGCCATGCATCTTACATTGGCACTTTAAAAATATTCGGAACATCATTTTTTATCTCCATGTTTATGTTATTAGGCCATTCTTCTCCATTATGTCTGATTATGAAAGGTGTATTCCATATTTCAGAATTCATTATTATCTCCCTGCTATCTATCCATCTGCTTATTTTAGCAACCTCTTCCTCACTGTTGGGTTTGGTATAGACTTCCCATCCCTTTGCCTACTGCTTTAAACTCTCCCCCATAGTTCTGTCTATCCTCTCAGTAAGTACATTTGTGACCCTTCTGTTCACATGGAAACTTTCCCACCTGTACAGCCACCATCTGTTCGAAAATGCCCCAGCAATCTGAAGGGGATGGAGAAAATTCTCCTCTACTGAACAAAAAAGTAGATTGAAATCTTCCTGGGCTCCAAATATTTCATAAATATTCTCAGAAAATAAAATATTTTGATTACTGCAAACTTTTCCTACAAATATTTATCAGAACATCTACCAACTTGTTCCATCTTTCTGCAACTTAGATTCCTTAATTGTTATATTTTCACAACATGTTTATTTTTTACTTATGCTACATTATCTGCAGCTTGTTTTGCCTACTTTTTCCCCAGTTGCATGGATTCTTGTACTGTGCCTGCATGAATGATAAGGAGTAGCTATGGTTTAGCCTACAAAGAAAAGACAACAAGGCAGATTTCACAACACCACTGATTATCTTATGCCTGGAGTATGCAAATCAGCTGTTTACTCCGTTATCATTTCAAGGGTTTTATTAGTCACTGTCAAGTCATATGCTTTCTGAATGCTACTGCAACCCTAACAGTCTACTACAGGAGTAGGTGTTCCTCTAGGTGCTGTTGGACTCTAATTCCTATCAGCCCAGCCAGCATGGCCAGTGGTCAGGGATGATTGGTACTGGAGTCTTGCAACACCTGGAGGATGTATGTTAGCTACTGGTCTACTTGCTCAGAGGAAAGCAGCGAATAACACTGCAATTCCTTTTCCTTTACCTCTATCTATATCAGGGGTCAGCAACCTTTTTCAGCCATGGGCCAGTCCACCGTCCCTCAGACCATGTGGTGGGCTGGACTATATTTTTTGGGGGGGGGAATGAACGAATTCCTATGCCCCCCAACTAACACAGAGATGCATTTTAAATAAAAGCACACATTCTACTCATGTAAAAACACCAGGCAGGCCCCATAAATGCATTTTAAATAAAAGCACACATTCTACTCATGTAAAACACGCTGATTCCCGGACTATCCGCGGGCCAGACTGAGAAGGCGATTGGGCCGCATCGGGCCCCCGGGCCTTAGGTTGCCTACCCCTGATCTATATCCACCTAGAGGTAAGCAGAACTAAGTTCAATGTGGCTTACGCCCAGGTAAATAACTATAGGATTTCCTATTTTTAAAAAACCTCCAAAAATGCATAACAAATCTGGCATGCACTGACCTTGATGGGTTCTAAAAACAGGTTCTGTCACTCAACCCTTCCCAAACCAGGAATATCTGCATGACAGAATCGCCACAGCTATTATTTTCATATAAATTTTGTAATACCGTATATGTTAAATATCTTAAATTTATATTGAATACATGTGGTTTTCAATTTGTACAAAACTTAGGGTAAGTGTGATATAAAGCGCGGCAGAGAAATGTTTTTAATCAAATTGAAATAAAAAATAAAATTGTGCAGAAAAGTATTTGAAATTTGCACACTTCGATGAGTTCTCAGATCTCAGAACTGAAACTGAGCAGCAAGAAGGAACTGACAAAGCGGAGCAATGCCACCTTCTGCAGTTCCATGGACCTATGCAAATGGGATAAAAGTCATCTCTGCACTATGAAATAAAGGTGTATTAAAGATATGAAGATAGTAAAGTACCATATATAACTGTCTATTGTTTAGTAGTTTCTGAATGCAGTGAAATAAATTATAATATAATTCAGTTTCTCTAACAATAAAAGAAGGGTCTCAAGTGCTTCAAGCGACATGAAGAGCTAGCAGCAAAGAAAATTGAAACATCACATGTATAGAACTTACTTTCAGATGTGAATGGAGAAGGATGGTGCATCTGTTTTCCCCCTTCTTCTTCTTCATAACCTAAGGTGGGGGGAATGGGAGTTGTTATTTTAGACCACGAAGAAAAAACTCAGCAATTCAAAACAAACAAGAATTGCTACACACATATATAAAAATTATCCTTAAATTCATAATGCTGAAGAAAAAGGCTGTGAGGTTTTTTGGTTTTTGTTTTTCATTTTACTTTATAATATTTGAAACGGTGCATTGGAGATTGTAGAACATCAAACATCTGAAATGTGAGATCGGCAAAGGGATCTATGTGATTTTTGTAAGTGGTCCTTGCTATTGTGATGTGCGAGGTAAGAGAGCTGCAGCTTTGTTTATCTGGCCCCCGCACAATATTGTCAGGATGCATTTCCATTTTCCAAGTGACTGCTGCCACTGTGCCACAATCTGTGCTTATTTCTCAAGCAGCTAAACCCTTTGACACTGTGGTTTTTAATTAAAATTACATTAAAGTTAATCAGCCAGAAAGAGGTTTCTGTAGAAGGCAGGTTTGATTGCAACCTGCAAAGGGCATCGAGGCTGCCAACTCGCTAAAGATGTGGCGGCAGATGCCAAGCTGTTTGTGCAAGCCCAACCCTAGTTACCGAGATGCTGGAAGAGGTCACTTCTGTTTTCACCTTTATGAACAACTGTCACACAACGGGTTCTGCCTAAGAAATGTTGACCATGCCATGTGAACCGAAACGGAGGCCAAGAGACTAGTAGTCATCTTCTCTTTCTTTGTTAAATGGGTTGTTTTTCCTTTGTTAATGGGCTGACTAGAAGAAGAAAAAGATTGAAACTAATGCTTAAGAAGAGGTGAAGAACCTGAAGCCTTCCAGATGCTATTGTACTATAGTTCCTATCATCCCTGACCATTGGCCATGATTTGGAGCGGAAGGGACGGGAGTCCATCTGGAGAGCCATGGCTTCCCTATCTCTGATCTGTGAAAAATATCTAGTGTGATTGAAGGGTTAGAGAGTGCTAGACTAGATTCATGGAAATGTAGGTTCAAATCCTCACTCAGCCATAAAATACACTGCGGTCCTATCGCTGCACTATATATTTAAAGCACTATCATACTACTTTAAACAGGATGACTTCCCCCAAAGAAGTGTAGTGTGTTACGAATGCTGTGAGTTCTTAGGAGACCCATATCTCCCCCACAAAAAAAATTTCAGTTCCCAGTGTAGTTTAACAACCAGTCCCTCTTCCCAAAGAACTCTGGAAATTCTAACTGTGATGGGAATAGGGGTCTCCTAACAACTCAGAGCATCCTTAGCAAACTACAGTTCACAGGATTATTTTGAGGAAAGCCATGACTGAGTAAAGTGCTTATGATACTACTTTAAATGTATAGTGCAGATGGGGCCTAAGAGACCTTGAACTGGCTACTTTTTCTCCATCTAACCTCCCTCACTGGATAGATGTGAGTATAAAAGGGGAAATCATGTATGCTACTTCCTTGCAGAAGAGCAAAAGAGAAGATAAATGTGTAAATAAAGTACACTGTATGTACTTTAGAGACTTCATATTATGCATCTGTTTATGCCACATTTTCTGTGTTTGTGTGTGCGCGCGTATGAGCACCATAAAGTATCCATTCATGAAATTTCCAGTGGAGTAACATTAAATAATGCAAAGGTAATATCACTCCACAATAGCAGAGGCATTTTATTTGTAATTAAAGAGGTATGTGGCATGGGTTTGGCTGCCTCTTGAGGTATCATCATCAACCTTGGAGTGAGGGCTCCCAATGTGCAGGTGGTGGACTCTGTTATCATTTGGATGCCAGCCACTATTTTGAATCAAGATGGTGGACTGAAACATCATTTTGGCATGACCCATTTTGGTGTGATGGGTCCAAACTCACAAATGACAGCATTCGCTTAAAAAACACAGCATTTTTGGGTCTCTAAAAACTCCCAGGCAGCTCTGGGCACTGCCCACTAGGATCAGATAAAGTCTTCAGTCATAAATCCATATCAGATTATGGGTTTATTATTGATTTATTTTACTGTCTAGACTAGTCTAACTGGATGCCAGTCAAGGTGTAATCATTGCTCCCTTTTTTGAATACCAGCTCCCGGAATTGGGCTCTCAGTGGTTTACTAACATCTCAGGAATATTGGGAAATGCTTGGTAAAAAAAGTTTAAATATTAACTTGTGACTGCTGGTATTTTCTACCATATTTTCGCACCAAATGTTTCTTTAAATTCTCCTCCCTACCCACCTGATGTGAAAGATCAGCTGCCCTGCTGCCCCTGAAAAAATATTGTGGTTAGCCTTTCCAATGCCCCCTGAATTTGTGCATGAAACAAAGAAGCACTTGGATTGGCTTATCTATTGTACTTCCTACATCACTATTGATTAGGTAACATGGAAGTCTATGGTACCAGATGTGACTGTCAAAACACTTGGCCACTGTACTCAATGGGTTAACTGATGACATGCAATGTACTTAATCTGGAGAAAGCATTTCAAGGTTGGATAATACTTCCCCTCAGATTACCACTTGGTCAATTAGCAACCTTTAGGATAGAGCCGTGTCCGTGTATCCTTTTCTTATCCTGTCAGCTTTCCTTAGCCATTCACCAGTAAAATGGGCCTGCAACTAAAACCGTTTTCTCCCCCCTTCCCCCAGCTAGGGTAGCTGAAAGACCAGTTCCTTATCCCTCACAGAAACTTTCCTGTCGGCAATGAAACAGCAGTTATGTCACACCAGCTCAAAAGGCAAATGCGAAGGGACTGCTCAAGTATAAGATGCAGTCTGGTGAAAAAGAGAAAGATGGGGGTAGCTCATTTGACAGAGCTGTTCACACTTTTCCTGCACAGCTGGGAGACATTAGCTTGATTTCCCAAGATTGGTGTGTTTTCTAGCACGGTGAACTAAAAGCAAAAATAAAATTAGAAAAAACAGCATTTATATATACAGAGAGAGAGAAAGAGAGAGAGAGAGAGAGAGAGAGAGAGGCGGACAGAGAAAGAGAACTGAGTATTTTGTGAGATATATTTACCTTATGAAGTTTTAAAAATCCTGTTTACAGTACAGTGGTACCTTGGGTTACAGATGCTTCAGGTTACAGATGCTTCAGGTTACAGACTCCGCTAACCCAGAAATAGTACCTCAGGTTAAGAACTTTGTTTCAGAATGAGAACAGGAATTGCATGGCAGTGGCGTGGCGGTGGCAGGAGGCCCCATTAGCTAAAGTGGTACCTCGGGTTAAGAACAATTTCAGGTTAAGAACAGACCTCCAGAACGAATTAAGTTCTTAACCCAAGGTACCAATGTATATTCCTGTAACCAACCACTTCTGCCTTTAGATTAAGGATTGCATTCAACTAATTTTGACTCAAAGCAGAGCCAGAAGAACCAGTGGAAATAATGGCCAGGACTAACAAAGGTCCATTGTCCCCAGTAAAGTTGGAATTTCATATCACAGTGAACAGGAGATGAGCAAGTAACAGCATCCTACTACTGTTGAGGTGTGGCAGCATGACTGTGACTGCAAGGACCAAGCTGGTTTTGATCAATGCATATGGCTAGATTCCTGTATACAGTATATATATTTAGTAATGTTAAGCTATTGAATTTTCAAAATCAGGCACACTCAGCGTCACATGGCAAAACTATTCCTGAACTGCGTATCATTTGAGAGCACAGATGAGGGAAATCACATGATTCAATATTTTGCCATATAAAAATATTCCTTACACGTAGAAAATGAAATGTCAAGGGAGAGCGATTCAATTTTGACCTTCTCCCTGACCATGTTTTTATAAAACACATTCAAAAAGTATTAAAGCTCTTTCAAATTTTCTTTGATAGATGCCCTCCTCCAAATATGAAATAACACATTTATGATGTGATGAAATTTTTGTACATATCAGGCCTAATCATCTTCTGCAAGGCAGAACAATCTGTCCATCAGTATGTAGCCCCATGAAAGAGGACAAGGAGACCTGGAGTGGAGTTTAAATGATGTTCACCAGTCTGTCCCTGCCTTTTCTCCAGCAATGAATTTTTGACACAAGGAATCAGAGGATGGTAATATGAGCCATTAAAAACAATAGGAATATGGTCACACCCAAGTGGCACAGTTTCATAAAACCTTCTCCTATTATTTATATAATAAAAGATGAGTGAAAATAAGATTAACTGTAGTTTCCTTCTTTATGACATGATATATTTTCTAGCCTTACGAGCAAACACCTAAACACATTTTTGTTTAATCCAAACCTATGCAGGTAAAGAAATGAACAAATGAGGTCATCATGCATCAGCAGTTTCTGACATATTTTCAGTTCTTTCCTTGAAAATTCAACTGCTCATTAATTTCGCCATTCTGCAGTATTATATGATGATGACTCAATGTGTGATTATAGGTGCAAAATGCTCTACAAGGGCGTGGGGAGTCTTGTTGACTTGATATATTTAACCGTGATACTCATTTTAAGTCTAAATAGTCAAATAGTCTCCTAATTCAGGCTGTGTTCTGAGGGACTGCTATTTTTCTCTCAGCTTTTGAGTTTCCTTTTCCTTATGGTCATCTTTCAACAGTTCCTAGAAATATAAATATATAAGAGAAGTGAAGATTATCACCAGAATATATTAAAAGCATGGTAGATATGGCAATCAGTCTATCTGCTAGCCATGGTGACTCTGCTCTGCCTTCACGGTCACAGGCGGCAATGCTTCTGAATACCAGTTGCTGGAAACCACAGGAAGGGAGAGTGTTCTTGTCTTTGGGTCCTCCTTTAGGGTTTCCTACAAGAATCTAGTTAGTCACTGTGACAACAGGATGCTGGTGTAGATGGGACACTAGCTGATCCAGCAGGTAATTACCAATCAGTGAGCTTGACCTCGAGACCAGGAAAGACCCTAGAGCACTTAGAAAATGCTGTTATTTCTAAGACCCAGCATGGGCTTGTCAAAAACAAGTCATGCTAGGGGAATCTCATTTGTTTTTGTTTTCTTGATAGAGTAAAAAGTCTGGTGGATCAAGGGAATGGTGCAGACGTAGTATATCTTGATTTCAGGAAGGCTTTTGACAAAGTTTCCCATTACATTCTTGCAGAGAAGCTGGTAAAATGTGGGCTGGATGAGGTAACTGTTAGGGGCATTTGTAGCTGGTTGACTGACCAAACTCAAAGAGTGCTCACTAATGGTTCCTTGCCATCCTGGGAAAATGTGATAAGTGGGGTGCTGAAGGGTTCTGTCCTGGGCTGGTTGTTTTTCAATGACTAGGATGAAGGTATTGAGGGGATGCTCATCAAATTTGCTGATGACACCATGCTGGGAGGGGTAGCTAATGCTTCAGAAGACAGAATCAGGATTTAAGATGACCTTAACAGATTGGAGAACTGGGCATGGGTGTAGCCAAGCGGGGGGTGGAGAGACAGCTGCCGCCGCCCAATTAAGTAAAACAATAGAAATACTTAACTAACTGATCTATCACGTCAGTTCTGTCCCCACCAAAAGTCCTGCCCCCTCAACAAAAATCCTGGCTAAACCCATGGAACTGGGCCTCAACTAACAAAATGAATTTCAATAGGGACAAATGTAATGTGTAGTGATAAAGCAGGATATCAAATCCAAACTCTTCTAAGGTTCTACATTTAGGCAGGTCCCACCTGTGAAATAATGCCCCCCCCAAAAAAACCCCCACACTTTTGATTATGAGCAGAATGGATGGTATCACCATCACAGGGCAAATGAAGCCCGGTCCCATACATTTCTGATCTAAGGACAGGGCTTCTGGGTTAGGCAGCCTATCTTTCATGAAGGGTTAAGCCCAATAAGCGTTCCTTTTACAAATGATGTCTGAGGGGAGGTATCAGGAGGCCAAGCATGCAAAAAAACTGTTATAACAATAATAAAAAGTATACAGAACCTGGCCATAACCCTTATTGGTGTATTTCAAAAGATATATATGTGAACAAAGACAACGATACATTCCTGCTTTTTCAGGGGTCAGCAAAATTTTTCAGCAGGGGGCTGGTCCACTGTCCCTCAGACCTTATGGGGGGGCAAGACTATATTGGGAGGGGGGATGAATGAATTCCTATGCCCCACAAATAACCCAGAGAGGCATTTTAAATAAAAGGACACATTCTACTCATGTAAAAACACGCTGATTCCTGGACCGTCCGCGGGGTGGATTTAGAAGGCGATTGGGCCGGATCCGGCCCCAGGACCTTAGTTTGCCTACCCATGTTTTAAATCTTCATGCTGTTTGTTGGAAATTGGCATTTGTTATATTAAAAGTAAGTACAGAACAGAGCGATCTTGCTGCATTAATGACAATGGTGATCATAGCACAGGAAATAGACTTAAATGAAAGGAAAAAGAAAGTCTCTCTCTCTCTGAATCAATACAGACAGTAATCCAGGTCTATATCTTTCGTATTAGCTGAGAGCTCTGGGTGTGATGACCCAGACCTGAACCCTGTTCTCTGCAATCCATACGTATCATTTACTCCATACACAAATTGGTTCATGGACTTGCACATAGAGACGTGACTCATCTCATAATGCTCAATCACAGCAGGAGAAGAGATAGGAGAAGAGAACAGAGGGATTGGGGGACGGAGAGAGAGAAAGAGAGAGAGAGAGAGAGAGAGAGAGAGAGAGATCCCTTGTGGCATAGCTACTTTGATGGCCAAGTAGAGACATCTTCACTTCTTTGTCACAGAACAGTAGACACATTGCAACTGACTATGCTTCAGGGTTGCAATTAAAATGGTTTGGTAGGACTGTTATCCTTGCATTGATCCCAGGGAACAAAAGCTACAAAAAGGTAGTAGGGGTTTGGGTTTTTTAGGCCCTACAGGTAAAATGCACTGGCTATCTCTTCCAGGACTAACTTGTTAAGGCACCAGTGTAATGTCCTATTGATGTTCCCACTGATCCTAGCCAGCATGGCCAATGGACTGGGATGATGGGAATTGGAGCCAACATCTGGAAAACACCACACTGGCTACCCCTCTGTTAATGTATACAATATTTCTACTTCAGAAAGGCAGGCAGAGGTTGGTCATGCGTCTTGCCTTTGGGACAGTCCTCTGTTTGAAGGATTATCAGCAGACTATCTGAAAGAGTCCTCTATTTTAAGTGCTGCACAGTAGAAGTCTTAAAAAAAAAAAAGATTAAGAATTGTAAGAAGGGTGAGCAGGTGCCTGGAACAAACAGTTAGCAAGCCACATGCTCCAAGTATTGTATTGTATTATATGCAGTTTTTCAGCTTAATTGCTTCTTATGTCAATTGTATTTATTATTTTGTAAACTGCTTTGAGACTTGTATAAAGCAGTATGTGTGTGTGTGTTAAGCTAGCTAGCTAGCTAGACATAAAAGTCTTCCTCCCTATCATGAGATGCTGTGAATTTCTATTTTAAAATGACATCTAAATTTGCATCTATTCACATAAATTGGTTTACGCAATTTAAATATGAAATTTTGTCCTCTTTTCATTTGGTGATGCATAATTTTCTGCCTTAGACAGAAGTCTTCAACATGAAAACCTATAGCTGTTTCCGAAATCATCTTTACATTTTTTACTGTGACTTTCTTGAAAGCACATGTGTCAGGATGCAAAAGAAATTCAAATGGTCAATTTTGATTATAGCTGGATGTGACAAAATAATTTTAAAAGAAGAAAAAAAGCTATGTTTTCCTTTGTTGAGGAACTTTAGTCTCATAACCACACACTCCATGACAAAATAGAAAGGCAGTCAACATACAGAAAACTAGTTTCAAACCCTTATTTACACACTACCTTAATACACACCCACCCTGCACCATAGTCAACTAATTAAGTAAATTATCAGGACTGAGTACAGTAGCCTTATTGTTTCATATTGCAATAATATGCAATTTTTGTGTGTTAAGGTATCAAAATAAGATTATAGATCAGTTTTATGTTTCTTTAAAAAGGGAAAAGCCAGAAAGGAGGGAAATAATTGATTTTATCTGTCATCATACTTAACGTCCCCAAGGAATGGATTTGGTGATATCAATATAAATTCGCAGCACTTGGCTTCCCCTGTACTGACTCTTAATTTCATGTCTGAACATGGCTTTCCCCAAGTGATTGCTTGATTAAAGTGCTGTGGTTTATAATTATAATTTATAACTCATTTAACAGACAATATTAGTTAATCCCTAAGAATGTGATGGGAATCTATGAAGACCGTGTCCACAATGTACCATCCATCCAGCACTGCTGCGTTTCTCAGGGAGCCTTGCTGAAATGAATCAGATGTTTATGATGTTTAATGGATTAGTCCCATGTTATACCATCACCACAGAGATGCAGGAAGCTTCTTTATCTCGAGTCAGACCATTGATTCATCTAGCTCAGTAACGTCTATACTAGCAGGCAAGCAGCCCTTCAAGGTTTCGGATGGAAGTCTTTCCCAGCCCTGCCTGGAGATGTCACAAACTGAAACTGGGACTTTTTGCATTTTCTATCCTTGTGGACAGCCCCAGGCACTCTTAGGCCTTAACCAGACAGATAGGTTTCGGAGAGTTAGGGTCAGGGTTTCAATACTTATCTATTATCATTACCATTATTGAATTTTATGAACATCACATACAAATCAGATACAGTGGTACCTTGCTTTACGAACTTAATCTGTTCCGGAAGTCCGTTCTTAAACCAAAACCATTCTTAAACTGAGGCGCGCTTTCCCTAATGAGGCCTCCCGCCGCCGGTGCCCTTCCACTGTTCGGATTCTGTACTTAGACCGAGGTAAAGTTCTCAAACCCACACACTATTTCCGGTTTTGTGGAGTGTGTAAATCGAATCATTCTTAAACCGGACTGTTCTTAAACGAGGTACCACTGTACTCCCAATGGTCTACAGTAGCGGATCATTAACCTTTTTAGGACTGGTGATTTCTAATTTTAATTTGTAGGGAAGATACACATTAGCTAACGGATGTTTGGGGAACACTGGCTTAAAGACACTAGTACGTAATAAAGATTGTCATTAACTTTAAGCCAGGTTATTGTTGTTTTTATTTATGTCCGTTAATTTATTTCAAAAGTTCTGAAATATCACATTGTTTTAATTAGCTAATGAGAGATGACAAAACTTGTATTTCTGACAAGGAAGACACCTTAGGGGCACTGGAAAGAAACCACATTTGTTTTCTGAGAGTCTTGTGCACTTGATGTCACACTGTCATTTTAAGCTATCTCAGCCTCCTACTGCGAAGCAAGCAAACAGATTTGATTTTGGTCCATTTTAAAGTGCATTGTTTTATGACAAACGTCAAAGCCACTGTTTTTTTTATTAATGTTTTATTTAAAAAGGTAAAGGTAAAGGACCCCTGACAGTTAAGTCCAGTTATGAACGACTCTGGGGTTGTGGTGCTCATCTCGCTTTACGGGCCGAGGGAGCCGACGTTTGTCCGCAGACAGTTTTTCCGGGTCATGTGGCCAGCATGACTAAGCCGCTTCTGGCAAAACCAGGGCAGTGCATGGAAACGCTGTTTACCTTCCCGCTGGAGCAGTACCTATTTATCTACTTGCACTTTGATGTGCTTTCGAACTGCTAGGTTGGCAGGAGCTGGGACTGAGCAACGGGAGCTCACCCTGTCACAAGGATTCGAACCGCCCACCTTCTGATTGGCAAGCCCTAGGCTCTGTGGTTTAGACCACAGCGCCACCTGCGTCCCCACGGATTATTAAAGTTATTAGCAAATGCACCCACATGATGGCATTGCATATGGAATTGTAATGATACATAATGGTTAGATCTGAGTAGGTGGGCAAGTGTCAAAGGCAAACTTCCCTTCTTCCTTTGGTTTTGCCCCTGTTTTTCTTTCTCTCAGTTTACGCCTCCCCTTAGTGTTCTTTGTCCGGGACCTGCCATCTTTTATTCCATTGGCTTTCTATCTGTTGCTTCCTCTTCCCCCTCCCTTCAGGCCTCTGCCACCTCAACTCCCCTTGGATGTGTTTTTTTGTTTTAAGATCTGTGTTATCAAAGTGGTGCCTGATGACTCCCTAAGAACAGAAAGCCACAAATTAACTACTATGCTAACCCCACTTCTCTGAGAAGTCTGAGGGTGCAGAACTTAGCCAGGTTTGCTTTTCTTTTGATGGAATCACTGGAGGCTTATTGGTGTTTTGTAATATTTGCCTTCATTCGCAAATACTTTGGTTGAACATTAGGTGGAAAACGCTTCAAAGCCCACTGCCCCTAAACCAGGTCTGCAGGGAGACAGCCGGCACCCCAAATTGCTGATATCTCATAGAGTCCAAAAGTCAGCTCTCTGTGACTTTATCGCTCTCTCTCAAATTGCTGTTTGTCTTCACACATGGCAACTAGATCACGGCAGGTGTGAGGCATATCTTTCAGGCATATCCCTAGGCACTTAAGCCCTGTGTGCACATTATAGCTCCTGTGTTGATGGACATGGGGCAGGGAGTGGGACTTTACCCAGCAGTTTGGCCCTCTAACACCCACCCTGTCTGTAAGTAGGTGCCTTTGGTCATATAGTTATGCACACAAAGGTTTCCATGGGAACTGGAGCCCAGTTCCGGATCCCATGAAAGCCTTCATGCAAAGGCCCCTTCCCTACAGACATTTTTACGTTATACATGCAGACATCAGGGGAGGTGGGCTTATTATTATTATTATTATTAATTGGATTTATATATGGCCCTAGACCCAGGGGTCTCAGGGCAGTTCACAGAATAAAATCAAAATATAAAACCACAAAATACCTAATAAGAATAAAAACAACAACCCAATAGCCCCCTCCCACAAAAAACCCCCACACATTTTAAAAGGGCATAGGATGTAAATTGGATCAACCAAAGGCCTGGTTAAAAAGGAACGTTTTTGCCTGGTGCCTAAAGGTGTGTACTGAAGGCGCCAGGCAAACTTCCCTGGCGAGAGCATTTCACAGACAGGGAGCCACTTCAGAGAAGGCCCACTCTCATGTTGCCACGCTCCTCTTGAGGAGGGGGCACACGAAGGAGGGCCTCAGAAGATGATCTCAGGGTCCGGTTAGGTTCATATGGAAAGAGGCAGTCCTTGAGGTATTGCAGTTCGGAGCCATTTAAGGCTTTATAGGTCAAAACCAGCACTTTGAATTGGGCCCGGAAACTAATTGGTAGCCAGTGCAGTCAGACCAGGATCTATGTAATATGCTCGAACCATCTTGCTCTGGTGAGCAACCTGGCCGTTGAATTCTGCACTAGCTGAAGTTTCCGAACCATCTTCAGAGGCAGCCCTACGTATAACACATTGCAGTAATCTAACCTTGAGGTTACCATAGCATAGACAACAGCAGAGGTAGAGAACACCATCTCAGAGAGAGGGGCTACTCATTACCTCCATGCTCCTTGCATCACTGTTCATCAGCACAAGAGCTATGTCACCAGGAGCACTCTGGGTTCCGCTTAACCCTCTCCTGTCCAAACAATAACAATCCCTGTCCTGAGACTGCTGAGGCATGCTGAACCAAACAGAGGTTTCATTTCTATCCTTGGCTCTCCTTGTACTACTTACCTGGCAGCCAAATTTGAGGAAGAGTACAAGGAACCATACCTCACTGCAGTGAAAAGATTCACAATAGCAGGACTGAGAAAGGCTTGCCTAAGAAATATCTACCACAACCCTGGAAGGAAGATAAGTATCGTTAATCTAGGGTCTTTTTTGTTGTTGTTAAAAGCAGCCATGGGGGTGGAATGGGGTCATAGTGCTTGGGAAGGCTTAACCCCTTTTTCTGGACTATTTCCCACCCAGTTAAAACTGCCTGCCAACTGCTGTTTGCCATGCAGGGCACCTATATGCCATGCAGGGCACCTATATGTTTTGCCCTCTGGGAAAACAGATTTAAATTTGGAAAATTGTGCAGGAATTTATAACAGCCCCTCCAGAACTGCAGTACCAATCCCAATTGCCCTCTGCCTTCCATGGCTACTATTAACAAGGAAAAAAGAAAACCCAGAAAGATCCCATTCATGAATTTCTTATACCGTACCCTATCTAAAGGTAAAGGTAAAGGGACCCCTGACCATTAGGTCCACTCGTGGCCGACTCTGGGGTTGTGGCACTCATCTTGCTTTATTGGCCGAGGGAGCCGGCGTACAACTTCTGGGTCATGTGGCCAGCATGACTAAGCTGCTTCTGGCAAAACCAGAGCAGCTCACGGAAACGCGGTGTGATGGCCTGGGATTCCGATTCGGAGGATGAAACAGAGGAATCCCGGCCTGCACAGGAGTCCCCGCCTCCAGGGCCGGCTGAACTGGGGCAAGGCCTTGATGCTGAAGAGCCTGCACCTGTGGCAGTGCATCAGGAGCTGGCCCCAGGTGAAGCCCTTCGGGCCCCAGAGGGGCTTGATGACTCAGTGGCCACAGGTGAGCCTCCTCCAGGGCCCAGTAACCCTTCGGCCTCTCCTGATCTGCAGAGGCTTAGGGCAGAGAGGCGAAGGGAACTGGGTGCCCCCAGGAGGAGTGCTCGCCTTAAGGCCAGAGGAGGCGGGGCTCCTGGGGACCGGGACCGCCCCTGGCCTTAGAAGAGGATAAAGCCCAGTCAGCCCGGCCCCAGGTTGCGGGAGCAACGTCGTTGTTGGCTTCGGACCTTCCTGTGTTCCTGATCCCTGCTCGGCTTCCTGTTCCTGACTATCCGGTACTCCTGTTCCCTGCTCGGCCTCCTGTTCCCGACCATCCGGTGTTCCTGTTCCCTGCACAGCCTCCTGTTCCAGCATTCCTGTTCCCCGCCCGGCTCCCTGCCTCGGACCTTGCCCCTCTTCGTGTGGACTCTGCTACACCCAAGGTACCTTACCCCCGGGACCAGCACAGTTTGCTCCCGCCCAAACCCGCACTCCCCCCTTCGTAGGGGTGCGTTCGGGAAGAGCCAGAGGCCATGGCTGACCAGGCGGCTGCACTGGTGGCTTTGGCCCAGAAGAACCAGGCCTTGACTCACACCGTGCAGCAGCTCAGTGACGCGGTTGTGGTACTTCAACAACGCTTGGAAGCCCTACCGGCTCCTGGGGCCGACGCCCGGCTCCTGGCAAGTACCCAGTGGCTTTGCCTGAGAAATTTGATGGAGCCCCGGCCAGCTTTCCCATGTTCCTGGCCCAGGCCAAGCTGTATATTCAGGGGCGAGCCCGGAACTTTCCTGACGACCGCACCAAGGTGCACTTTTTGATTAGTTTGTTAAAGGACCAGGCGGCCAAGTGGGCGTTGCCGCTACTCAGGCTTGACTCCCTTTGCTGGCAGACTATACGGGGTTTTGCACTCGCGTGGAGGCCGTGTTCGGCAACCCCCAGCACGGGAGTCAAGCCACCCGGGCGCTCCGGCGCTAGAACCAGGGCAAGTCCACGGTGGCCGCATATACCACGGAGTTTCGGCTGTTGGCACAGGACTTGACCTGGAATGATTCGGCACTGCGGGACCAGTATCTCGAAGGGCTTTCGGACGAGGTACTGGACCAGTTGGCCACAATGGAACGCCCCACCACGCTAGACACTCTCATTCAACGGAGTCTACAAATAGACGACCGGTTGGAGGATCGTCGTCAGGCCCGGGTCGCCGACACTTCCAGTTCACGGCACCAGCTTTTTCCGGCAGCCCCACGGTCACAACTGATTTAACGGAGGAGCCTATGCAGCTCGGGGCAGTGCGGCCACGCCTTTCCCCCGCCGAGACGGCGCGGCGGCGGGCGGGACCTCTCGGTCGTTACTGTGGCGGAAGTGGACACTTCGCCGGTCTTGCCCTGAGAAACGCCAGCCGCAGGGAAACCGCCAACCCCAGTAGCTGATGGCCCTAGCTGCCGGGGGTCCCAAACCGCGCAGAATGGGCCTGCATCAATGGACTCGCAACATCTTATGGTTCCGGTACGTTTATACCCTCCAGGTGGGCCCTGGATCCCCACCCATGCTTTGGTGGATTCAGGGCAACCCGCTCTTATATGGACGCTGCTTTTGCCGCCCATCATCAGGTGCCACTTCGGAACAAGCCAGTACCGGTCCAGGTGGAAGCGATTGACGGACGACTTCTGCGTTCAGGTGCCGTTACTCAGGAGACCCAGCCCCTGGTCCTGTGTTTCCAGCGGCACCGGGAGTTGCGAACTTTGGACATTGCCTCTATGCCCCGCTTCCCCCTGGTGCTCGGGATGGACTGGCTGGAAGCCCACAACGTTCAGATTCACTGGGTCAAACGGACCGTGCACTTCCCAGACCCATGTTCCCATGCTCAATCCGGGACGCTGGCGGCCGCGTCCTCAGAGGAGGCAGCACCCACGCTCCCAGCCGTGTACCAGGACTACCAGGACGTGTTCGAGGAACGGGGGGCAGACCAGCTGCCGCCGCATCGGCCTTTTGACTGCGGCATAGACCTCCAACCCGGAGCGCCTCTACCAGTGAGTCGCTTATATTCTCTAACGGAGCCAGAGCGCGAGGCTTTGCAGGACTTCCTGCGCAAGAACCTGGAGCGTGGGTTCATTAGGCCGTCCACCTCGCCTACCGCGGCACCAGTGCTTTTCGTTAAGAAGAAATGTGGGGAACTCCGCCCTTGCCATGATTACCGAGCCTTGAACAAAATTACCGTCCCAGACCGATACCCCTTGCCCCTTATCTCGGAGCTGCTGGAGCGGGTGCAAGGGGCACAGGTGTTCACCAAGCTGGACCTCCGGGGCCTACAACTTGATTCGGATCCGAGCCGGGGATGAGTGGAAGACAGCGTTTGGGACCCGGTACGGGCAGTTCGAATATTTGGTTATGCCTTTCGGGTTGTGCAACGCGCCTGCTGTGTTCCAACGCTACATCAACCACGTGTTTCAGGACTTGTTAGACAAGTACGTGGTGGTGTATTTGGATGACATACTGATTTACTCCCGTGACCCGGCTCGCCATGAGGGACATGTCCGGACCGTGCTGCAGCGCTTGCGTGAGCACCGCTTGTACGCAAAGCTCAGCAAGTGCGAGTTCCATCAGCGGACTGTGGACTTCCTTGGTCACCGGCTCTCTCCGGATGGGGTGCAAATGGACCCGGGAAGGTGACAGCGGTTCAAGAATGGGCGGCACCCCGGAACCGCAAGGACCTACAACGCTTCCTGGGGTTCGCCAATTACTACCGGACCTTCATCGCTGATTATGCTCATCGCACCACCCCGCTGACCCGGCTACTGCGCCCAAAGACGCCGTTTTCCTGGGACAAGGAGGCAGAGGAGGCGTTTCAGGGGTTGAAGGCCTGTTTCCAGAGGGCACCAATCTTACAACATCCTGACCCCTCTCGACCCTTTGTGGTGGAGACCGACGCCTCCAGTACGGCTCTCGGTGCCGTCTTGTCTCAACAGATTGGGCCCGAAGCGCCACTCTTACCCTGTGCCTTCTATTCCCGCCAGCTCCTACCAGCGGAGCGTAACTATACTGTGTGGGAGCGGGAACTACTGGCCATCAAGGTAGCCTTTGAGGTCTGGCGCCACCATCTTGAGGGGCACGACATCCGGTGGAGGTAAGAACCGACCACCGGAACCTGGAGTACCTCCAGACCACCCGCAAGCTGAACCAAAGACAGATCCGGTGGGCGTTGTTCTTTTCCCGGTTCCAGTTTCGGATCCGCTACATCCCTAGCTCTCAGAATCTGAAGGCGGATGCCCTGTCCCGGAAACCTGAAGACAACGCAGACACGGTACAGCAAGCAGAACCCGCCACGATCCTACCTCCGGCCGCATTCCTGGCCACCCAGGAGGCGCAGCCACTGCAGGTTCGGGTGCGGGAACAGCAGCGGGTCGACGCTTGGGCCCAGGAACGACTCCGGGAGCTGGCTGAAGGGTCCAGCCCACAGTATCCGGGGCTGGTCCTGCATCAGGGCCTCCTGCTGCACCACGGTCGTCTGTACATCCCGCCAGGGCCACTGCGGCTGGAGGTTCTCCGGATGGCCCATGATGCCCCGGCAGCGGGGCACTTTGGACGGTATCGGACCACCCATCTGGTCAGTCGTGAGTTTTGGTGGCCCCGCCTGAAGGCTGACGTGGCTCGCTACGTTGCTGGCTGTGATGTCTGCCGACGCGCCAAGGGGCCTACCGGGCGACCCCCCGGCCTACTTCAGCCATTGCCAGTTCCACCGCGCCCTTGGCACACAGTTTCGTTGGACTTTGTAGTGGACTTACCTCGCCTCGTGGCTGTACCTGCCTTCTGGTTTTCTCCGACCATTTCACCAAGATGGTGCACTGCGCTCCTGTCCATCTGTACCCACAGCCAAGGAAACTGCTCAGCTGTACCTTCAGCATGTCTTCCGCCTGCATGGACTACCTGAGCGCGTGGTGTCCGACCGGGGCGTTCAGTTCACATCCCGGTTCTGGCGAGCATTACACCAGACCCTCGGGACAGAGGTCTGCCTCTCGTCAGCCTACCACCCACAGACCGATGGCCAGACGGAACGGGCGAACGCGGTGCTGGAGCAGTACCTCCGGTGTTACTGCAGCTACCAGCAGGATGACTGGGTCGACCACCTGGCATTGGCGGAGTTCGCCTATAACAACGCGGTGAATGCGTCCACCCAGCAGACCCCGTTCCAGGCCAGTTATGGTTATCATCCACGGCTGTTTCCAGAGGTGCTGCCGGCATCCGCGGTCCCGGCGGTGACAGAGTGGCTTCAAGAGCTCCAGTCCCAGCAACAGCTTTTGGTGGAGCAACTGCACCAGGCCAAGGAAGCGTACAGCCCAGGCCGACCGCCACCGCCAGGTGGGGCCGGAACTCGCGTCGGTGACCTGGTTTGGCTCTCCACTCGCCACCTTCACCCCTCTCGACCTTCGCGGAAGTTGGACGCCCGCTTCACCGGCCCGTTCCCTATCGTAGACCAAATCTCTCCTGTGGCATTCCGTCTCCGGTTACCCGCAACCCTGAAGGTTCACCCGGTCTTCCACAGGTCCCTTTTGAGTCCGGTGGCCCCACCCGACGAGTTCCACCAGAACCGTCCCCGACCGCAGCCAGTGTTGGTTCGGGGAGAGCCTGAGTACGAGGTGGAACGCATCCTGGACTCCCGATACCGCAGGGGAAAGCTGCAGTATCTCATTGACTGGAAGGGGTACGGACCGGAGGACCGTTCCTGGGAACCAGCGGCCAATGTCCATGCACCTGCCTGCCTCCGAGAGTTCCATGCGACGTATCCCGGCAAGCCGGGTCCGGACCCTCGGTTGAGGGGGGGGCCTGGGAGGGGGATGGTGTGATGGCCTGGGATTCCGATTCGGAGGATGAAACAGAGGAATCCCGGCCTGCACAGGAGTCCCCGCCTCCAGGGCCGGCTGAACTGGGGCAAGGCCTTGATGCTGAAGAGCCTGCACCTGTGGCAGTGCATCAGGAGCTGGCCCCAGGTGAAGCCCTTCGGGCCCCAGAGGGGCTTGATGACTCAGTGGCCACAGGTGAGCCTCCTCCAGGGCCCAGTAACCCTTCGGCCTCTCCTGATCTGCAGAGGCTTAGGGCAGAGAGGCGAAGGGAACTGGTTGCCCCCAGGAGGAGTGCTCGCCTTAAGGCCAGAGGAGGCGGGGCTCCTGGGGACCGGGACCGCCCCTGGCCTTAGAAGAGGATAAAAGCCCAGTCAGCCCGGCCCCAGGTTGCGGGAGCAACGTCGTTGTTGGCTTCGGACCTCCCTGTGTTCCTGATCCCTGCTCGGCTTCCTTTTCCTGACTATCCGGTACTCCTGTTCCCTGCTCGGCCTCCTGTTCCCGACCATCCGGTGTTCCTGTTCCCTGCACAGCCTCCTGTTCCAGCATTCCTGTTCCCCGCCCGGCTCTCTGCCTCGGACCTTGCCCCTCTTCGTGTGGACTCTGCTACACCCAAGGTACCTTACCCCCGGGACCAGCACACGCTGTTTACCTTCCCGCCGGAGCGGTACCTATTTATCTACTTGCACTTTGAGGTGCTTTCAAACTGCTAGGTTGGCAGGAGCAGGGAACAAGCAACGGGAGCTCACTCTGTCGCGGGGATTCAAACCGCCAACCTTCTAATCAGGAAGTCCTAGGCTCTGTGGTTTAACCCACAGCGCCACCCGCGTCCCTGTACCCTATCTACTTTGGTCTTAATATAACATCCTGCTTAAAGGCACCTGATGTGATGATATCCCAAGTGAGCTTTTAATCAGGCACTTCCCAGCCCATGCTTTTGCGCATTAAGTACTTTAAAATATATATATATGTTTATAGTTATATCTTGCATTTCCCTAACAGTGGGGGTTTTTTTTATTTAAAAAAAGGTCTCCAGTAGTGCCAATGGAAGTTTCCTTTGAAATGCAGCCAACAGTTTTGGGTGGGGGGATAATTTTATCGGGACTATGGTAAAAAGGGAAATAATTAAACTTTATCCTTCCCCTTCCCATCCCCAAGGCTGCTCAAGATCTCCCTCCTCTATGCCCCGCCAAACAGATGCTATTTACATACAGGGAAAAATGAATATTGATTGCATTCACACAATTAACATAATGTCTAGTTTGGTTGTTAGTTACTGACCAAGTAGATTATAGCATCTAGCCTGCCCAAGCCAGTCAAATAGTTTGCAAGGTACATGTGGTTTCACATACGGGGGGAGGGGGGAGGGAGAGAGACATGGTCAGGGCAGCTGGGTGCTTAGCATGCAGGTAGGTCACTACAACTAATTCTATCCATCCTTCAACCAAGCATCCTTCCTGCTCAATAGCAGCAGAGCTCACAATGGATGGCAGACATCAAAATAGCACAGAGCTATAAAAGATTCCACCCCCCTTCTTCCTCCTTTTATCTCGTTTCCCTTTCAGATTTGTTTTTCCCCTTTTCTTTCATGCCCTACAAGAGCAGCATTAAATGCTGAATCAGACAATGCGTGAGGACAAAGTCCTTCTCGGATAATTAGACTGAGCCTCAAATATCTGGCCTGTACACATCTTTGTATACCAAGAGGATCTGAGCCCCCAGTGATTCAGGGCCAAGGGTGGGAGCAGCAGCCTGTAAGAGGAGACTGCGTGTGACTCTTCTTGCTAAAACTGTACACCTCTAGCGCATATTTCATCCATGTTTCAAGGTCGCCAAAGAGATCAGAGGTCCAAACCACTTAGAACTTCTCCATGCATAGAGAGATAGGAGCCGGCCAGCTGTCATAATTATAAATTTAAGCAGACCTACTGATGGTGCCTGCCTCTATAATGGATTCAAAGACATGAATAAAACTCCTTAATTTTCAAGTATTTCTTTTTTAAAAATTAATATTTGAAAAGGGGAGAAAGTAGCTTGTTAAGAAATAAGATTTCTAAGGTTGCAGCTCTTGCATTGAAGGATACAGCTTGGTGGCCTCTCTTATTATAAATGTTCTAGTACCCATCTGATGCCCACTTATTTATGGATTTTAGACTAAAAGCTCTTTTTTTGCCAGTTTTCTTCACAAGCACTTATCTCAACATCCTCATTAGATGGTTTTTCTCTTTTCTTTTTTTCCAGGGCCTATCCATGCCCTCAGTACTTCTTTTTGTTCCATTCTGCAAAAGAAATGGCTTTAAATGATCACTCTCCACCAGTTCCAACTTTTCCCCCCTTTGTAATTAGCTTTATTTGAAGGCCAGGAAAGTAAAAGGACCAGAAGGATTTTTTCTCTCTTTTCTAAAACCCTCACCGTTGAACAAAAGAGATGATGTTCTTTACTTCAGCCATATGCTGTATGAAGCATGTGCAGAGTGGGTCAGCATGTCTCCGTTTTGAAAATTAGTTTTTAAAAAGTCTGGTCCTAATAAAGTCTGCATAAGATGTAAATGGCAATGTGAGAAACTTGCCTTGGATCAGAAATGAGAATTTGAACCACTATAAGTCATCATCCTTGCCAACATCTATGGAAAGCTACCTAAGTTAATGAATTCGAAGAGAAGGATATGCCTCAAAAAAGAGCAAAAATAGGAATAGATTACCAGTATCTTATAAACTATCTTCATTAAATCATTAAACACTGTGCTCGTTTATTCTCCCTTTCTTGGAGATGGAGAAAAGCAGTGCCTGGACTGACAAAAGGGGGACAAGTCACAGGGACGTGCTTTCTAAGCACTTTTCTAAGCAATAGTGCCTTATGAATGTGATGGGTGGGAGCAAGCCACAAGTGGGAATCGGTTTCATAGAGGGTTTATATCAGGAGTGGCAGTGCTGACTATGGCTGATAGGATTTGCAATCCAACAAGATCTGGAGGGCCACAGGTCGCTATGGCCACAGAATACGCAAAAATGGAAAATAAATAGAGGAATTGAGGGCCCTTATGAAATTCAGCTCCTTTGGAATGGATGTCCATTTATTTACCCATGACATGTTCTTTGCTATCACTTGTGGGTATGCTAGCTTAATTCCCCTCTCCCTGATAACATTTGTGGAACTCCTCCTAATAAAGTGTCTTCATGTACAATCTTTGTCCTCATAATATGTAAACATATTTGTTGTACAGTCTACATGTCTTTCCTTCAGGTGGGCATAGTATTCTACACCTTATTTTGTTGTTGTTGTTTAGTCGTGTCCGACTCTTTGTGATCCCATCGACCAGAGCACGCCAGGCACTCCTGTCTTCCACTGCCTCCCACAGTTTGGTCAAACTCATGTTCGCAGCTTCGAGACTGTCCAACAATCTCGTACTCTGTCATCCCCTTCTCCTTGTGCCCTCAATCTTTCCCAGCATCAGGGTCTTTTCCAGGGAGTCTTCTCTTCTCATGATGTGGCCAAAGAATTGGAGCCTCAGTTTCAGGATCTGTCCTTCCAGTGAGCACTCAGGGCTGGTTTCCTTCAGAATGGATAGGTTTGATCCTCTTGCAGTCCATGGGACTTTCAAGAGTTTCTTCCAGCACCATAATTCAAAAGCATCAATTCTTCAGCGATCAGCCTTCTTTATGGTCCAGCTCTCACTTCCATACATTACTACTGGGAAAACCATAGCTTTAACAGTACGGACCTTTGTCGGCAAGGTGATGTCTCTGCTTTTTAAGATGCTGTCTAGGTTTGTCATTGTTTTTCTCCCAAGAAGCAAGCGTCTTTTAATTTCATGACTGCTGTCTACACCTTATAGAATACTTCTAATTGCTTATAGAACATCATCTCATTTCTTTGCTTAGTAGAGTTATAAGCCTGGTGGATCAAGGGAATGCTGTGGACATAGTATATCTTGATCTTTTGACAAAGTCCCCATGATATTCTTGCAGAGAATATATTGGTAAAATGTGGGCTGGACAAGGTAACTGTTAGGTGGATTTGTAGTTGGTTGACTGACTGAAGCCAAAGAGTGCTCACTAATGTTTCCTTGTTATCCTGGGAAAAACATGACAAGTGGGGTGCTGCAGGGTTCTGTCCAGGGCTTGTTGTTTTTCAGTGTCCTTATAAATGGCTTGGATGAAGGTATTGAGGGGACGCTCATCAAATTTGGGAGGGGTAGCTAATGCCACAGAAGACAGAATCAGTATTCAATATGACCTTCACAAATTGGAAAAGTGGTCAAAAACTAACAAAATGGATTTCAAGAGAGATAAATGTCAGGTTCTTCACTTAGGCAGGAATAACTAGCTGCACAAATATAAGATGGGGTACACCTGGTTTACATGTGAAAATAATCTAGGGTCTTAGTAGACCACAAGCTCAACATGAGTTAACAGGGTGATGCAGCAGCAAAAAAAAGCTAATGCTATTCCAAGCTGCATCAACAGAAATAGTGTCTAGATCAAGAGGGGTTGTACTGCTCTATTCTGCCTTGGTCAGATCACATCTGGATTAGAATGTGCAGAGGAGGGTGGACAAGATGATAAAGAGTCTTGAAAGCAAGCCCCTTGAGGAATGGTTGAGGAAACTGGGTGTGTTTAGCTTGGGAAAGAGGAGACCGAGTGGAGATACGATAGCCATCTTCAAATATCTAAAGGGCTGTCACATGGAAGGTGGAGCAAATTTGTTTTCTCCTGCTCCAGAGGCTAGGATTAGAACCAATGGCTTCAAGTTATAAGAAAGGAGATTCCAACTAAACTTCAGGAAAAAACTTTATGATGGTAAGAGCTGTTGGACAGCGTAACATACTGCCTCAGAAGGTGGTGGACTCTCGTTCCTTGAAGGTTTTTAAGCAGAGGCTGGATGGTCATCTGTTATGGATGCTTTAGTTGAGATTCTTGCATTGGGGGGGTTGGACTAGATGACCCTTGGGGTCCCTTCCAACTCTATGATTCTATTATTATGCGGGGAAATCTGAGAACCACGGCTGGAGAAGAAGAGAAGTCAGTGGAAAGGAAGGGCAGCAAAATTGGAACATGTGACTGACCTTCACCACTTCAATTTGGACTGTGCAATTGCCAAGGACATCAACGAAGAGCAGCAACGCAAAGCTGGCTAGAGAGTCTTGCCTGTGATAGATGTCTTTCAGCATTGAAGCTTCCTTGCTGGTAAGGTTTTTCAAGGCAGGGCCAATGAAGGCTGACTCTGAAGGGACACAACCAAAGGAGAGCACCCCTTCGGGAAGCCACGAGGGGACAGAGGCACAATCCACTGGATTATTTTGGAAGTTGATCGCAAGGTTCCTGAGTGAGACAGGAACCAGGGGTGGAGAACTCCTTGAGTTAGAGGCTAGGGGGCCTGGAAATATGAAAGTGGGGAGTTTACTGTTCTGTGTGGAGGGCCCAGCTAAACATCTACCTGGCACTTTAAAGCAGCATTTTATAGTGCCTTTTGTTGAGGTCAGTACTTCATCATAGCACTGGTGCATTATTTGGCTGCTGTATCATAGCACCTGAACTAATAAAATATATACTGCTCTTCATCATCAAATTTCAGAATGGTTTACGTATCTTAAAACAGCAATAAATTAAAGTAACAAATACAACAATCCAGAGTAGAAAAAAACATGTTATTAAAAGCTAGATGCACTCAGTTTAAGAACAGCCCTGTTTATGAACTATTCAGTTTACGAACTCTGCAAAACCAGAAGTAGTGTCCCGATTTGCGAACTTTACCTCAGTCTAAGAACGGAAGCTGAACGATGGAAGGCACCAGCAGCAGGAGGCCTCATTAGGGAAAGCGTGCCTCGGTTTAAGAACCATTTCGGTTTAAGAACGGACTTTCGGAACGGATTAAGTTCGTAAACCAAGGTACCAATGTATTAAGATCAGTAATGCAAGTCTTTAATAGGCACTGAAACACAACTAAGGTTATCAAGAAAACCTTGGGGGTACTCTTACAACCAGCATTGGCTTTTCTATTTACATTATATGAATTATATTTATAAGAATATTTATAAACTGTCAACAGATAAAAACATGGCAGTGGACAAATGAATTAAAATATCAAAAAATTATAAAAAGCATAAAATGAAGAACAAATGCCCAGCACTCATTTTTATTTGAATGTTTAGTGGAGAGAATGTGGAGGGAATAATATGTTGGGTGATGCCAGAGGGGAGGGTGGCAGGGGCACCCCTATTGCACCCACCATGACCAGGGGGGAAATACTGGAAGTGCTGGAGGTGTTGATCCTGGCTGCTCTAACAGTGCTATCTGGACTGGTGCTGCTGCTCTTTACTGCCAGTGTAATCCTTAATAAGATCTACTGCCTATATGCCATCCACTAGAAGTCATCAAGAGCTCTGCCATGTCTGAGAAGGCACTATGCTTTATAAAATAAATATCAAGAACAATAAAAAAAATACCCACAGCAGTCCCTTGCCATTTTATGACCTTAGCTTTCTTTAACTTTTACTTACGATGGAACGTACATCTAGCCAGGCTTTTATAGCTGTGCTGTTGTCCACCCCTCAGCAACAGTGTTTTTGTTCCCAACTTGGGTCTTGCAGGAGCATCACAAATATAGAGATACAGGGTGAGTCTTTTAAAAGAGGCTCCGTGGAACATGTGTACTCTGTATCCACGGGGCCTCTTTTAAACGACTCACCCTGTATATAAATTGCATTTGGGTAATGTATCTTGGAGATGAATGGAATTAAAATGGCTTAGTGCACATAATCACACACAAAATACATAGCTTCAGCTATAAAAACAAAAAGAAAGAAAGAAAGAAAGAAAGAAAGAGGAAGGAAGGAAGGAAGGAAAAGACTGAAAAGTTTTGGATAAAATCACAGCCACTATTCACTCTCACTTTATACACAAGTGCAGACACCTAAAAGGTTTACCTCCAGCTTTTCTCGCAGTGCATAAAATATAATTTAAAATGCTGCCGGGGATCCTAAGGGCATTCCAGCTCTGCTGGCAAGATATTTCCTCCTACCCTAGTAGAGAAATACATAACAATGTTCTTAAAAAATTAAAAATTTAAAGGAATCTGAATATATGCCCCACTGTCAATTCTCTGGGTTGGCATCATGTTATTCTCCAGTGCTCCATCAGCATGGATTCATTGTGAAATGTCTGCATAGCCTGTGGAAAAGCTGTTTGTGCATACAAGGCACAGCATATAAATTAAGATTACACTTGCTTTGGGTTTGTTCTGGGAAAGATACGCTCTCAAAGAGCGCCTCTCAGCATGGATAGTGAGGGAAGGGCATAGCAAAATGTATGTAACTCTTGATGTATATTTTATCTCAAGCAACAGTGCGATTCAAAAGGACAGTAATGCTTTAAACCCCTCCATAATAGACCCAGGTTGTACGGGTATGTGTAAATAAACCTTATATCATAAAGAACCTGGGTAAAGCGCATGACCCCAGGAATCTCACACTACTGTGGAGACTGGGATGGTGTATAACAAAATCCTATGCTAAACCACGGCTTAGCTTTACAAAACCTGAATCTCTCATGCTCTCCCTCTCCTTCTCTTCTGACACAGTCATGAGGCAGAGATTCGAAGCTTCAACTTCAGTTTTAGATCAACTGTAGTTAAATACTGTTCATACACCCTAAAGTGTGGTTAAATTGAATTATGGCTAGTTGAAAGAAGTCAACTTCTTCTATGATTTGAAGTTGGCTTGTTTCCACTAACCATAGTTATGATAAACCACAGTTTCTTCAAGCTCAGACTACATGGCAAAGTGTGTTTAATCTAAAATGGAAGAAAAAGCTTTCTAATAACTCACAGCCATGTCAGAGAAGGGGAGAGCATGTAAGCCTGATATGCAAACCAGCCAAATGTGGTGCTAATCCACAGAATTTCCTTGTTCATGGGATTAAAAAGTAACATACAGAAGACTAGAAATCCTGTTTCTTAAATTTCTCTGTGAACAGACATGTGACAGGGATTAAAGCGGTGGACATTCTAAAGACATGTTCTTACTAACCAACCCAACAGCTCACATAGAAGCATGGGTCACTCTTTTTTTTAGCTTGCATTACAAAATTACTTACTTACATATGCATCAAATGGATCACCTTCTGCTTTCCCACATAGTATATCTATCTGAGAGTATATCTAGCAAAACAGCTTTAGACTGTGTGGGGGAAAGCATGCACGCACACACACATTTTTTGGGAAGGCAAATTACTTCTAAGCAAAATACGGCGATCTCATTTTAGACATATCTACAAATGTCCCCAACACTTTTTGCTGATATAAGAACAGGGCTTGACAATCTAGTGTATTTATCCAAACTAAAATAGCCACTCGTCTGTGCTTTAGTGCCATTTTCTGTCATGCCAGCATGACAGCACTAAGTGTTTAGTTGGAATAAGTGGTTCCATGTCCTTTGATAATACAACATGGTTCCAGCATTCTGTTCACTACAATTTCAGCTCCATCAGGGGTGGCACAAGGCCCCTTAGTATTCCCAGAGATTTTCAAACTCGTGGCACATGTGCTCTTTTATGCACTCAAGTCGTCTGGTCCATTTGGACTGGGATCATGAGGGAATACAATTAGCCAGCCACTTTCTTTACACCGGCTCGCCTGCCAGTCTGTTTTGAGCCTTAGTTATTTTGATTCCCCTCCCCTCTTTTTTGATTTTTGAATTCTCTAAGACAGAAGAGCTCAGCAACCTCATATTCCACACTGCACCAGACCAGACCAGAGAAGCCAGATTTGTTATGCTACCGGTAGAACTATTCTCAACTCAAATAAAACATATTCCGATTACATAAGCGTCATAAAAGCACTCTCTATTCTGTTTGTAAATAAGACTCAAATATGAAATCCTGCCAGTAAAGAAGAAACCCGTGGAGTGAATTTTGCTCTCAGTTCTACTAATTCAGACTCTCATTGGAAACGTCTCAAAGGACAGAGCACTTCCCACTACAGTGGGTAGAGAAAGCTGATCACATAGAACCTAAGTTTAGACAACACAACAACACACACTGAGGTGTTGACATGTAAGTGCTGTTGCTTTCAGTAGAACTTTCAAGGCTGAAGCTGTGCATAGGATTGCAGTTGTACACCCTATAGTATGTTTTGCAAATGAAGAACATTTCAATTTCTCTTTGGGTGACCTTGAAAAAGGGGTACATCTTCATATACGAGGCTGGTAAACTAATTTATTGTTGCTCTTACAGAAATCACTCATATGTTAAGAAAACCTAAATACAATGGATTTAAAGAATGGGACTACTGTAGTGCTTTATATTAGAGAACGGATGTTAAAATAACTCATCTAGAAAGATCACATGCACCATGCCGGTCAAATAGTATTTAACTTTGATTGGCATTACTTTAGATTCCAAGGTAACATTATCATTTGAGTCAGGGTGGAGAAAGTTTCGGCTTCAAATCGGGAAAGCGAGGGGGCCATCTGCTTGTCAATCACATGATATCATTGTGATACCACATGACTGACAGGTGGGCAGGCCACCCAACTGTCAAAACCTCCTCTGTGGTTTTGCAAAGTGCCATTTGAACCAGCCTCTACCTGCCAGTGACTCACAATGTTTTCATCATTACGAGAACAGAACAGTGCCAGAGAGGGATAGGCATTAATTCAGCTGACTATCCAGATTGCAGGTGAAGAGTATGACCTGAAGCCAGACCACAATTCTGGATTGTGTCCTAAAGCAGAAGAATTATTCTAAGGATACTTAATCCCTACAATTGTTAAAGGAAAAATGCTATGCAAGAAAAATATTCCCATTCAGTATCTTCAAAATTCAAAACCTGCCCACTGTTCACCCCAGGCATTGAAATGCATTAAAAGTTCCTGATCTTGCTGAGTTTCTGTGGATAAATCAAAGCCATATCAACTAGCAATAATGCAGCAGGATTCAAGTGCATGCTGAAGTGTTTGGCAGATGGAGAATTAATATAGCAAAATGAAGTGACAGAAGCCACAAATCTGGATGAAACAGAGAAGACTGGCTGAAGAGGAGGCATTCTCAGAGGATGTGCAGAGTGCCTTAGCTTCAGTTTGTGCATTTTTTTGTTTTTGTTTTATTTATGCTTTGTTGTAAACACCAACAAAAATAGAAAAAAACATACATCTATGACACTTGTTACACCAAATACAAAATAAACAAAAGAATAAAATCATCTGTTTTGACAGTAAATCTTCTTAAGGTACATCTAACTTCCCGTCTTCTCCATGCTTCTTTTAATATTTACAAATTTATTGCATAAATTTATCTCTTCATTTTATATTTAAGTATTATTCTCTTATATCCTTGTTTCTTACTTAGTACAACTACAGAAGTTATTCGAAGGCTGCAACCAAGTTCATACTACCACAACTGATCTTAAGATATGATTTGAAAACCTCCCATTTTGCAATACTTGTTTTGACTTATCTTTCATTTTTTTGAGCTACTTGGGCTAGCTCTGCATATTCGGCTAGTTTTTGTAACCATTCTGACCTGGAAGGGATTTTATCACTTCTCCATTTAGTCGCTATTAAGATTCTCGCTGCGATTGTGGCGTATAAAAAAAACTTATTTTACATTCTTAGGAATGTCTGATCCTGTAATTCCAAGTAGAAATGCTTCTGGTCTTTTTATAAATGAAACTCTAAACATTTTTTAAAGTTCTATATAGATGTCATCCCAGAAGATCTTAATTTTTTTACATAGCCACCACATGTGCAACATAGTACCAGTTTCTACTCCACATCTCCAACAAGTACTAGATACATTTTTGTACATTTTTGAAAGCTTCCATGGCATCAAATACCAACGGTATTGCATTTTTTGAAGGTTTTCCCTCAAAGTATAACATGCAGTAAATTTCCAATTTACTTTCCATAATTTTCCTCACTTTTCATTTCTATATTATACCTAAAATCCTGGGCCCATTTGATCATGGCGGTTTTCATCTCTTCCTCCTTGACTTCCCAGTCAAGGAGGAGTCAGTACACCTTTGAAAGAGTTTTCGTTTTTGAGTTGACCAAATCCGTTTCTAATCTAGATATTTCTGGTGCAAATCCCTTTTCCTTATCTGTTTTAAATGTTTCAAATAATTATTTTCATTATTTGGTTTCATTATTATCAATTTGTGCATTTCCTGGCTTCAAAGCAGATGTGTGTTTCTATGAGCACACCTGTTTTACCCAGAATTAAGTGCTATGAAATATGCTGTTCTACGGCAACAGTTTTTAAAGGGTTTTTTTCCTTGTTTTTTTACAATAAAAGTTTTGTGGCAGTGATGATCTTTGTGAATTTTATTATAGTGGATTGGAATTACTTGACTTTAAAATGTATGGGTTAAAATCTAGACGTTGCTCCATAATCTGATGTTACATTTCAGACAATGATGAAACCCAGGCATCCACAAGCTTATGCCTCATCATGGGAATTGATTCATCACACTGTAATCAGTCTTTTGGTTCTTATCTGAATACAGATTAAGATGCTGGAAAAGATTTACATCTTTGTGCTGTAGACGGAATGCACAAGAAAAATAGATTTGACTAGTGATAGGGTTTAGCCTCAGTACCAATTACTCAGAAAGGTGACCTGTAAAAGATTATTTCTAAACTGGATTGATCCCATTTCCCTTTCTTTTTTAATAACGGAAAAGAAGACTAGAAATAGTGCAAACCTTTCCTTTCCCTTCCCATTATTTACAACAGCAATGTCAAGTTATGGCCTCTCCATAGCTGCCAACTTACAGATTTGAAAATAAGGGATCAGCAGCCTCGAAAATAAGGGATAGGCAGCCAAAATAAGGGATTTTGGCTTAGCTTATACAGAAATCCGCCACTGATGGAACCATGCTGCTTTTGCTGCCACTGACTGTGTTTTGCAGGGGGTTGGACTAGATGATCCTAAGGGTCTACAACTCCGACCAAAGAAGAGTGGCAGACAAAACTGATGAACGACGTTGAGATGGCAAAGCTTACAGGCAGAATTAGAAACTAGGAAGAGGACCTCTTTAATAAAGAATGGGGAAAGTTTATAATTTAGTTGAAAAGCTATTGTAAAGAGTTACATACATTGGTAGGATTGACAGAAAACTTGTAGTAAAAATTTGAACTATGGATGGACAAATGATTTATAAAAATAGAGTTATGAAAGGGATGCAGAGGGGGAAATCACTACATTAAGATGCTGCACTAGTTGGAGGGTATGCAAGGCAGCACGCCGGGCCTGCCGTCGTCCTGGCATGAGGAGTTCCATCGGCCCTTCCCCGCCCGAGAGAGACTCTCGCCCATGCCACCCGCGAGCCCGGCATGAGGCGGTTGCGGTGCCATGGCGGCCGCTGAAGTGCCGACCTTCTGCGTCCCTCCCCATCCCCTCCTCTTCCTCCTCCCTCAGGCCGCCGCCTCAGCCGCCACCGCTGCCTCCGGCTTCCCCTGGCAGCGTGGCGGAAGTCTCGCAAGAGAGGGGCTGCCTGTCCGCCCGCTGCCGCCCGTCTTCTCATGACGCGCCCCTGAGGGGGAAAAGGGAGAGATGGAGACACGGCAGCTCGTGCGCGCGCTCTCTCGCGCGGCGGAGGACCCCGAGCCACTGCTTCCCTCCCGAGCCGGGCGAGCATGAAACTCAGGAAATTTAAGGGACATCACCAAATTTAAGGGACACGGCGCTGGGATAAGGGAGTTTCCCGCCAAATAAGGGACGGTTGACAGCTATGGGCCTCTCTTAATTTTGTTATAGACCCCTAAATAGCTAAAATGTTTTCCACAAGTATCCAAAGACCTCAGTATCCATATACCCTGAATGCAACCATCACTGTTTTATTGTTTGAATGCACTATAAACCACTCTGGCATCTTATTTTTTAATAAATGTTTATGACCTGATCAAAGATAAGATTCACAAACATGGCCTTTTGCCTGTTATCGTGGTTTATGAAAAGGTTAAGCGAGGACAGTGTTTAGGTAACTAGAAAAGAATGTGATGCAAGAGCCATACTGTGAGGTAAGATGTCATGGCAACAGAAAAAGAAACAAGAGAATAATATGACCCACAAATCATTTAAATCAGCCTGTGCTGTAATACTGATGTTAGCATCTGAGGCAATACTTTCCCTTCCAGAGTCTAGACCATGATAGACTATTAAAATAATGATCAGCATAAAATATAGCTTGGCAATCTTACGCTTGTGAACTCACTTCCTTCACCCACGTTCTAACATTTTCTTCCTTACTTCTTAATCTGTGATAACTGCAGTATCTGATAAACTATAGTCTGATGTGGCATCTCTATTAGGCAAACCACAGTTGCCATAAAACAGCCTTCCCTAACCCAGTGCCTTCCAGATTGTTTTTGACTACAACTCCCATTAGCTCCAGCTAGCCCAGTTGTGCTGACTGGGGCTGATGGGAGTTGTAGTCCAAGCCATCTAGAAAGCAGCCATTTGGGGAAAGTTGCCACAAACCATAGTTTGCCTCCAAACTGGAATTGGAAACCTAGTTCACACAATGTTTTTTAATATTGGTTTTCTGAAGAACTGAATTTTGCCTAACTTTGATGTCATGGGATACTACTGTTATCACAAAGAATGGATCAGGGAACTGGAGCATACAACAACATGAGGCAAGTCCCAGATACAGTCCTTTAGTCAAACTAAACCATGATCTCTTTCATTTCAGCATGGGTCACAATCAGGTATTATGAGGTAGTTCACATGGTCTTTGTTCCAGTCAACCAATCACTGGGCACAGAAGTGCCTGCTCATTTGAATAACCAGCCTTATATAAGAGTTTACCTCCAATGAAGGTTCAGGCATTTGCAGGCAGGCAGTTAGACAGGCAGACAAGCAGTCTTGCAGTCTCGGTGTATGAAACAAAATGGCTTCACGGAGACTAATGCGTAGGAGACCACGGCCACGACCACGACCACGGTACAGGGGGAAGGCCAGGAGAAGGCACACAGTCCGAAAGAGAACTATAAGGTCTGTGAAAAGATACAGAAGGCAGAAACCAAGAATTAGAACTGCCTCCAAGTTGCCAAGGAGGATCCGGTCTAACAAGTTCCGAATGACCAGAGATGCTTGGGGCATGTTGCACTCCTATGTAGATGGCATCTACAGGAAAGTGTCCGGGGAAGCTGAACGCCTAAGGAGAAAGGAGCGACGCCCCTCCATAATTTCCTCAGATGTGCAAACTGCCTTGAGGCAAGTCATGCCAAGAAAATACACCAGGCGAATTGCCTTCAGCAAGACTCGTTAGAAAAAGTATCCTTTCCCTTCTCTATGGCTGGCTTATTAAGGCTAAGAACAGAAAAGAGAAAGGGAAAGTATGGACACCAGCCTGAGAGAAATTACAATCTTCTGCCTGCCTAAAAAAGATCGAACACGGCCTTCAAACTGCCAAGGAATCCTGTAACCTACCACATTTTTTCTAAACCAGCCTCACTACCAACTATTGTTTGAAGATGAAGAAGAATCTGGGAGAGACCAGGCCCATCACTACAACAACAATGCCATCCTAATAAAATCAACCTTCTGTTTAGGTATTTTCTGTTATGCGTGGAAGCAACTATCAGACTATGAAATACCAAAGGCTTTCCATCTTTGTGAATCTGAGTCAGCAGAGAGAGATCAACCATACTTAGAAATGAAAAGACTATGTGAGGTGTTTCCTGAAGGGGCATTTCCCTTGCAATAAAACAGGATTAGCAGGATTGTTCATTGCACGTCTCTTTTTTATAACGGGGTCTGAAACTCTGCGTGTGTCAGGGTTGGGCAGTAATTTAAGGAGAAAGAGTTTTATTGAATCGGGGAATCATGATGGAAGATAGGTCATCACTGAGGGTGCCAGAGGAATCACCTGATAAGACCTGATTCACACATTCTTTTTTTCTGACGATGTGAAAATAGCAAGGTTGTAACATGGTGGTTGTATGAAACAGCTTTCAAAGTTACATCTCATGGACTAAGGGTTCTTATGAATTTGACAAAAATTAAAGGGTTCTCCTAAGTGTCAACAGGCTGCATATGGTCTTCACGGTGCCATATACTGAAAGTTCAGTTTTCTTATTGCAGTATGCCGTTAAAAACGAGAAACTGCAACAACTGAAGATAGTAATTGGAATCTTTAGTTTACAAAAAGGTGGGCAACCAGTAGGTCAGATTCTCACTCCATAGGCCAACTTTAACAAGTTGGCACAATAGCCCACCTGACATTATTATGACATCAGATGATTGAGAGATGCCTTGTCCCACCCACCTGTCAAAGCCCATTGGCCAGAGCAAGTGTGGAGAACCTTTGGCCCAACAGTTGTTGCTGAACTACAATTCCCACCATCCCTGGTCATTGGCCATGCTTACTGGGGATGATGGGAGCTGTAGTTCAACAACATCTGGAGGACCAAATATTCCCCTGGTACAGAGCTTCACAAGCACCTGACAGTGGCTGGTTCTCACATGCTTAGGAATATAATCAAGCAATTTCCATTGAAACCACTGCCCAAACAGAACTTGGTGCTTCTGGAACAAGGCATACTTACCCTGCTCATTAATTCACTTTAAGTTATGATTATTCCTTTTTGCCCCACCCTGATGTCACATATGATGTCATGTGAGCATGGTGTTTTTTTTTTAAAAAAACTGCCTCACAGACCAGAAGGGAAGGAGCTGGTGAGTCAAATGTGGCTCACGAGCCAAAGTTTCCCCATCCTTGGTTCAGAGCATATTATAAACTCACAAACACATGCCACCATACCGGTACGAGAACAACTCTCATTGCTTGGGTTACACTTTCTTGTTAAAGAAAACATAGTATGAGAAAGTTCAGCAGACATGGAAGTGATATTTTCCCCCTAAAAAAAATTATAGCCTAAATAAAAGTTGAATGGCTATTTTTCAAATTAAGTTATTTACTTTCTTCCTGGCTGATGCAGCCTCTAAGCCTTAGAATCCCAAACAGGGTGTTAGATTCTCAGGAACTCCTGCCCACAAATGTGTTTAAAAATTTACATGAACAGCCAGTTTTGATAATACACTTTTATTGTGTATGCTCCAAAATCATTCCTAGAGGAGACACTATTGGAAGAAGCCCATAATCAATAAATCCTGTAATTCTGAGTAAATGGTGCCCCATATTGAACCATTGAAGTTGGTCCTGGCTCCTGGTAATTAATTTCAGCTAAAGGTTCCACCTTGCCGTAAAATACTTATCATGATACAGTGCTAAAAACAGATAGTATGTGTACAGATGCATTTGCTAAACCTGAATAACAATAACCACAACATCTTATATCCCACCCATCTGACTGGGTTACCCCAGCCCCTCAGACCAGCTTCCAATAAATTATAAAGGGACAAAACAAAACATCAAACATTAAAAACTTCCTGAAACAGGGCTGCCTTCAGATGCCTATGAAAAGTTGTATAATTGTTTAACTTTTGCCATCTGATGGGAGGGCATTCCACAGGGCAGGCGCCACTACTGGAAAGGCCCTCTGCCTAGTTCCTTGAAACTTTGCTTCTGGGAATTATAGGGACAGAGCTACTTAAATTGTATAGAAATTTATTTATGTATGCTACTACAGCAGCAAGAATGCTACTTGCCCAAAAGTATAAAGAAGCAGAAGTTCCAGCAAAGGAAGAATGGATACAAAAACTTATGGAATATGCAGAAATGGCGAAACTTAAGAAATCAAGATAACAAACTTTTTATAAAAGAATGGAAATGGTTTATTAAATGTTTACAGATACATTGCAAACAGATAAAAACATTGGCAGGATTATTGTAATAACCTGCGTTTCATAAGAGTATATATTTAAAGTAGATTATTAAATGAGCAAATTAAATGAATTTGGATATGCAGAAGGTATTAAAAAATAAATTTAAGGAGCCACAGAGGAGGAAGTCAAACTCTGAAATGTTAAATTGATTGTAAAACTAATGAAATGTATAAACTTGAAAAGTATAAATAAAAACTTTAAAAAACAACAACTTTGCTTCTCACAATGAAGGAACTGCTAGAAGGCCCTCAGAGCTGGACCTCAGTGTCTGGACTGAATGATAGGAATGGAGATATTCATTCAGGTATCCATAAACAACTTAAGCCCAGCACCGGAGATGGGAAACCCTGTGGCTGCAGCACTTACATAATACGTGCACATTGACAGGGCTGTTTGGGAGTTGTGGGTCTGACAGCATCTGAAGGCAGGCTCCCCATCCCTGTCCCACATTATTAAGCAACTGCACCCTCTCCATTGCTGATGCCTGTTTAAGCATCCCCATCCTTATTTTTCTGCCCCCCGTCTCCAAAAATAACCAACTGGCTGGGTCTAGTCACCATTTTAATCTCCCACAATGCCCTTGGCACGTTCTCTCTGGGGCTGTGCCACACCCCTATGCAGTGCTTTTTTTCTGGGGGTACGCATAGCTCTAAACATTTTGGGAATCTAAGTTTGGCCTCATTGAGGGGCAGTATTTCAATATGAGTAGGAAAATGAGAGTACCCCTAAACATTTATTTATTTTTAGGGAAAAAAGCACTGCCCCTATGGAAAGGACACATCAAAGAGGGTATGCTCTATACTTCAACAGGCACAGACTCACCTCAGCTCCGCTGTATATCAGGCTTTCTTCCACAAATGTTGCTTCATATTTTCCGTTTTCAGCCCTGGCCCAAATTCTTCCCAGCCCCAAGTCCCTTTAGCAGACATCTTCTACAAAGTGTTGTGCGTCCTTCAGAGCATCCGAGTCTCCTTTTTCTCAGTCCAGGCTCCTCAGGAATAAGTCCCAAACACCGGGAACAGCCAGTTCCTCTCAGAGCTGCCTCAAGGAAGGCTTTCCATCAAAGAGATCCTCTGACACCATGCCCTTGGCAGGATTGAACCCAAAGCTCTTCCTAGACAACCATGTGGAGCAGCAAAGTCTGTTGACACCCCACTCTAACCACATTCAGTGAGGTTTGTGAAATAGCCTGAAGAACACACACACACCCGGGAAACAAGGAGAGCTTTTCTCAAGTCTCTGTAGAGACTCCTTATTTAGGCAGCACCCATCCTTTCCCCTCTGTCTCCACTAGGCTTCTTTCAGCTCCCTGGGGCATTTTATATACCCTCTTTGTCTCCCTCCCTTCAGCGTAAGGCACTGTAGCTGGATTCCTTCCCAGCCACCAGGCAAGCCAGTGGAGAAGGCCCAACACTTCTTCCCTCGCAGGGGGAGTCTCCAGGCAATGTCCACATGTGGTCTTCTCAGGAGTTATTGCCTGGTTGGTGCAGACAGGAGTCAAGGGGCCAGGTGTGCCAGCACAGGAACCAGTGAGCCCTCATAGCCCATCGCAGGGGCATTGTGGGGGATTTGCACAGCAAGTAGGCCCAGTTTTCCCACACTGCTTAGAGCATGCTGTCAAAGCCAGTTGCCTCCACATGAGCCCACATGGGTGAGGGGGGCTAGCAAAGAGTGGTTGGGAAAATAATGATAAAATAGTGATCAGTGTATCAGAAAAATGCTATTACTTCCCCAAAGACTCTCAGCCTTTTAATGCCATTAAACCGTTCAGTTTTGCAGTGTATTTAAAGTCTCTTCACACGTCATTAGGACAGAATGTGTTTCATAAAAACAGCCTGGGGGGGGACGGACGACCCTTAAATACAGTTCAACATACTGTCCAGAGTGGTTTGAAATTATTTTATTATTGTTATTATTTTGATAACTGAACCTTTGAACAGATTACAAGTTCTCCTTTATCTCAGAAGCAAAAGGTGTGGAGACTTCTGAAATAGATAATTAATCTCCATTGCTATCTATAGTTTCATAGTTAACACTGTCTTGCTTGAAGTGTAAAAACACATTCACACTTTAGAAAATGGATGATTAACTAATCAAATGACAATATGAATGGTAGACAAACAGAGAAATGACTGCAAGCAGGAGCTATTTATGATCAGCCACATTTTGTGAAATGGAAAATATATTCTTTGTCATTGCACTGCACTTTTCAGACATCTCAGGCGGCTCCTAAAACTTTTTTTTTGTACATGTGTGTGTGCACCTTTGTGCATGTGCTAGGAAACTCATTCTGGCCCAATGCAGACCTAATTTGGGAAAGATCTCTCTTCAGCCATCTTTTCACAATTTAACAAACTACAGTACTGTACTACAATTCTCACAGTGCAATCCTATGCACAGTTACTTTCTGTTCAGTAGAGTTTGCTCCCTACTAAGTACTGTATATATATTTTTAAGGGACACGGGTGGCACTGTGGTCCAAACCTCTTGGGCCTCTTGCCAGTCGCAAGGTCAGCAGTTTGAATCTGTGTGACAGTGTGTGCTCTCGTTGCTCTGTCCCAGTTTCTGCCAACCTAGCAGTTTGAAAGCACACCAGTGCAATTAGATGAATAGGTACCACTGTGATAGGAAGGTAAACGGCATTTCTGTGCGCTCTGGCATTCGTCACGATCCTCCGTGCACCAGAAACGGTTTAGTCATGCTGGCCACATGACCCGGAAAGCAGTCTGTGGACAAACGCCTGCTACCTTGGCTTGAAAAGCAAAATGAGCACCGCACCCCATATTCACCTTTGACTGGACATAACCCTCCAGGGGTCCTTTACCTTTTACCATTTATTTTTAGGATTGCAGCCTTAACACTCTTTCACTCCTGTACCTTTAATAGAGAATTGAAAATGAAGGGACTCTTTACAGAGGGGTCACAATGACCTAACTAGTTTTTGTGAACAATGCAGGGTAAACCCGCCCAACCCCACCCCAATGCGAGAGCAAAACTGCTGGATAAAAGAAATCTCATGGGGCCAAAGCCACAGCACTGCGCCTTAAAACATGAAGTCATAATACAAGAGTGGGGCATGTTCTTCTGCATAACCCCCTAAATAATTGAGGCTATCCTCAGATATTGTGAACACAACCACATGGCTGTTAAGAATCTAAGGGAGCAGCAAAACCCAACCAGGCTGACCACTAAACTATAATATTATATTCGGGTCTGTGAAAAGTGTTACGTTATGAAAGCATGTCAATATTTAGTAATTGCTGAGCTGATAGGTTTGGTGATAAAGCCTGCTTCAACGTTCACATTGGTCTATCTCCTTGACTATTAGTTGCTCTCCCTTCTATTAATGGAAATATTTATTAAAAGACTTGTGTGTGTATTAAAAGTATGGGTGTTTGGTTTTCCTTCCTTGCCTCACAAGGAACACTTCCAACAGCCACCTAGCCAACTGGTTTTAAGGGGCTCTCCAGGCGAGAATCTTGTCGCGGTGACGTCACTATCGCTTTATCCTCCGAAGCTCCTCCCATTAAGAAGTCGGTCTGAGGGAGGCCGGCATTCGCCCCGCCCCAATAGGTAGAACCCCGCCTTTTCCTTCGCTAGCCTTCCACGCGCACGCGCCCTCCCACGCCGTTCGTTCGCCTCCTTCTCTTCCGCTTCCTGCTCTCGCCCTCCCTCTCTTCGACGCGTGCGCCGTAGTGCCGTTAGGCTGACGGGTCGCGCGCTGGAGCTTCGAATTCCGCAGCCGGCGCATGCGCCGAGAGAGTGTGTGGCTTAGAAAAAACCCCCAAGGTTGAGGGACTATGACCATGTTGTTGCTGCCGCCGCGACTTCTGTAGCTACTGAGGTGCTTCCCTCCCCGCCCCTAAAGCAGGGAAGCTGGTACATGGAGTCTGCCCCTGGTGCAGCAGGTAGGGGCGGTTGCTACCCCCTCCTCTTGACGTGCCCGGGACATGAGAGTGCAAGGGGGTTAGGCTGAGGAACTGCCAGTCTAGACCCGTGAACTTGCTCTTCGGTTCACGTGTGAACCCTTGCTCACGGGTTTACCGCCGACTCAAGGGCTCCCAGCTCTCACGCGCTCTTAGTTCCCTTCGTTAATGAAATGGGTGTAGTTGTCTGACTTAGAAGATGATTGTTGAGATTCCTGCACTGCAAGGGGGTTGGACTAGATGGCCCCCTGGGGTCCCTTCCAACTCTACAGTTTTATGATGAGTGCCTCAGAAGGTTGTTCCACTTTAAATTTAGATGAATGAAGAACACTCAACATTACCGCTACAAAATAGCCTGGTAGTGGGGCATGTCATTTCAGGGGGCAAAACTTAATTTTTGCAAACTTCTTCAGTGAAGTGTCTTAAAAATATGGGGGAGGGGGTTGGGGGGGAATTGAAATCTGCTATTATTGTTTTTTGTGACCAAACAGTATTTAGCTTGGTAAATCTACATTTGGTGAAGAAGCACATAAACGGCTTTTGGAAAACCAAAGAACTTTAGCTTTACCTTCTGAAAATGTAAGGTAAGGTTAAATATTAATGTTAATATAAAATATAACTGCAAGAATTTTTAATGATTTATATGCAGTTTTACACACATTTTACTTACTAAGCAAAGCTAAATTATATTAATTTTACCAAAACATATTCTGAATTCCCAGTCATGATACAACTTTTAAGCCCTCCTCATTTTTTGGAATTTGAAAGTTGAAAAATTCAACATGTTTTACTGGTAAGGGCCTTCTTGGTAGTGGTATATTGGTTGTGGATTACGCTCCCCAGAAAGTTTTTTCTGTCTCCTACCTCATTCTCCTTCTGATGACGGACACAGAATTTTTGTTTTCCCAAGCTTTTTAGATACTATTTTAATCCTGCTATCTATTTTATACTGTTTTCACTATTTTATGGGTTTTGGCCTCTCTCACACATCCTGGTATTTATATTTTAACTGACTTAATCTTTTTCAAAACCACCTTGGGAATGTAATTGTAGTGTAGCATTAAAATAAGTATAATGCATAATAAGGTACGCTTAGTAGTAGTATCTTTTGTAATGCAGATAGTGGACTGAGGCTAGAGAAAGGGGCTTACCTAGGGAGTTCATGGCAAAGGTAATACTTCCTGATTGGTATAGCCCAGCTACGCTATACCAGTTCTCAGGTGTACTAGATTGTGTTGGTGCTAAAAGGGAACAGTGAACTTGTCACTATACTTCAGGACTAGCTTGATCCTCTTTGTGGTTTTTTCCCAAATTATTTCTTAGGATTCATGGGCACAATTTATTTGCTTACGATTCTTGCTTCTATGATACCACTACTGCTAGTTATAGTTTGTACAAAGATAGCATGTGGGCAAACACACCTGGGAACATAGGAAGTTGTATTTCAGTAGGGCCAGTTTGTCTGTCTTTTGCCTGTAGGTTTGTTTGTTTATGGCATTTATAAGTGATCCTGTAACAAGTTTTCAGGGTAGGGCTGCTTTTTGTATTGTTTCTTTGCATTTTCTCAACCATTTGCAACTGGTGTAGATAATCTTTAACTTGCATAACACCATAATCTTAACCTTTCCTATAGTTTCATAACTTAATGGTTTTGCTATGTAAACCAATTGAGCCATTTGTTCCTATGTAAATAGCTTCAGGAAGGCAATTTTAATCTTGACCATGGTGTTTGGGTTTGGATGGAAGTTAAACTCTCCTCATGCAGAGGTCTTGCCTACTGTACCTCACTCCAGATTCTATTTACTTTTTAAAAAAAAAAACACATTAATTGCATTCACAGAAAAAAGTTGCCTCTAGCTTTACTCTCAAATTGGCCTGTTAAAAATTGTGATGATTAGCCTAAATCTAAGGGACTGACAAACAAACTCCTATTGGGTTTGCCTTTTTTGGAAGTAATATATCCCAGGAGAAGGGCTGGATGTAGCAGACCTCACAACTGGTCATCAGGTTTTTCTTCACTCTTGAATCTCCAAAATATTTTATTAGCAGCTCTTACATCCCTATACAGTATGCCTCACATTTGCCAACTTTTCTGTGTTATTTGACTCCCTTTGTATTTCAGTTCTATCTCGGATTATTTTTGCTGATATGAGGAATCATCTTGTTTCTAACTTTGAGAATCTGGCTCAAAATGTATTGTACCCACTCTTGTCTAAAGCAGGATTTGATGGCTTCGAAACAATCAAGGCAGTTGACACCAAACTTAAATATGGTTAATACTACAGTATTTGAAACTGGTTTCAAAACACTGACTAATAGCAAACCCAGGCTGGCATTAACCATAGCTAAGATTAGTGCCCAGGGACACAGGTGGCGCTGTGGGTTAAACCACTGAGCCTAGGACTTGCCGATCAGAAGGTCGGCGGTTCGAATCCCTGCGACGGGGTGAGCTCCCGTTGCTCGGTCCCTGCTCCTGCCAACCTAGCAGTTCGAAAGCGCATCAAAAGTGCAAGTAGATAAATAGGTACCGCTCCGGCGGGAAGCTAAAAGGCGTTTCCGTGCGCTGCTCTGGTTCGCCAGAAGCGGCTTAGTCATGCTGGCCACATGACCTGGAAGCTGTACGCTGGCTCCCTCGGCCAATAAATCGAGATGAGCTCCACAACCCCAGAGTCGGTCACAACTGGACCTAATGGTCAGGGGTCCCTTTACCTTTACCTAAGATTAGTGCCCAGGTTTTAACCATGTTTAACATGGGTTGGGGAAATGACCACAGAAGAGGGGTGTCAATATAGTATGTAAGCCTGAGGCCTGCTTCTGGCTCCTTACACCAGCACCCTAGTTGAGAACCACCCTGAGATCTACAGGTATAAGTCAGTAAAGGTAAAGGGACCCCTGACTGTTAGGTCCAGTCACGGATGACTCTGGGGTTGCGGCACTCATCTTGCTTTACTGGCCAAGGGAGCCGGCGTACAGCTTCCAGGTCATGTGGCCAGCATGACTAAGCCGCTTCTGGCGAACCAGAGCAGTGCATGGAAACACCATTTCCCTTCCCGCTGGAGCGGTACCTATTTATCCACTTGCACTTTGACGTGCTTTCAAACTGCTAGGTTGGCAAGAGCAGGGACCGAGCAATGGGAGCTCAGCCCTTCGCAGGGATTCGAACCTTCTGATCGGCAAGCCCTAGCCTCTGTGATTTAGACCACAGTGCCACCCGCGTCCCATGTCAGTATACCAATATAATAAATAATAAAAAAAGCATAGACCGGGTTCATCAGCACTGGCTGTACTCCTTTCTATTCTTCTCATCCAGAATCCAGCTACATGTTTTATGTTCATCACTTAGCTCTCATGTTTATTTGTTTTGTTTTCCCCCTACTACAACAGTGTCATACTGGGGGGTGCAAACCTTCTCTCTCATGTTTTCACCTTTGCTAGAAAACACTCTTTTATTTTTTGAGGAGTTCTACATGCCCAGTTCTGTCAAGGCACATTCTCACCTGTGGTTGATGATGTGCTAATAAGTGTATGACTGATACATGGTTGCTGGAGATCTTCCTCTTGGGACCATTCTTTCCAGCAGCAATATGTGCTGAAAATGTTGTGCTTGGCTTTGGCAATGTTAAACTCCTTAAGTGACTGCCATTGCCACTTTACCTTCGCTGTCATGTATATCTATCTCTGCTTGAGGTTACAATGAAAGTGATGACGGTGGTGTACTTATCATACAGAGAGAAAGACGCTTTGCATTTAAGAAAGTTGAGGAACTTGTACTTTGCAAGCCAAAACATGCAAGTCTGAAATTCCCTGTAATTTGCTTGGTCTTATGACTTTCACTAATGCTGCAGTCCTTGGCATACATACTTAGGAAATAGGTCCTGGTAGGCTCAATGTATCATTCCTCTTCTCCTGCTGGAATTTGTTCTAGCAATCTCAGGAGGTGCTGTTTGAAACCAAGAGGACCTTTTCCCAGCTTTGCCTGGCGTGTCCCTGCATCCTTTCCTTGATTATCAGGGCTTTGTCTCCTTATCTCAAGAGCGGCTAATTTGTGGCCCTCCCAGCCTTGCTGGTTTCCAACTCACATCATCCCTGGCCACTTGCATCATCCCTGGCAAGACCTGATAGGAGCTGGGAGTCCCAACAACACTTGGAAAGCCACAGATTCTCTTACCCTTGCTTTAATCCATATCTAGGTAGTGTCTTGATTTGGAAGGGGTAATGTAATGTGCCCTTGGTTTGGCAGCCTTTGAAGAGTGTTTTGAAATGGCTTTCTATAGAAGGCTGCAGCAGGAATTGTAGCTTGCGCAAGGCTGGAAAACGAGGAGTGGGGACAGGGAATGGAAGGGCATCCGCTAGCTAGAACGTGGGTAGGCAAACTAAGGCCCGGGGGCCGGATCTGGCCCAATCGCCTTCTAAATCTGGCCTGCGGACGGTCTGGGAATCAGCGTGTTTTTACACGAGTAGAATGTGTCCTTTTATTTAAAATGCATCTCTGTGTTATTTGTGGGGCATAGGAATTTGTTCATTTCCCCCCCAAAATATAGTCCAGTCCCCCACAAGGTCTGAGGGACAGTGGACTGGCCCCCTGCTGAAAAAGTTTGCTGACCCCTGCGCTAGAAAAAGGGAAGCTTCATAGCCAGACACTGGAGAGACCTGTCGGGAGTAAGCATGGACCAATGGTATCAAATAGCATGGGGAACAACCTTATTAGAAAAACTAACCAAACAAACTGAAATTAACACGGGGACAAATAGAAGAAGACACCTTCACCCCAATTTGGTTCCCCTTTATCATATATACAGCCCAACAAGACAACAAGAAGAATCCCCCGACAGCATACGAATCAATCTGTCTAACCTGATTCAAAAATACACACTCATACCCCACTCACACACAAAAACAATTCTCACTACAGCCAACCAAAGACAACCAACCACACCCTAAGCCACACTCCACCTCTTTCACCACCAAGGAAATACAACAAGTGAATAGTAAGAGAACCCATACAAGTAACACTGACACAACCCTTCACACACGCTAAGTAGAATAATAGAAGCATAACCATCCCTCGCCACCCTACCTGCCACTCCGTCCTTCACCTCTTCCTCTTTCTTTCTTTCTTTCTTTCTTTCTTTCTTTCTTCTTCCTCCTCCTAATCATTTAAACCAAATCATAAACCAAGAACTCATACATTGACCACTAATAATGAAACTTATGTTGTAGATATTTTCCCACATTTATTATGCTATTTTGTGATATACAGATGATATGAGAAAACTTGGTATACTTATTTGTATAACATCATTCTTGTTTATAAAACCCAATTAAAACAGCAAAAAAAGGGGGGGAGGCTGGCACATCAAACAGCAGTATTCCGCACTGCAACATTTTGTTGCGGATATAACTTGCATTTAATTGCTGTATTTACTGACTGAAGGTTCAACCACATAGAAAAATTGGCTTGATGTGGAAGGAGGGTAACTGTTCTAGATAAAGTTCCCTTTCCTCACACACCCCAGGCTCGCTGTATTGATTAGCATTAGAATATGATGGGGAAAGCTACCTTTGCTTCTCAAGCTTTTACCCGCCTATGACAAATCTGGACGTGCGTTTCCAGTTCACCCTCCAATTGATCGGTTCGGAAAGAAGTCAGAGGTTAAGTATAGTGTGCCACTCTAGGGCATATGATAGGATGCTGTGTAATTAAGGTGGTTAAACTTGGCCTTCTACATGCATGGCTCAGAGTGGATTTGTTTGGTGTGTGTGTTGTTGTTTTTTTAAAAAAAAACTTGGCAAAAGGCAAGAAGAGAATGCATGGCTATAAAATGTAGTTTCTGTGCAACAATATTTTCTCTGAAGCTCCTATAATTCCCAGGAGGCTGTCTGATCTGCCATCTCTCAGCAGTTAAGCTGACTATTCTGAGATGACTGTAGATAAAATCAGATGAAACTACTTGCAGAAACAACTCTCCCCCTTCTCTACTGATTATATTGTTTTGTATCTGAATTAGTCAACATCTATAGCTACGCTCTCCCTCTGTTCATGTTTTTACTTTTATGTTTCCCCAAAATGTTACAGAATTGGTACAGAATCTGATCCCCAACCTACAAGAATATAAGCTTTGTGACTTTTTTTTCTTTTTAGCAAACATGCTTGTCAGTATTCTCATAATCCAGTACTGCTATATTGCAAGAACACATGAGCCCCAAAGCAAAATGTAAGATAACAGATTCAGCCAGTGAAAAAGGTGAAAATTGACTTCAAGGTGATGATAGAATAGTGAGAAGTTAAAGCTTTGAATTTTTTCCCCTGGTGTTGTCATCCTTACTCTCTCTCTTAATTTGAATTGATGCGAATCTAAGGTAGTACAATCTCAACATTTGAAACTTATGGAAAACACAAATGTATACAATTTTCTGGGCTATTTTTAGAAACGAACCTACATAAAAGCAGCTAAAGGAACTACTAAAGGAACCAATCCTGCGTATGTTTCAGTTGCTGGGAAATTTCCCTGAATTCAGTGGGGCTTACTCCCAGGAAACACTGCATAGGATTGTACCAAGCTGCATAGTGGTTAATAGAATGAGAATTTCACAGTTCTAATAAGCCACTCATATGTAGCAATCTCTGCCTCCCATTAACTTCTGGCCTGTTTTATCAGAATGCTGTTCGCAGGTTTTTCTTTGTCAAGGAGAAGAGCTAATGTCCCCTAATATGTAACCTTTTTTTCCAGGTACAACTGCTAAACCCTTTCTTCTTCTTTAGTTAATTTTTATTGAAAGTTTTCAATATAAAATACAATAAAAGTCAAGCTAGATAAAGAAAAGAGGAAACAAAAAAGAATTAAAGGCCCTTCATCACAATTATATCATATCCTTTATCCATACACAGAAAGGTAGACCCTCCCAGCTCCCACCTGGGAGCCTGTTTCTTCCTCCAGCCTCCCACCCTGGGAGACCCTTTCTACCCTGCCTCTCAAACAGGGACCACCATCTTCCAACTGTTACCTTCCTGTGGAACAAGGCATGAGTGCTAAATTCATGTTTGGAATGATTAATGGACCAGGTGAAGGTTGCTAAGCTGAAGCTCAGTCCTGAAAAGACAGTATTGATGGGTAGTTCATATGTTTTGGAAGTTGGTGTTCAACCTGCTCTGGCTGGGATTGCACTCCCTTTAAAGTAGGGGTGGCTAACCTGTGGCCCACCAGATGTTGCAGGACTGTACATCCACGTCATTCCTGCCCATTGGCCATGCTGGCTGGCACATGCTAGAGTCCAACAACATCTGGAACACCACTGGTCTTAAGGATCAGGCCTTCAGTCTTAAATGCTGACTGCTCCAACTCTGCCATTGGAGACTTCATGGCATACTGCACCTTTTACCAGGTTAAAGAAGTACACCAGCTGCAACCCCACCTAGGTAGAGATAGCCTGGCCACAGTCACCCATGGCTTGGTAACCTCCAAATTAGATTAGTACAGTGCATTATTACACCTTTGAATACGTTTCAGAAAATGTAGTGAGTTCAGCTTACTGCTGCCAACTGGGGTGGCCCCAAGGGAGCACACCATGTCACATTTGAAACAAGCTCACCAATCTGTCAATCAGTTTCTGTGCACAAACTGAAAATGCTTTAAAAACAATGCTTTGCCTGTGTCATGTTAGCTACAGCAGGGATGGGGAACCAGTGGTTCTCAATATGTTTGTGGACTACAACTCCCATCACCCCAGGCCAATGCATGTATAGTTTGAGGCTGATGGGAGTTGGAGTCCCAACTGCAGCTGGAAGGGTCATAGATTCACCACCCCTGAGCTAAAGTGATGGAAAGGTCTCATATTGTGAAGTTATCTGTTGTTCTTTATTCCTATAAAGATGAAAGTTATAATGCTGCTTTTTCTGTGTGCTTGGTTCATATTCCTAAAACCTGCTTATGAATATATTGCTATGAGCCAGTGTGGTCAACTAGTTATAGATTAGTGCAGGCACCCCCAAACTCAGCCTTCCAGATATTTTGGGACTACAACGCCCATCATCCCTGACCACTGATCCTGTTATTTAGGGATGATGGGAGTTGTAGTGCCAAAACATCTGGAGGGCCAAGTTTGCCTAAGCCTGGATTAGTGGAATGGGGCTATGGCGAATGGAATTCAGATCCTGGTCACTGAACAGTCTTGGACATGTTAGCCCTTCAGAGGATAAGATGGGAATGACCCTGGCATGTCAGATTCCTTAGGCATATTGTTTGCAAATACAGCAAATGAAGGTATTGGGTGGGAGTCAAATAAGTTGTTCTGTGCTTGGAATGAGATCCATTTACATGGCAGGACTTCCCCTTCTGCTCCCTGCACATACCACCGGATGCTGCCTAAACCATTTTGGGGTTTGCTCTCAGTCCTCCACAGCAGAAAATTATGTGGGAAGACATGCAGGAGAAGGAGAGGGTGGGAATTCTATTGTACAAGCAGACTTTATATGTTGAATTCCACCCATTGTCATCTCCAGTGTTACCTTGATATATTTGCCAGTGGAAACCCAGCCAGATGGGCGGAGTATAATAAATTATTATTAATTGTTGATAGTAGGATGTTATTATACATTGATACATGTGTTTTGTTTCAGAACTCTGGATGTATTAACATCCATTCTAAACAGCATTCTTGTTCTTTCAGTTCACCTGCGACTTGCCATCTAAACATAGAAATATTTTTGTTCTCTTGCAGAGGAGCCACAGCTCAGGCACGTAGAAAAGGATGTTTTGATTCCAAAAATGATGAGAGAGAAGGCCAGGGAACTATGTTCTGATAAAGTACAAGGTGAGAGTGAAATTCATCAAAATACGAAATCTAATCAGTTATGTGACCTGAATTTTATCATTTTCCAAGCTGTCATAGGAGCAGTGAACATAGGTGTGTGATTTTTATCTCTCTTCTTTATTGCATGCTCAGTACTATGCATTGTAGAATGCTGGGCTGAAATAATTTGCTGAAAAGAGTTTGCTGCAACGTGGGCACCATACTGAAGAAAGGAAGCATTCCGTACTTTTCTTTGGGAGAGATAAAGACAGGATCATAACAATGACTGCAACACAAAATAGATTAAAAGAAATTAGGCATGCTGTTGGGCTGAACCTAGTGGTAAACATCAATGACAAATATTTTCATTTAATTTGCGCTGAAGGGCCAGGATATTGTTCCCAGCTACCTTGATTGCCAGAAATCTGGAAATCTGTGGGCACGTGCGCTTGCTTGCAAAGTCCTAAACAGCTTAGGGTATACCCTTGTTTCTTCACCCCCACTGCCTTTCCTTTTAGTGTCTGTATAACAACACAATGGCATATTTGCAGAGAAGTGACATTATAATTTTTGAAGTTGTCAGATGCTTCAATTCACCTGGAATCACTAACCCAGTTCTATACTACAACTCTCATTGAGGCAAACACATAATGGTCAGGTACCTTAGAAGAAGCTGATTAGGGTTATCCAGTATTATGCCATCTAAAATTCAATTGGAGCGGTCTTGAGAATGCTGTTGTACGCTGCATTGCACCCGTGCATGTCGGGCCATGAAAGATCCTCCTTCACAGGCACTGATAATCTTCAGATTGAAAGTGGAGGAGATTCTAGTGTCTGTCGGGAATGTATCTCCCTTTGCAGAAAGCAAGCTGGAAGCTCTTTAAGAGCAGGAACCTGCTTATATTTTGCCTCTTTGAATTCTGTAAGGAGCCATATACACAGACAGTCCTGTATAAAATGATAATAACTGGCAGGGGTCTAAAATAATAAAGTCTGTATTTTTCTTTGTTGCCTGTAGTTAACACTGAGCTTTATACAAGTTAAATTTGATTTATAATAGTGCATGGCTTTTGAGGGAACGAGAAAATGGCATAAGACTCTCACCTCTGCATTCAGCTAAACTGCCAACGTGCAGAGCAACTCCCCATATGTTTTGGAATTGCAGGGGAAAGAGGTGTGATGTTGTGAAAATTGCAAAATAACCTAAGTCCTGTGAACAGGAGAAAAATAGAGAGGCTGAAAGCATTCACTCAGGGGAAGTAGGTCATATAACTGGGGGTAGTTCCTGTACTTCCAGACATTGTAGCTGTTACCTTGGGTATGCAGATCAGCATAAAGGACAATCAGTGATTTGAGACCTTAAAACTATTTCAAGTATTTATCATTGAAACTTTTGACACTTAAAGAACTTGGGAACATGATTCACTGTGGTGTTAGCGTATGAAGAATAGAAATAGCTCTGTACTATAATGCTTTTAATATGAGATGTAGCCAAATAAATTGTGTGTGCATTGGATAATTCATTTGATTTGTCAGAAGAAAAGCCAGTAACACACTTTTGAGAGTTGCACCATGTTTAACAGAAAGTAAAAGAACAATCATGCTTCTATTGAAATTACATATTCAAGACCCTGTTACAATTCATTGACTTTTTGGCTTAACATCTGTGGTGTGTTTTTTCAAGGTTGCCCAGACAAAGTAAGATTGTATTCTGTTGTTTAATGCACCATAAATATTGCCAGGTTAAGTACTTAAGGATAACTGAAAATAGAATCTGTGAAAGAATAACTAAAAGTAATTGTATATTTTTGGGTATGAAAATCTTAAATGCTTTGCTTGGTGATATTTATGGTGCATATAAGATTTTTCCTAAATACAGTGGTGCCCCGCAAGACGAATGCCTCGCAAAACGGAAAAACCGCTAGACGAAAGGGTTTTCCGTTTTGAAGTTGCTTCGCAGGACGAATTCCCCTATGGGCTTGCTTCGCAAGACGAAAATACCTTGCGAGTCTAGAGATTTTTTTTTTCGCTTTTCCCCCCCTTTATCTAATCTGCTAAGCCTTTAATAGCCTTTAATAGCCTTTTAGCAGCTAATCCCCTAAGCCTTTAAGCCTTTAATAGCCGCTAAACAGCTGATAGCGCTAATAGCGCTAATCCGTCAATGGGCTTGCTTCGCAAGACGAAAAAACCGCTAGACGAAGACTCTTGCGGAACGGATTAATTTCGTCTTGCGAGGCACCACTGTATTTAATTTTTATCCTGGTGTATGAATATCATGCTTAGCATACCATATGGAGTATAAATCCCAATTATACTAATCAGTGGGAGCTTAACCATTGACTTTGATAAGATAAAGTTTTCCAGAGGGGCAGCCATGTTTATTTATTAAATTTTTATATCACCCTAGCCTCTTGTAGCAAAAAACAACAGTTTTGTGGTACCTTAAAGACTATGGCATTTTCTGGTGGCATAAAATATTGGTAGGTGGCATAGAGAATGGTATTCTGGAGTTAGCCGCTGCCTTGTGGGGCATCTTTGGGAGAAGAAAAGGCTAAGGAGTAAGCCCTACAGCAATCCAGAGTGGAATCCCTAAAACAGTTGGATGGTATCTTGTATGCCTCCTTCCAGGAACTCCTACAGCCAAGCTGGTGCCAACTTTGCTTTCCTCTGCTCTGCTTTCCTTTGGACCATGCCAGTGAGGCCGAGAGGATGATATTGTCACCTGGGCCGCCCAGGACCTCCGTAGACACTGCCCAGGCTTGTGCCCTGAGGCGGGTCACTTCACGGCAGCTAGCACAGTGGTTTGACTTCACGCCTGTAGGTCTACTCCATTGTCTCTCAAGACAGATGGATGCCAGTCTCTCTGGGTGTGTGGGTGGGTGAGTGTATACACACATACTTTCTCTAGTCATCAAGACTTCATCCTAAAATTATTACCCCAATATGCTGCTGACATCATGAAGGGAACTTATCAGGAAAATATGTGTAGCTTTGAAGTAGGCTGCCTCCCTCTTCCCTGAAAAACCTGTTCCCTAACAGTTAGGTGACCCTTGGTAAATAATGTGTTGCCAAGGGGGAAGTTGGGCAGATATTGACCCTCTTTGTGTGAGTAAAAGAGCAACTTAAGATCCAAGCCATTGTATAGGTAAAGGTACCCCTGACCGTTAGGTCCAGTCACGGACGACTCTGGGGTTGTTCGCGCATCTTGCTCTATAGGCCGAGGGAGCCAGCGTACAGCTTCCGGATCATGTGGCCAGCATGACTAAGCCGCTTCTGGCGAACCAGAGCAGTGCACAGAAACGCCGTTTACCTTCCCACTCGAGTGGTACCTATTTATCTATTTGCACTTGACATGCTTTTGAACTGCTAGGTGGGCAGGAGCTGGAACTGAACAACAGGAGCTCACCCCGTCGCAGGGATTTGAACTGCCGACCTTCCGATCGGCAAGCCCTAGGTTCTGTGGTTTAGACCACAGCGCCACCCGTGTCCCTAAGTCATTGTATGTTCCATACCAAATACAGTGGGACCTCGGTTGTCGAACGTAATCCATTCCGGAAGACCGTTCGACTTCCAAAACATTTGACAACCAAGGCACAATGGGCGGTCAGTCAATTTCAATGGAGAAAATGGAGAAATGCGCCTCAGAAGCCATTCGACTTCCGAGGTGCGTTCAAAAACAGAAGCATTCACTTCCAGATTTTCTGTGTTTGGGTTCTGAATCTTTCGGCTTCTGAGATGCTCGAAAACCGAGGTTCCACTGTACTGGTTGGTTTCATGTGACAATAACATGAATGTATGTATGAATGCATGAATGTATGCTGTCTCTAACACTGATTTTGTGTTCATTGAAAAGTTACATTCTTATTCCCAGCTGCATTGCAATCTGTTAAGAAAGCTATGGAATATTGAATATAGGTGTTCATATAATTGTGATACATTGTTAAATCCACGGTATTCCAAGTTTGCACTTCCACATATGTTACTTGATTGTGTTGCCTAGGTGTGACTAAAACACAAACAAGGAGAACTCCCTTTCTGTATATTTTTATTAATCTGATTACTCTGCTGCAAACAGTCTTTTCATTTTCTCCCTTACATCAGAGTTTAAGTGCTTTTGAGTTACAAGCTCTATAATGTATTGAGCCAACTTTGTTTACAGGGTCTGTCTCAGATTTAGACTCTCGATTCAAGTATGTATAATTTGTACATTACCTATTTTCTTTTTAAACTAGCATTTCAGTGCAAGAACATTCACATTCCACTTAGAAACAATCCTTGGTGCACTCCGCACTAGTGAGTATGCAAACATGGTCTCACCTTTTCGTGTGCTAGGCTCACTTTCACTAAAGCCTGGATATCCAGGTTACAGCAATGATTTGTCACGTTTTCGATAAAGTGGGGAAATAGGCTTTTGTGTATCTCTGCACCTGATGACTCTTTGGAGACTTTCACATGTGCACAGTCTGCTGTGGCCTGCCTTCTGAAGGAGAGAGATCAGAACTCATTACGCCTGTCTTCAGTCCACTGGCTTCCTTTGCCATGCAGACTCTGTTGAAGGCACTGATGAAGACCTGTAAAGCCCAGCACCCCATCCTCCCGCCCTGTGATCAACCATGATGATCTTTAAGCCAGCCAGCACTATTATCTTAGATAGGGAGTGGATGGCGCTGTGGTCTAAACCACTGAGCCCCTTGGGCTTGCCGATTGGAAGGTTGGTGGTTCAAATCCGTGCCACGGGGTGAACTCCTATTGCTCTGTCCCAGTTTCTGCCAACCTAGCAGTTCAAAAGCATACCAGTGAAAGTAGATAAATAGGTACTGCTCCAGTGGGAAGGTAAATGGCATTTCTGTGTGCTCTGGCACTCATCATGGTCCTCCTTGCGCCAGTAGTGGTATAGTCATGCTGGGCACATGACCTGGAAAGCTGTCTGTGGACAAACACGGCTCTCTTAGCTTGAAAAGCAAGATGAGTGCCACACCTCATAGTCGCCTTTGACTGGATTCAACCATCCAGGGGTCATTTACCTTTTTTTACCTACATAGAACCATAGAGTTGGAAGGTACCACAAGGTTCATCTAGACTCCCAAGATAGGACTCAAACCTTTGACCCTGAGGTTAAAAGTGCCATGCTTTACTGACTGGCTTATTAAAAAATATATATTGGGGAAGCTTTAGGTTGTACTGATCCATATTATTTGTAGGCATTCATTCAGACCAGCCTTTGCTTAAATTAACTTGTAATATTTTCCATTTGATGGGGTAAATAAAATGAGAAGAGAGAGAGCAAATTAGGTGAGAGAAAAAAAATAAATCTTTTTTGCTTGGGCTTCCTGCTAACTAGAAAGTCTGGACAGTTAATCTAGGAAGACAGTTTTGAAATTGTGGTCACCTGATGTCTTCTGGAACAGTGTAAGAGAGCTCTGAATGCTAGGAACCATTTTACACACATGGTAAACAATGCTAATGTTGGACAGTCATTCCCTACGTTACCCAAAATGTACATTATTTTCTACTTGGGTTTTGTCCTCAATAATTGGTTATTGACATTTGGGGGGATGGGTTTAAAAGAAAATCATGATGGGATTCAAAAGGGGAGTTTATTTCTATTGTTCTTAGGTCTTTGTTGATGAAATGGCCACATTTTAATAAAAGCAAGTGTATTCTGAATATTTAAAGTGTGCAGTTGTGATAGTCATAGACCTATGGATTGCAGAATAACCCCATACTGTTTCAAATACTTGGCCAAGCCGAACAGCTATAATTAGGAAAGTATTCTGGCAAAGGCTGTTTCCAAATGCCACCATTCTTCCTCTCCCCAGGGACAGCATTGATACTTAGTAAAGTTGATGGGATGAAACACCACTTCAGGCTTTCCTAAAGTAGAGTAAGGCCAATGTCAACCATTGTTTTAGTAATACACACTTAATCAACAGTCCACTAGTAGCTGGGATCTTATCTGTCCCTCTAGGGGCCACCTGCACCAGAGCATGACCCTTGCACCTGACACATCAAGCTCCATAAAAGGAGAGCAATTCCAAATCCTTGGGCAGATGTTGGCACTGCCTGTTTAAATGCCCAAGGACACCTGGAAAAAAAACACTTTATAAATGTCTTGTGTTCTCTCATCAGAAACACAGATAAGGAAATGTGTGAAATACTTAGTAGCATCATGCTGGGATAGGTTTATGCCCATCACTTCTACTCTCTATTAATTAAAAAAAAAAAGGACCAGGTTCTATTAACTGAACATAATATATGTCGGAGGCTAAGGCAGAGGAAATGTCTTGGCACAAGTACATGGGGATCTAAAATGCCGTTAACACAGTTTGATGTGAGGACTTGAGGTGCTAAGAGAGCCAGAGTAATATAGTTTAGAGTGTCAGCTTGAGTTCAAATCCCCACTTAACCATGAGGGTCACTAGATAGTACTGGACCACTCACTATCTCTCAGCCTAGCCTACCTTGTATGGTCATTGTAGGGAAAGAATGGGAAGTGGAGAGCACCATGTAAAGGTAAAAGGTAAAGGGACCCCTGGACGGTTATGTCCAGTCAAAGGCGACTATGGGGTTGCGGTGCTCATCTTGCTTTCAGACCGAGGGAGCGGGCGTTTGTCCACAGATAGCTTTCTGGGTCATGTGGTCCGCATGACTACACCGCTACTGGTGCAATGGGACACCATGATGGAAACCAGAGTGCATGTAAACACCGTTTACCTTCCTGCTGCAGCGGTACCTATTTATCTACTTGCACTGTTGTGCTTTCGAATTGCTAGGTTGGCAGGAGCAGGGACAGAGCAACGGGAGCTCACCCCGTCGCAGGGATTCGAACTATCGACCTTCTGATTGGCAAGCCCAAGCGGCTCAGTGGTTTAGACCACAGTGCCACCCGCGTCCCTAGACCACCATGTATGCCATCTTGAGCTCCTTAGAAGGATATAAATTTAATTAATATTTTGAGAGCCTGAGATACTAGTGCATTAGCAAGCTGCTTTAAAAAAAACAACAACCCTGTAAATTCACTTCCACATTTACTATTACTTTGGTTTATCATTTCTTCAATATAGTAATGCCACAGTTTATCTGCATTTAACTGTGCCCATTCAGCTTCATGTGGTTGGCAATATAGTTTTAGAAAGGGAGCAGGTGTCCAGGGTAAAAATACATTGGCAATCCCATCTGCCATTGGACCCACTGTTCTTTAACTAGCATGTGATTTTGGCTTTAGATGCGATCCCCCAAATGTAACCCCCATGTAAGTTGCGGGCTTACTGCATTGCAAAATGCTCAACTGATTTTATTTTATTTTTTGAACCAAGCAATGTATTGTATGCTATTGCAGATTCCCTCTTAATTTTCGGAGTGTGCTTTAAATCAAGTACTAGTGGTGGCATCACTATTACTCTTTTGTTTCAGTCTAATTCTGTTTTTATAAAGTATGGGATTAAAGAGCGGAGATGAAAGTGAAAGGCAGTATTTTCCATAGTTTAGAAAGATGCACATGACTGGGCTGAGCCGAAGTGAGACTCAGGCTTGTGCTATTCACACACTTCATGAGTATCAGTTTTCCTGAATCTCATTTTGTTGTGTTTTCTTGTCTAGCGATCTTGGTTTGTCACAGACTCTGGTCAGTTTCAAAGCTAACCAATTTCAAGTCATAGTTTATGAAGCTGGCTTGTTAAACTGACAGCATGTTTGGCTATACACTAAATATTTCACATGTAGCTGTTTGAACTCCCTACCAGTAGAGTAGCTTCATGCTACATATCTTCATTTATCATTATATCATGCAATTCAGGGAGCATAGTGAAATAAACTTGTATAAACGCATCTCATCTTATGAGTAGACAATGGTATGTGCTAAAGCTTCAGTGTGCATTCTTCGATACGGTATTGTAATGTGTGAAGCATCCTAGAGAAACTGTGTGAAAACTACACTTCAGACAGAATTCCTTATGCTGTGGGTGATATCACCTTCTGCATTAAACAGTTATATGTCGCTACGGTTCATTTGGATATTTGCGTTCATTGATGGAGAAAACCTAGATACTCATAGGCCAGTATTAGGGATTCCTAGGAAAGTTGGTTGAAATGAAAGGTGTGGCTGAGCAGAGACTTTTCCTGTTTGGTTTTTCCATGTCATTTCAACCCAGCTGATCGCAAGAAATGGGTCAGGCAGCTAACATTAACACCGCAACTGCATGTATTTTTTTTCCTTAAAGGGAATGGAACAGCTTTTGCGAGGACAAAGAGAAATGAAATCACTTTCAGTGAAAGAAAGAGGCCTCATTATAGCCACCAACAGCAGTTATTGACAGCTACACTTCCTATTAACAAGGAGCATTTAAGAGTTTGGCTGTTGGATCTTTGGACTTGATCTAATTTGCTAGCATTAATTAGTTTCTTTTGAGCACAGACACTTGGTGCTCACAGCTATAGATTTAGATGACTAATTAGGACAGAAAATTGAACAGAATGGGGTAAGGCATTAACCTTCAACCATTACCAGCTGGGGCTCTTTTAAAGACGACAAAGTCCAAATGCTTCCTATTCATATAAGGAGTATCCTAATGAATATCAATTTCAGCCAGGTTGCCTTATTCCTATCAGCACTCTCTTAAATTTTATATTACCTTCAATAAAGTTTTAATTGCACCTCTCTCATTATCCAGATTTTTAGTGTAATGTCCAAAGAAGGCAAGCATGATGGCAGATTAACTTGTATCTCCTCAATTATCTCTCATTTTGGTTCTTTAAACAATTGACATTGGTCTAGGGCTTTAACCAAGACTTGAATAATTTGGGGTCAATATGCCATTACTATCTTAATCATTATAATGTAGGTAGTTAAGCCATCAAGTTAAAACACCGCCATTAACTGAGAGGTGTTTAATCCTGACACATTCCCTGAATATATTTGCATTAATATCCGCAGCAAGAACTCTGATACAACCAACTCCTGAGGCTTAAACAGTAGCTTGCTAATTAAGTACATCTTTATCATTAGCTATTCTAATGATATGCGAGCAGTGTGGTGATGTGTTAACATGAGTATCTAGGTTCAGGAGCAGGAATATTCTTTGGGCCCATAAACAACATGCATCCTATGCATGCTTACTTGAAAGTAAGTCTTCATTGAGTCCCATGGGTACATCATAAGATTGGTTTGTAAGAACTGACAGACTCCCATCCATAGAAGAACAATACTGTGTCCTTTAAGAGAGAAGGTATTGAAAAGCTTCTCAATTTCCCCAGTGAGACTTCTCAAAGAGCTTGTGTGTTTTAGATGACACTGATGCTGGTAGATTTTTCCACACTGAAGAAGGCTGGGGAAAAGTTCAAACTTTCTCTGTTTCTTATTCAGTAACATCTTTGGAAAATAGTTGCTGACATGTAAAACTGCTTTTCTGGGATGACTTCTGGAATATAATCTAGGCCGGTGGTAACCAAACTCAGCCCTCCAGCTGTTTTGGGACTACATTTCCCATCATCCCTGACCACTGGTCCTGTTAGCTAGGGATGGGGAGTTGTAGTCCCAAAATAGCTAGAGGGCCAAGTTTGGCCACCACTGATTTAGGCTGTTCCTTGTGTCCTGTGTATTGCTGCCATTATGATCTTTCTAGGAGATCAATGGGTTTTAGTCCTGGTGAGAAGGGAAGCAGGGTTTCAGTCAAGGTCAGAACTTCATAGATGCTCCATAGTGTTTCAGTGGATAGAGAAAAACTGGTGGCCAGGATCAGAGTGCTTTTAAAAGGGATGAAAATCTTTGCCTTTCAGATAATGGTCATCATGCTGAGATGACCACCATCACTGTGTCATCTAGGTTTTAGAGTTCAGTGTCACTGCTTCGTCTCTGGTTTTAAAATCCCCAAACATGTGCCACAGCTTGTAACCTTTATTTTTGACCCAACTATGTATTTTCCTCTGATTTCTCTTTACTTTCACTGATGTTGATTAATGCCTGTGGTTCTTGCACAAGACTTTACTGTTAAGGTGCTTGGGCTTTCAGTTGATGCTTAGGACAAAAATTGAGTTTCATACATAGAATTATATTTCTAAATCCATTAAGAATGTGATGCAAAGAGAGATAGCTCAATTTTTTAAAAAAACATTAAAATATTATAATAATAATTTGTTATTTATACCCTGCCCATCCCGGTTCAGAAAACCGGGCTCAGGGTGGCTAACAACAAATTTAAAACACTTAATTGTGATACAACAAAAAACAGCATAAAATACAGTATCAAAGTGTGAATAACAATAAATTCAAAGTTCTAAAATCAAAGTTCTAAATTTTGATTTAGGGGAAAATCCATCCAATAAACATTAGATGATCACTAGGGCTAGCTGGCTAAATTAGTCCTATTTGGGCCAGCAAGGAGGCCAGGGGAGAATTAGCTGTGGGATCCCAGAGTGGGTAATCTTCATAAAAGGGGAGGGGGAGGGAAGGAAGGGGAATAAAAGATCGGGATAAATTCAAATTGAAAGCTAGGCAGAATAGCTCTGTCTTACAGGCCCTGCAGAAGGAGGTTAAATCCTGCAGGGCCCTGGTCTCCTGGGACAGAGCATTCCACCAGGTCGGAGCCATCACTGAGAAGGCCCTGGCCCTGGTGGAGGATAATCTGACTTCCTTAGGGCCCGGGACCTCTAAGGGCTATACGTTGATTCAATAAATCAGCAGTGGCTCAGAAGAGCGGGGGGGGGGGGGCGTGCGGAGAAGCGTAAGGATTGAAGGCACTACTTTCAAAGGAAGGTGGATGAATGGGGGATATTGCTCCCGGAGCTCCTCCACATTCTCTCTACAATGTCTCATTTACATTGACTTCTTCCTGAGGCACCAAAATACTTCCAACAAATACTGACACAGAGATACTTTTCTGATGCTGCATTCAGGTTGCGCTCCTTCCTCCTTGGAGACCTCTTCCAAGCCATCTTTGGATGTTGAGAATCAAGTAATTATGCAGGGGTGCGAGAAGGAGAAAAAAAGCACACAACTTCACGTCCTCCCCATTTGGTCACTGTCTCTAAGTTGGAGGGCGACCTTCTGAAACACAGAGCTGCTTGTACTCCTGCAGGCCTTCTGTGGTTGTGGAACCCTGGAAAATCTACAGGTTGTCCAAAGTTCATTCTACCCAGAGTAAACCTATTGAAATAAATAGACATGACTAACTTGGGTCCATTAATTTCAGTGGGCTTGCTCTAAGTAAAGCTTGGTTGGCTACAACCCTAAGCATACTCATCACTTCGGTTGCTTTGTTGCATGATTACTTCACATAGTTTCTGAATGCCTGAAGAATCACTCCAATCTACTCTCTCCCTGCCCCTTAAAGTGTTCAAGGTGTGCAGTATCTGGCAGTGCTTTATTGCAAAACTTTGCACAACACAGTACCTTTTTTTTAGTCGAGTGATGATATTTATGGGCTAGCATAGCTATATTTGAGGATCTTATTAAATTATACTTTTGTCTTCTTTCCAGACAGCATGCAATAAATACTGTATTAGCTTTTTGTAGCTTTTAGATGCCCTCACTATTATGTGTAATAGGTTGTCTTTGTCGGTGTGTACTTGGCAGTGTGTAAACGCAATAGCTTTTAACAAATTGTCTGTAGGTAGGGGTGTGAATTGTGATTATGTGTGCTTGTCACTACACTCCTTCATATACTCTGTATCCGCACATGCAGATCCCAGCTCGCGTAGGATTCACTTTCATGACTTGTGCAGCACGGCACTGCAGTGTACAGTTGGTCTCTATACAGATGTCATAATCGAAATGTGGATGTTGTGGATGGAGTTAGCAGCATGATCACAATTCTCAACTCCCTAGTGAACAGTTGCCCAGAGCTACTGCTACAGAATCATAGAGTTGGAAGGGACCACGAGTATCATCTGGTCCAACACCCTTTCAGGCCTACCATGCTGAAAAGAAAATTCAGTGTGTGTAAACATGCTATGCTCCCTTTCCTCTTCACTCCATCTCTAGATTTTTCTGTTTTGACTTCTGCTGTGGAGAGATGAACGAATCCTTGCATTCACTCTTGTGCTTACTCACTAGTGGAGACGCAAATTCTCTTTTTCCAAAGATTGGAGGGTTCTGAACCTGGGGCTTTACATATGCAGAGCACATGCTCTTCCGCTGAGTTATAGCCAGTCTTTGTTGCTTACACTCTTTCAAAATATTTAGAAATTGTCTTAATAAACCATAAAATCTGATCAGAAAAAGCATTTGGAACATGGAGGCAGCATCTGCTGATTCCCCAGTCTCTCCCTTGTTCGTCCTCTCCCCGCCTCCCCAAATGTATCACTCGGTTACTTGTTTACACTAGTTAGTCTGTCATTGGTGGTGGTTTGAGGATTTTACTTGGTTTTGTTTCAGAGCAATTAATATTGCACTTCTAAGTGAGAATAGAAATATCTGCAAATACTGTGGCATATGTCACTTCGACACTCTAAAAATAATATAGCAGTGACATGTTGCTAGGATAGCTGCATATGAATGCGTATTGTTGATGAATGCTTGCAACAGTAATATGAAAATAAGAGAAAGGGGGGGCTTCTTTCTTCTGTTTTGGCAATGACATATGCTTTACAGTCAAGAAATCTGCTTTATAACTGCTACATATGCCTGACATTAAAGAAATCTGCAGAAGCTGCTTCAGTCCCGTCCCCCCCCCCTTGTTTCATTCTACATTGTGGACTAATGCAGTTATCTGTGTGTTTGTACATAAATAAATTTCACCAGGAAGGTCCTACTACGTTTTCTGTACATATGTGTAAATATTTATATAGAGTATAAATTATTAACACTGCCCTAAGGTTACTTTCACACTAGAAATAGGTTGTTTTTCTACTGTTGAATCTGATGCATCTTTTCGTGGAAATTATTTACTTTAGTGTTGGAAAACTGCTTCTGCTTTTGATCAAATGAGCTACCCATTTAAGTAATCCTCGTTTTGCATTCAAAGCTACCAGTCAATTGAATGGCTTTCCAACAAATGGTGTCAGTGGACCTAATAAAGGAACCATTATTTCTATCCAGTTGTCAACAGTTTAAGCAGCCCTCCTAACCCCACCTACCTGGGCGTAAGCCACATTGAATTTTAATTCTTTGCGGACGTTGGACTGTGCTATTAGACTATTTACCTTCAGAATTAAAAAGAATCACACTTTCTAAATTGCAAAATTCTAAGTTTTTTAACCAACAGCACCTTAAGATTGGATGAATTTGTACCAGGGTTCCATCTAGTTCAACCCTCTGCAATGCAGCAATCTCAAGTAAAGCATCCATGACAGATCGACATCCAACCTCTGCTTAGAAACCTCCAAGGAAGGAGAGCCCACCAGTTTGCAAGGGAGTCTGTTCCACTGTCCCAACAGCTCTTACTGTCAGAAAGTTCTTCCTCAGAATCTGCTTTCTTGTAACTTGAAGCCATTGGTTTTAGTCCTAGCCTCTAGTGCACGTATAGGAAACCTCCGGCCCACCAGATGTTTTGAGACTACAATTCCCATCATCCCTGACCACTGGTCCTGTTAGCTAGGGATGATGGGAATTGTAGTCTCAAAACATCTGAAGGGCCAGAGTTTGCCTATGCCTGCTCTAGTGTAAGAAAAACACTGGGGCCTCATTTGATTAGTAGAATTTTTGGTATCTGGTGGGCGGGGCTTGTGTGTTATGCCCCTCCCTTCAGTGTGTTCAGTTAAGAATGTCAGTTAAGAGGGACCAAGACTTGCCTCATGTTATTGCACTGAGTTTCATGTTCATTTAGTTTCTCTCATTACGTTATTTTGTTACAGTATTATTAAAGCGTAGTTTACATTTACGTGAGCCACTTATTTTTCCTCAAAGAAAAAGAAACTCTGCTGAAGAATGGTAGACTATCCTAAAGTTGGGTGAGTGAGGGAATATTCCCAGTTTGCCAGTAGTATTGATTTTGTTAATCATCCTTCCATCTAGAGCAGGAGAAAACAAGCTTGTTCCATCTTCCATGTGGCAGCCCTTTAGATATTTGAAGGTGGCTATCCTATCTCCTCTCAGGCTCCTCTTTTCCAGGCTAAACCAAACTCTTCCGACTGTTCCTCATAAGGCTTGGTTTCCAGACCCTTGATCATCTTGGTCACTCTCCACTGAACATGTTCCAGCTTGTCAATGTCCTTCTTAAATTGCGGCTCCCATAACTGGACATAGTATTTCAGGTGTGATTTGACCAAGGCAGAATAGAGTGGAACTGTTACTTCCCTGGATCTGGACACTACACTTTTGTTGATGCAGCCTAGCATAGCAGTAGTTTTTCTACATGTATTCTAATTCCTAATATTTAAAATGGTGCTAATCAGCTTCTTGTCAAATGGAAAATACTTCTATTTAGCCAGCTTTAGAACTGCATTTTTAGAACTAGATTTTGCTGAGCAACTGAAAAGGAAAAAATAGTCAGTAAATTGGCAGCACTTTTTGTCAGTCCATATGGCTTCCTGCCTAAATCAGCTGCTGCTCACTGACAAAGTAGGTTTCTTTATTGAAATCTATGGAGTGTCATGTAACTAAGCCCTTTACTTCATTTAATCGCTGTATGGTATTCTAAGGTTTGTTCCTTAAAAAAATGTTTTTAAAAAATATTTCCATGCATTTTTCAGTCTTAACATTATTACATTGGGCATTCCAGCACAGAATAAACGGAGTGTGTTTTGCAGTTAGTTGCACAGAAACTTCAGAGTCATTCCTTCATCACACTTTATTTGTCAGTTTATCCATCCCAATGATATCTGGAACGTCTACAATTGCTGCTGTTGACTCAGCTTTCTAATGGTGAACTAATATGGTCTTACCAGCAACAAAAAAATAGTTTGCAGTAATAACTTAATAGCCTGAAAGGCACATAGTGCAAAAGAAAAATGTCCTTTTTTAAAGTCTTGCTCCAGTTATTTGAAAAATACCACTTGTATTTAGCTTGCTAACATTTGCTTCCTTCTGTCATTTCCAACACCTAAAAATGTATTTTTAAAAAATAAAAATGGGAAGAGTGTTGGTTGCTTAATTTGTACTGTACAAATTAGGTGACTTTGAGGGAAATAGTCTGATCAATATACATATCTTCCACCATTTTCTGTAATGGAAGCTATTTCATAAATTCCATGCCAAAAAATAGTCACTTGTTTTGACTACTTCTCTTTCATTCCAACTCTTTTTTTCCTATTTTAAAATTGTTCAACCCCTAATGATTTTAGGCACTTGACTTCTCAAGCCTATACATGTCTACTCAGAAGTAAGTCCTATTGAGTTCATTTGGGCTTTCCCCCAGAAAAATACATGTAGACTTGAAAATAAAGCATTCCTGAAATTAAAGACATGGGGGGGGGTCTTTTTAAAATAATTAAGGAACTGATTGTTTAGGCCTACTCTGAAACTTAGTTGCCCTCTAGAGGTTTTCATATAGCAGTACAGTGGAACATATATTGTTCATTTGTCTTTTTTGAAAGAGAGAGAGAAAACCGTCACAGTTTAAGGAGGTAAGATTTATATAAAATAAAATGGACACACACTCATTTAGCTGTGTTAGGAGGTGTTCGTGGCATTTTATTTTGACAACCTGGAAATACTCTTGATTTTATCAATCTACATGCTAGTTTGGAAGTGCTGAAGTATTTACAATGTGCTCTTCACCTGATGGGCTCATGTGCACTTCATGTACATCTCAGATAGGCATCATTTCCATTATCTTTTTAATGCCTGTTGGAGCTTTTCCTTTTTTTTAGCAAGTGGAAAGATACATCCCAGACTGTATCTTCATTGGCCTAGAGATGGTGTTTAATATATGAAATTGTGCGGCTGTTTTTATTGTGCAGTTGCTTTCGGATATTTTATGGGAAGGGATTAATAAATGCGTTTTTATGCTTATTTCCTCATCTTTTTAAGTGTGATGCTTCATGAGCGTAGAAAAACATGTGGTTGAAGATTTCTTTTTAATCCCAGTACTGGTTTTGACCCAGAAATGGTTAAGGACTGCCTCTCTCCATATGAAGCCACCCAGACCCTGAGATCATCATTCTACATGTGCCTCCTCCACGAGAGCTCTGCAGGTGGCAATACAAGATCGGGCCTTTTCTGAAGTGGCTCCCCATTTGTGGAGTGGTTTCCCCAGAGAGGCTTGCCTGGTGCATTTGTTACATATCTTTAGGCACCAAGCAAAAACGTTCCTCTTCAACCAAGCCTTTGGCATCCGATGCCCTTTTAAATGTGTTGTGGGTTATTGGTTTGTTTTTGTTCTTATTGTGTATTTTGTGTTTTTTATATTGTAGTTTTATGTTGTGAACTGCCCTGAGGTCTGTGGATGAATGGCAGTATACAAATTTAATAAATAATAATAATAATAATAGGTGCAGAGCTTCTTCTGTTTCAACTAAATGGTAGAAGAGGTTCCGTCTTCTACCTTTTCCATTGAAAAGAAAGCTTTCTCTCATGAAAAGTACTAGGAGATGTTAATGAAACATGGAGTTATATGCCTCAGAGTGGTGGCTGTAGCATGAGTTTGGAATACAAAAGCCTCTGTACAGATAAACTAATTTAAAGGCATTGGTTAAATATAATCTGCTTTATCCCCATCTGGTGGTGAAAAGAGGTGTGTTCACCACCAAGCATCTCATGGGTTTTTCCCCCCTGCCTTGCATGCGGACACTAAGCCTTTTGAAGACCAATTTAGGCTGCAGCTAGAAGCCTTAGCGCTACAAACTGTCTCCGTTTTAGATTCTATATCACACCTGCTGTTGCCCAACTGTAGGGCACTTGATCCTACAGGATATGGGAAAACTGAGACTGAGGCTATGTTGCCGTGTTGGAGTTTGACACAGGTTAACGTAGCAATAAGCACTGATGGGAGATAGCTGTAGGGGAACTTTGTGTGTGTTCTAGTTCTGCCTCTTCCAGACCCTGGTGCTATGATGCTTGATGTCAAGAATTCTTACTATGGAAACAGGAAACTAATCTACTGGTGCTCTTGAAAGGGACCAGCCTAATAGGTGAAAAAGGTATGTTTGTCACAAAATATAGACCTCTTTCTTGACAAAGCCTGCTTCATTTTTACAGGTGTTGGGACGTGAGGAAGGAAAAGTCTATAAAATGAGTATTTTTGGAGAATGATATCCCCAGTGGGCTTGTTTAGCCTACTAAAAAGGAGGGCACGAGGGAAGAGGGCATGTTCACACATTCTCTAAAAACATTGGAGGGCTAAATGCATTGGAATGTGGCAACTTTGTTTATGTTAGTAATTTTGAAGAGGCCACTTGTAGTCAGTTCTTAGCTGACGCAAGGATTAAATGAGGGTATTTTTCCTCAGCACTTAGCCACAGGCACTAGACTAAACCAGCTCCCATAGGTCTAATATTGTGGTGCCAAAAAACAGTTGGTTTTAAGATACAGCTGGGGACATTTTCTGAGGGCTTCCAGTATCTTTCAAACTGTGTTGTGGTCCCTTTGGTTGTCAGAAATGTCTCCAACTTCCAGTGTGTGGGACAGAGGTGGCCACAAGACAAATACAGTCGTACCTTGGAAGTCAAATGGAATCTGTTCCGGAAGTCCATTCGACTTCCAAAACATTTGGACACCAATGTGCGGCTTCTGATTGGCTGCAGGAAGTTTCTGCAGCCAATCGGAAGCCGGTGAAGCCCGTTGGACGTTGGGTTCCAAAAGAACGTTTGCAAACCGCAACAATCACTTCCAGGTTTGCAGCATTCGGGAGCCAAAACGTTTGACTCACAAGGCATTTGAAAACCAATGTATGACTGTAGTCCAAAAGAACATTTTTTGTTCACATACACATTATACAGGTATTATAAGAGGCACAGCAAGAAACTAGCAGGGAGGGGACAGCTTGGCTGGGTTGTTGTTGTTTAGTCGTTTAGTCGTGTCCGACTCTTCGTGACCCCATGGACCAGAGCACGCCAGGCAGGTTAGGCAGGTGAATAATGTCTCCCTGTGAGAAGGCGTGATCCCTGCCTGCTTGAAGAGGAGGAAATGGTAAAACCACTCCTCAGAAAACCCTCCTGGGATTCGGAAAATTGTAAGTTAATTGCTAGCCAGTTGCCAAACTCCCCTTCTTGGGCAACATCCTTGAGTGGGTGGTTGCGGACCAGATCTTGGAGGAAACTGATTTTCCAGATCCATTTCAATCAGGATTTAGACCCAGTTAGGCACAGAAACTGCTTTGGTCACCCTGTATGGTGACCTCTATTGGGAGAGAAACAGGGAAAATGTGTCCTTGTTAATTCTTCTCAACTTCTCATTTCTTATCAGCAGGCCTTTTCTGCAGTGGCTCCCAGCTTGTACAGTGCTCTCCCCAGGGAGGCTTGCCTGACACCTTCATTGCATAACTTTAGGCACCAGGCAAAAACATTTCTCAGGCTAATTAAACCATCTATGGCCTTTTAAACTGGGGGAGGGTAATTGTTTTTGTTTGTTATTATGGTATGTATTTTAGGGTTTTTATAATTCAGAATGCCCTGTGATCTTCAAATGAAGGGCGGTATAGAAATTTAATAAATATTGCTCATTATTTTGCTACGTCTTTCTCCAATCGGTCTCTGCTCCTGCTGCCTTTTGCTTGCTGTTGTGTGCTCTGAATCCACAGCACAGTATCATGTTATACTTTTCCGTTTCTTCAACGAGGGTTGCGGTTGTAAATGATTATCTCAAGCATTCAGATTGATCTCCATTATATTTTTAGTTTCAGAGTTGCTGTTGCTCATTAACCTGGATTAGACCTGCAGACGTGCCCCTTGGAGAAGGATACTTGGTGCTGTCAGATGCTTGACAGCGCCAGTCACCTGCACACAATTAATCTACGGTCCCTGGGTCTGTGATCTCATATTTCAGTTGAAATTTCTCCTTGAGTCAATTTTGCTTTCCCTGCAATCTTTCCATAAGCGTTTTGCTTGTCCCTGTGTCTGACTCTTCTTTAGGGCCTACCCAAGAAGCACCCCAAACAATTCATATCTAACTGAATGGGCTAGTCTCGATTTGAAGCGGGAAGGAGAAATGGACTCTTTGCTGCCTGCTGTTCACTTTTCTGAGATCAGTGTGCAGGCTTTGTGTGTAAATGAGGAAGGGGCTTGAAGCTAGTGAGAGATGACTAGCAAATGCAGTTCCGTTAGAAGATAAAATGGTGTGAAATGCCAGGAGTCTGCTTTTTCTGATGCATTTTGCATTGAAAAGAGAGCAGGAAACCCGTAGCTGGGGGCCACCTTTTAGTAGGATCCCCTCCATCCCCTTAGTCCTCTAAGAAGTGTTGCATGGTGTAGGAGCTTACCTGAATTTGCTAATGTCATACCTGCATAAAGGGACTGTCCTGGCTTTATCAGGGCACTCCTGTGAAATGGACTGGAAAAGCTGTGTTTTTACCATTGCAGTTGAATCTAGCTAACTTTTCTGTCAACAAATTGGGATTAATGCTCAATAAGCAGGTCTTCTGAAAATGCGCCACCCCCAAAGATCTGCAGAGAAAGGACACAGACTCACTTAGTCTTTGTTTTTGCAGATAGTTCTGTGTCAAAGGCTTGTTGCTTCCTGGGTATTGCTTTTGTTTTCATTATTACTTTTTCATTAATTTTACTACTGGCCTTTTGCCTTGCCAAGGCTGCTTTTAAAGTTCCAATTAAGTCCATTGCCCGGCACTCGTCTTTCTAGGCTGGGACTAAATTTAGTTCCCTTTCTGGGAAGGCAGATCGTCTCTGGTTTAGTGAACAACTTCTTGACTCTCCTCCAGGTCATTCTAAAAACAGTTTTGGAAACTGGAAAGGTCATTCTTGGGGAACTTGGTGTGTTCTGGGTGTCCTGCTACTTTAGCTCAACATGAACTGTCTCTCCCCTCAGAAATTGCTATGAATTTCATGAGGAGCATTTCATGAGCGCGACAAGATGCATTTGGCCAGGGCTGCTGCTTCCATATGGGTCACTTTTAGAACTACCCAGTTATTATTATTCTGTTGCAAGCTAGAATTGGAATTGACTTTCTATACTATTGAGAGTATTGCATTTTGCTATATATGCGCCTCACTGCATTCTGTCCACACCAGTGGGCATGACATAGCTGCTGTGACTTGGGCTAGTTGAATCTTAGCACACACAAAGAAGAATGGAAAACCAAGATGATGGACTATGCCGAATTGGCAAAAATGACCGTGAAGATCAGACACCAAGATGATAAGAAATTTAATAAAAAGTGGGGGAAATTTATAGAGTACCTTAAAGATCACTGTAGATACTTTAAAATGTTAGCAGGATTGTTACAGCACTTATAATGTAATAAGGTTAAATTTAAAAGTGGACATAAAACAATTTGAAAAATGTAATTAGATGCAGTAGAAAGACTAGACAAATATTGGAAACCGGGGGCGGGGGGGGCGGAGCCCAGGGATTCAAGTAATCCCGTATGTGTAAAAAATTGAAAATGATTTAAATGTAAACAACACAGTTAAAAAATGGAAAGATATCAAAAAAGAGAAAGAAACTTAGCACACATTCACTAAACGAACGCCCCATTTGTTTATTTTGAGTCTTCCTTTAATTATTACTACAACACTTTCATTAAAACAAAGAAGCCAGAAAAGATAGTGCTATAACAATATAATACTATAATAATTGATTCTGGTGCTGTAACACTATACTACCATAACACTTTGCTTGGCTTTTGTGGCAAAGCATCCGTGCAATAATTAAAATATTGTTTTTAAAACCAAAACAAAGTCACAAAATGGGGTGTTCACTGCAAATGTTATGTAATAATGAACATGTGCACTTCTGACAGTTCAAAAAGAAATTGAAGATTCGGAACCATCCCTTTTTCTAGTTCCCCTGTTGTTCTCTTTGTGTTGTTGTAACTCTGCTTGTATGTGTTAGCTGAAAGTCACTGAGGATGGTGTGCTTGTGAGTTTTCCCCAACCCCCAACCTTGCTGTGGTGAGGAATGAAGAGAACTGTAGTCCATAACATCTGGAGAACATCATCCTGGGTACTCCTGCCCTAGAGTGACTAGTACTGTGCCGTTTAATTTCAGCTGCTGCTCTAGTGCCGCAAGCTGGTACAGTGGTACCTTGGTTCTCAAACTTAATCCGTTCCGGAAGTCCGTTCCAAAACCAAGGTGCACTTTCCCATAGAAAGTAATGCAAAATAGATTAATCCGTTCCAGACCTTTAAAAACCCCTAAAACAGCAATTTAACATGAATTTTACTATCTAACAAGATCATTGATCCGTAAAATGAAAGCAATAAACAATGTACTGCAGTCACTCACTCACTCACTCAATCAATCAGTAGCTGAACTGGGTTCCACACAGTCACAAAAACAAAACAAAAAAGGCGCAAAACAAAAATGCAAAATAACTAACAAAAACAGACAGACCTCAGCGTAGCTCTCAAAACGGAAGTGTGACACTCAAAATGGAAGCATAACACTCAAAAAGGAGCATGTTTGGCTTCTGAAAAAAGTTCGCAAACCAGAACACCTACATCTGGGTTTGCATTGTTTGGGTTCCAAGTTGTTTGAGTACCAAGGTGTTTGAGAACCAAGGTACCACTGTATTTGCTGGAGTGGTAGCATATGTAGGATTGGTCTATAAGAGCCTATAGCTCAGAATACCCCAGTTTACCAGAAGGAAATAAAGTGTCTGCGTTGTGGAGTAAGGTTAGATTGCGGGGCTGGCGGAGGAAGAGACCTGTTAAATTTGAGCAGGATTTGATTTTTAGTAGGCTCTTGGTCTTTCTTTCTCCTGTTCTTCTAGAGTTTCCCACACGTGCCAATTTCTGAAATGGTTCTGTTAAGGAAGATGTGCTGAGTTTGTTGTAGGGACTTTGTTGGAGGTAGGGTGGAGGATCATTATTTAATATGGGATTATAAACATAGTACGGCAGGCATGAACGCGAAGGCAAATGGATGTTCAGATCTGACAAATGAGGTAAATTTTTAGAGAATAAGAGTTTATGCTATGTCAATCTTCTGCTTGCCCTATAATTACTTCTTTCCATCTCACCATATTCGGATTTAATCTTGTTTTTTTCTATATGTCCTTGCTTAAATTAGAATAATTCTTTAATCAGCTCTGTTATGCATGCCATAGTGGGCCAAGCTGGGAAAAGCCACTCCTGGCACACAGCGATGTGTATATTTTATTTGTTGCTATAATTTAAAAGTAAAATAAGAAATATTGATTTCTACTTGACTGGAGAGATGATTTAGTTTGAATATCAGTCTGATCTTAATCAGGTGAGAATTAATTGAGTTGGAGGTATTAGATATTCAGTGATGTTAACCGAACCGTGATCAATCTACAGAGAAGCCGCCTTTTGTACTGTGTCAGAAATATCAAATAGCTCACACACGACAATTCAGAACAGTCTTTTCATGTTTGCTGTACCTTCTACTTGCCTCATTAAATGCACCCGTAAATCCATTCTTTGCACAATATGTAATCTTCAAAATAACAAGTTAATAAATCACAAAGTCAAAGACATAACTTTGTTTTTATTTTATTTTTTAAAAATCAGCATGTTTATAGCTTCAGCCATTAAGTATGAGCCTTTAGATGTCTTACAAAATACATGATTTCAAATACCCAATACTTTGTAGCACCTAATCACTCCAGATTCTCTCTCTCCACCCCCAAATTGAATCGTACAGCAAAAAAGAATGATGTGAATCTTAGGGGATATGCTTTTTTTCTTTTTCTTTTTTTCTTTTTGGTTCAAAAGGGGGGGCTAACTTTAAGCTTGTTCTGGTACATGGTAGATTTTCTTATTTTAAGAGTGTGATAGCAATATCATAAGTGTTGAAGAAAATATAAATGGTGAGGTAACACCTCCATAGGACCAGCTCTTAAGTAGTAAAATTGTAAACCCTTTATATATAAACCACAGAGGCAGGTCCTAAGATCGCCAGTGTTACTTTGACAGTGGTTTACTTGCTAAGTGTATAGGGGAGAATGACAATTAAATAATAAATCTGAGTGAGACACTTTCTTATTACATTATGAAGGCGCCCAAAAGGTTTTAAAGCAAAGATTATGGGACAATGCACACAGCGACTTGTGATCTCGATCACACGCAGTCTGTAGTCCGCTGGCAGCAGGAGTTCAATATGGGTATGTCTTTGAGTTAACATCTTACATCAAAAACCTGACAGTAGCTAACTATCGAAGGCTTTTCACTAAAGCCAGACTAAATGTCTTCCCCTCTGCAGTGCTGGATGGTAGGTTGAGAGGAGATCCCTACCAGGACAGACTTTGCTCATGTGCTCAAGACATCGATTCCATAAATCATATTTTGTATGCATTGTACGAAGTATGAGCAGGCCAGGGCTGAACTGATACTACCTCTGCTGGTGCCTTTCCCGGGAAAATCAGAGGCTCACTATGTCAGGTTCCTACTGGAAGACCGGACAAAAGCTAGAACGTTGGCAGTGGCAAAGTTTCTGTCGGTGGTTGCAAGAATAAATGAGCCCTATATTCTAAACAAAATGATTAATTAACCTGGAGGTAGGCTGTATGAACTGTGTATTGATTTGTAATGTTTTGTTGGGTCTCTGGACCGTAATAAAGATTGTTGTTGTTGTTGTTGTTGTTGTTGTTGTTGTTGTTATGAACATTTTAAAATTTGATATACTGTGTTTCTCTAGTGTGAACAGCAGCAAAACCTTTATTAGCAAAGTACCTGAGGATGGTACTAATCTCCATTTGTGTACTTCCATAGACTATTTGAACTTTCCCAAAATGAATTCATATCCTGGTTAGATCCAGGAAGACCGTTCTACAATGTTTCAGTTTATAAGTTGTTTGGTGTTCTTTTAAACTATACAGCCTCCCTTAGTAAAATAAATACATAAATAAATAAATACATAAATATTGCATAAGGGAATAGCAACACTGACCTACTTTACAAGGTTGGTGCAGGGATTGTCGGAGATGTTACATTTTGAATATTCTCAGAAGTGCTATATAAATGCTAGTTGGCGTTAAGTAATTTGACATGAGATTAGCATTAGTTTTCTTGTTTCAAAAACAGCTTAATGAAGTTAACACTTTGTTGTGAAAGTTCCTCACTTCCACAAAATTGACACACAAAAATAACCAACAGTGGGGTACCTTTTTGCATATTAAATATTATAGGACTTATCAATTTTAAAAGGCATGCACAACACCACTTTTTGAGCTTTCCTGGCCTGTGAATCTTACCTTCTTTAAATAAACAAAACACCATCCCATCTATAGTTGTGCACTGAACCTCCTTTTTGTAGAAACCTGAGTGCTATAAAGTGACTTTGTATGTGGGATGCTTGCCGGCAAAGATGCCTATTAACTTGATAGGTTTGGTCAAGCCACACACACCTGCTGAATTGGCTCAGTAGCTGTAAAACAGGGAACGCTACCCTTAGTGACTTACCTTTGCAGGGTGGATGGTTCTCTGTGAGGGCAAATAGTATAGCTCTGTTAAAGCACATTAATTGCTATATATATACACAGTGTCATCTTCAAATATCTAAAGGGCTGTCACATGGAAGATGGAGCAAGCCTGATTTCTCCTGCTGTGAAGGCTAGAACATGAACCAATGGCTTCAAGCTACAAGAAAGAAGAACTTTCTTATAGAAAGAACTATTCAGTGGTGTAACAGACTTTCATGAGAGTTAGTGGACTCTCCTTGGAGATATATATATTATTAACAAACCAATCAAATCACATTAATTCCAAATTACAAAGCCAAATTTTTAAAATTTTGTTGGGGGTACCCATGCTTCGAGCTCAGAAAGGGATCCAAACATCTCTCTTGCTGCTGCTTTAATATTCACAATTCTGTCCAAATAGTATTCACAGTTCTGTCCAATCTTCTCTTTATTGTTTTCCTCATCTTCTTGTTGTTATCATATATTCCTTTCTTTGCGACCTCTGATAGTCTCCACAAGCGTGTTAAAAACAAACGTACCTTGGAGATTTTTAAGCAGAGGTTGTCGTGTATGATCTAGTTAAGATCCTGTCATGCAGGGGGCTGCAATAGATGTCCCTTAGGGTCCCTATGATTCTATAATTTACTTCAGTAAGTGACTGACTAGTTGCCATGGAAGCTCAAAATGATTCAAACACTAGAATTAACCAAATTACTTGGTGGGGCAGGTATGTTGTTGTTTAGTCATGTCTGACTCTTCATGACCCCATGGACCAGAGCACGCCAGGCACTTCTGTCTTACACTGCCTCCCGCAGTTTGGTCAAACTCATGCTGGTAGCTTCAAGAACACTGTCCAACCATCTCGTCCTTTGTCGTCCCCTTCTCCTTTCCCAACATCAGGGTCTTTTCCAGGGAGTCTTCTCTTCTCATGAGCTGGCCAAAGTATTGGAGCCTCAGCTTCAGGATCTGCCCTTCCTGTGAGCACTCAGGGCTGATTTCCTTCAGAATGGATAGGTTTGATTTTCTTGCAGTCCGTGGGACTCTCAAGAGTCTCCTCCAGCACCATAATTCAAAAGCATCAATTCTTCGGCGATCAGCCTTCTTTATGGTCCAGCTCTCACTTCCATACATCCCTACTGGGCAGGTATATGTACATTCAAAACTAAAGATTCCTAGGCTCACATAATATAAGTGTTACAGTATTCAAATTTAATAAATAAGAACAAATAAATAAATAAATGATGTTAATAATATCTACATAAAAATAACACATGCATGTAGCTTTTTTTCTTCTGTTTTGCTACTACGCTTCTAAACATAGCTCTACACCCATGAAGGCTGGAAAAGCAAATTGTTTTGTTTTTTTAAATGAGAAGCAACATTTCCAAACCGATAAGCCACACAAACGTGCAGCCTTACAGAAGCTGCATGTTTTTCCACATCTGCTATATGGTAACTTAAAAAACAAAAATAAAACCACAGGAAGCTAAGTTTCATTATTTTGCTACAAACCTTGTGGGTTGTTGTTTCTTTAAGAGTAGGCTCAAAAATACAAACGATGGTTTATGGATTATTGGATAGCCTCGTCCCTCCTTTTCTTGCAGTGCGAGACTAGACTTGAAAGGCCAACTGTTCCTCACTCAGCATGCAGTATATGTCAGCAGATTGCCGCCTGATTGTGAAAAGGGTAGTGCCCTCCAGTTATTATCTCAATTGGTAGCTTGTGGAAAATACTGTGACAACATGGGGAACGCAATATTCATCTTTGGTCTGTCCTCCAAGTAGATGAGCCTTCTATTGACAACATGGGAAATAAGTAAAGCTGAACGGGGAGTAGGGGGTTGATTTCCCGGAACTTAATTTTAATATTTGGGAGTTGTATACACCTGGTTTTCTATTTGATTTATGAATCGATTTTATCCCACTCACCCAAAGTGGATTTCAATTATAGCTGTTCTGAATTTTCTGCACGGAGAAAAGAAGCTTCAAAATCAGTTAATAAAAGTGAGAGGTGCAGCGCTTTTGGACTTGAATCTAGTTAACATTTGTGTAGCTAGTCTGATGTAGCTTCTCTTCCCCCCCCCCCCCAGTATTTGCGGGATTTAAAAGGGTTTGGGATACAGAAGCCAGCAATTAAGCTGTGCAATACATTCGCATGGTAGGATTCTTATATCCCTGTGCCTGCTCTCCCTCCCCATTTCTTTTCCTTTTTAGTTAGCATTAACAACATTAAAACCATATAGCTGGAAGCAGTTTTATCACTTTGTAATGATGCTTCCTGTGTGCGTGGCCACGGCTGTGTGTAGCTCAGGCAGGGCTGCTCAGAAGCTGGGGTGTGCTCTCTGTAGCAGTTCAGTCTCCGTTCACTAGGACATCACACCTTTAACCAACTGAAGCTGGTGAGCTAACAAGTGAGAGGGACCTCCTGTTGTCTTCGGCTTTTATTTTATTTGGTGTGCATGTGGGTGTATTTTACTTCACAGCTTTCAGGGGGAATGATTGCAAAAGGAAGAAGAAAAGCTGGCCAGTGCCAGTGGGAAAGCAGAAATCCAATTGCTCTCTAGACCAAATGTTAAGCCCGAGAATCCCATCAACATTTTTTACAGCTTATTATATCCACTGTGTTTATATGAAATGAGAGAAACAGTGTATATCTAGGATACACGTTATATTTTAAGAGCCAGATGTGAAATGTCCCTGCGGCCGCTCCCAGTCACCAGTCTAGCTGCCGCGCTCTGGATTAGTTGTAGCTTCCGGGTCACCTTCAAAGGTAGCCCCACGTAGAGCGCATTGCAGTAATCCAAGCGGGAGATAACCAGAGCATGCACCACTCTGGCGAGGCAGTCCGCAGGCAGATAGGGTCTCAGCCTGCGTACCAGATGGAGCTGGTAAACAGCTGCCCTGGACACAGATTTGACCTGTGCCTCCATGGACAGCTGTGAGTCCAAAATGACTCCCAGGCTGCGCACCTGGTCCTTCAGGGGCACAGTTACCCCATTCAGGACCAGGGAATCCTCCACACCTGCCCGCCTCCTGTCCCCCAAAAACAGTACTTCTGTCTTGTCAGGATTCAACCTCAATCTGTTAGCCGCCATCCAACCTCCAACCGCCTCCAGGCACTCACACAGGACCTTCACTGCCTTCACTGGTTCTGATTTGAAAGAGAGGTAGAGCTGGGTATCATCTGCATACTGATGAACACCCAGCCCAAATCCCCTGATGATCTCTCCCAGCGGCTTCATGTAGATGTTGAAAAGCATGGGGGAGAGGACAGAACCCTGAGGCACCCCACAAGTGAGGGCCCAGGGGTCTGAACACTCATCCCCCCCACTACTTTCTGAACACGGCCCAGGAGGAAGGAGCGGAACCACTGTATAACAGTGCCCCCAGCTCCCAGCCCCCAAGACGGTCCAGAAGGATGTTATGGTCGATGGTATCAAACGCCGCTGAGAGATCCAGCAGAACTAGGAAACAGCTCTCACCTTTGTCCCTAGCCCGCCGGAGATCATCAACCAGTGCGACCAAGGCAGTTTCAGTCCCATGATGAGGCCTGAATCCCGACTGGAAGGGATCCAAATGGTCCGCTTCTTCCAGGCGTGCCTGGAGTTGTTCAGCAACCACTCGCTCAATCACCTTGCCCAAGAATGGAAGATTTGAGACTGGGCGATAGTTGGCTATCGTGGCCGCATCTAAAGATGGTTTTTAAGAAGCGGTTTAATAACCGCCTCTTTCAGCGGGTCTGGGAAGGCTCCTCACGGAGGGAAGCATTCACCACCCCACAAAGCCCATCGCCCAGTCCTTCCCGGCTAGCTTTTATAAGCCAGGATGGGCAAGGATCAAGGAGGCAAGTGGTTGGTTTCACTCGTCCAAGCAGCCTGTCCACATCCTCGGGGTAACAGATTGGAATTGATCCCACACAACTTGACTAGACAGGACTCTAGCACTCTCCCGCCCCGGCCCTGCTCCCACGGTGGAGTCTACCTCTTCTCGAATCTGAGCGACTTTATCTGCAAAAACTTTGCAAAGTCATTGCAGGAGATCATGTGGCCGCTACTGGGCCCTGATGGAGCAGGTGGTTCCGCTAAATTGCGAACCACCTGAAAGAGTCTCCTGCTGCTGTTTTCCGCAGATGCAATAGAGGCGGTGAAGAAAGTCTTCTTCGCCGTCGCTATCGCCACTTGGTAGGCTCGACATTGAGCTCTAACCCGTGTCCGGTCAGATTCAGAATGGGCTATCCGCCACCGGCGCTCTAGCCGTCTCAACGATTGTTTCATTGCTCTCAGATCCGTGGAAAACCACGGGGCTGTCCGGACTCCATGCAACCGGAGAGGGCGCTTGGAGCCAAACAGTCAATAGCCCTGGTTAACTCCACATTCCAGCGGGCCACCAGGGAATCAGCTGAAAGGCCATCAACATGGGATAAAACATCCCCTACCACTCTCTGGAAACCATTTGGATCCATTAATGGCGGGGCGGACCATCTGAATCGGTCCCGCCTCCCTGCAGAGGGGAAGGGTCACGGAGAAGTCCAGTTGCACCAGGAAGTGATCTGACCATGGCACTTCTTTGGTTTCGCTTTTACTTAATGTCAGATCACCAACATCCATAGAGGTGAACACCAGGTCTAAGGCATGCCCGTGGCTATGAGTTGGGCCAGACTTATTCAGGGACAGCCCCATGGAGGCCATGCTTTCCACGAAGTCCCGAGCGGCCCCTTGTAAGGTCGTGTCGGCATGGATGTTAAAGTCCCCTAGGACAACCAAACTAGGTGTCTCCAGGAGGACATCCGCCACGACCGAAGCAGCTCGGGCAGGGAATCCTTGGTGCAGCGGGGAGGTCGGTACACCAATAGGAATCCTGTACTGCCCCTATTGCCCAACTTCCAGAACATGCACTCAGAGAACTGGGTCTTTCCAATAGGACGCCTGGTGCAAACTAATGACTTCCTAAAAATCACTGCAACCCCCCCTCCCCGCCCACAAGGCCTGGGTTGCTGTGCGTAAGAGAAACCTGGTGGACAAGCAGCGGCAAGGACGGGCCCATCTGCTTCATCCAACCAGGTCTCTGTCACACAGCAGGGCTTCAACATTTTTAGATTACTAGATTCCTTGGTCTTGCTTTTGGTTTCTAGCACAGAACTTTGACATGTCTAAACACAGGATTGTCACCGAAGAAAATGCATTTTACTTTTGACAATGCAATCCCAAATCTGTTTACTCCAAAGTAAGACCTACTACATTGAATGGGGTTTACAACCAGCTAAAGCATATATAGCATAGCAGCCTGAGTTTATTAACTCATTCATTCATCAGTTGAATTTGCATATACATAAGAACAACAGTACTGTAGAAAAAAGCATCCTTAATTTCTTTTTTCGGATGACCTGCATATGATCGTAGCAGGCACGATCTTATTATGTAAGCCACTTAGAGATATTTTGATTAAGCAATATATAACATCTTAGAGGCATTTCTTATTGTAGGATGCCCCCCGCCGAATGATGTTGGACTACAACTCAATATTAATCCCTTACCATTGGTCATGCTGTCTGGGGCTAATGGAGGACTTGGGAGTTCAATGACATCTAAAGGTCCACAGGTTTCTGATCCCTGCCTTACTGTGTGTGAGAGAGAAATGTCCTGTAACTTGGTGCTTGCCATTATCAGTGTTTATGCAGACATGTAATTTTTAAAAATAGATCTTTTTAACCCAATGCCCAATTAAGCAGGTTAACAGTTTTCATTGATCAGAAGTGCTCTTATTTAAACTATCCCCTTAAACACCAGCGCTCTCATTTATATTCCGGATTCAACACTGATCAGAACTATTGCAAGCCCACTAGGAGACAGAATATGTTGGAGTTCCTTTTTCAGGAATTTCCTGGAGGATAAATAATAGCACTCTTGCCATCTGAGCACTTCTGGCTTCATAGATGATGCCAGGAGTGCTTTTTTGCACGCCAGAAGTCCTGGGTGACAACCATACGAGAGCTGGTCACCTTCTGGATTTTGCATATGGCAAAATACATGTGTGTGTTTATCACACGTCATGAGACACAATGGGCTTTCAGACACGGAGGTTGTATCTGCAAAAGAAAACAGGCTTGCGTGAAGTGGTCCATCGGAATCAGCAGTGCAAAATGCTAATCAAAGTCTAGCTGTGTTATCACACGGGCCCTGACTTGTTGAAAGCAGTATGAAAAGGAGAAGGGTTTCACCTCCTGAATTTGTTACAGAATAAATACTGTTTCATAAATAGTTTAGTAGTATTGAAGATCACTCCCAAGTATGAGCAGTGTTAATTTGTTACACAGTGCGAAGCGCGGGGGTGGGGGGGGGAGTCTAATTACAACCTTGTTGCTAAACAAGTGAGAAAGACCTTACAAAAAGCTCAAGGCAGCAGGCCAGGAGTGGCTAAGCTTGAAGATCAGAGCGGTCACCAAGTGAGAAAATACTTCTCGGCGAAGGCTTGTTTTATTCTCGACTAATACAATCAGGCATTATCAGTGACTTGGACAGCTTCCCAATGCAAATTTTAAAGGCTGGAATAATTTGATGCATTTGGAGAGTACCGATAAAACAGCCTTAAAAACACACACACACACACACACACACAGACCATCAGAACAGTGGGGCCCTTCGCTCCTCCCTTTGTGCTCCTGCACTTGTGGGCTTCCCATGGGCATCTGATTAGTCACTGTGAGACCAGGATGCTGGACCAGGTGGGCCATTGGTTTTATGCAGCCGGGCTCTTCTTACATCCGTATGTTTTCAGTGCACCAATGTGACGGCTGAGTTGCTAGTCATTCGAAGCTGAGCAGCGCCAGGGGTTGATCACCAGGCAGCCTTGAGACCTGCAGCTGCTGCTGGAAGATGAAATCCCTCATGAGCACAGTTTGGCTGCTTCCTTCCCTCAGCATGGAAAAGTGATATTATTTAGTGAGATTGTGTGGCAGGCAATATCTGGCTGAGCTTCCTGGGAAGAGTTAGAGTAACTTTGGAGTTTTCCCCATGTGCTCTAGTAAGGACATAAAGTTTTAAGGGGAGGGGAATAGGTAAAGAGCGGAAACCTTGTTTGGCAAGCTTAGGGTGATGGCAGGGTATTACAATACTGTGCACAGGGTTTTAAAATGTCCACAGCTAGCCCCTTTCAAGCCCCCTTCCACTACTATCCTAGCAGAAGCTAGCACTATCAAAAGGTCAAGCTGTGTGCATCTATAGCCTACACTGTGTTTATTATTCATCCAGACTAAGGAAGATTTTATACCAAACCCATTTGACATAAAACAGCTGGTTTATTGGGGCAATATGGACTGCTTTGTTTCAGCCACAGTATAAATGTTGCTTTTTGTTTTGTTTTGTTTTGTTTTCTTGAACTATTTTGGGACACGTAGGTTTAGTCCATTTTGTATGGAATATTACATCACTTTGTAATAGGAGCAAGTTCATTGTAACAGTTAAATTGATAAAACTCATGCTGCAAAGATGGAGAAGAGTAATTTACTAGCAAATGAAGGTGGGTGGGTGTTGTTGTTGTTTTAAACACTTCCACATGCTGTACTGTGGAACAGTCCTTGAGATTGCGCATTGGCAAAACTGCTTGTTTGAAAATTATCTAAATCTTCCTGCACATAAAGGGGTTGCCCATTGGGCAAAATGTTATGTAATATGTGTAGTAGTGAAGGAGGAGATGGTATTCAATTTTTTTCTTGAATAAACTGGGGATAGGCATTATCATCAGATTCTCCCTTCATCCCTCACCATTGGACATACCGACAAGGGCTGGTGGAAGTTGGACTTCCAACATCTGAAGTGTCACAGGTTTATCGCCTCTGATGTAAAACTTTATTCCTAAATCAAGCCAACATCCCTGTAGTCCAATACTGTCTCTAATACTGTGGCCCATCAATAGCGCAAAAACACTCTACAGTATTACCAGTATTGAAGAGGTACCATTGGAGCACTCTGCTTTAGTGCACAAAGCAGTTTTCAAACAAGTGACATTCCACATGTTCGGGGTGATAGTTGTGTGATAGACCTCTGTCATTTTTCAGAAACTTAAGTACATTACTGTGCCGAATGTGTACTTTGCTGCAGTGAAGTTGTACTAGACTACTGATCAAGAGCAAGGGTCACAACCTATTTACACTTGACACGTTATTCAGTATAACCCCTGTTGTCCCAAATTTTGTTTCAGCCTTCACCAAATGTTGCCAGGATTCAGGCATTCTGATGGTGGTAAAATGCAGAGAAGAAAATGCAGCCCTGAAAGAATGTGTCACTGGCTAGTAAGTACAATGCATGGAGATAAGTCCACACCAAGCAATAAATTAAAGGAAGAGTAATCTAATACCTCTTGCTATGTGTGTGTGTGTGTGTGTTTGAGTGAGCTAATTTAGAAGAGGACTAAAAATAAAGTGGTCTCTAAAAGCTGACAAGATAGATCATCTTAGTCTCAATAGGTAGTATATGATACAAAATCTAGATGTATCTATACTAGCATATCTTTTTTGCAACAAATGAGATGCAAGTACTCTTTTACATTAAGTGTCAGGTGTGCCAGCACAAAATGGCTGCCGTGGCAAACCAAAAAAAAAAAGTTACTCCATACTACTGAGTACTTAAAGAAAATATGCCCTGCGTATAACTTGTATGGGCTGTTACCCTTCTGGTTCACTTACTTGATAAAGCATCTGCCTAGGTTACATCATTGCATCTTCTGTCACATTAAAAAGCTTGAAGACCCAGTCCTATGATGAAAAGTTTAGGCTGGAGAAGAGATGATTAAGAGGTGATATGACAACCATTTTCAGATATTTGAAGGGATGCAACGTAGGATGCAAATGTACGTTGCTTCAGGGTGTAGGAACTGAACCAATGGGTTCACATTACAAGAAAGGGTTTTTTGACTAAACATTTGGAGGAACTTCCTGGCCGTGTGAGAACTGCCACTTACAAGAGTCAGAGAGACTTGCTTGGAAAGTGATGGAGCCTTCCTGCTGTAAGTTTCTAGTCAGTTTTAAGAACAAAGCAGCTATTGTGAAATGCAGCCTTCTGTTCTGAGGTTGCCTGTTTTGTTAAGGGGATGCAGGGTTAAATCCAATGTTGTGTGAGCCTTAGTTCCTAACAGCACCTTCATCTCCCCCCCCCCCCACTTACACATGCCTAACCCTCTGGGGAAGATTGAGGGTGTAATGGAGGGTTGCAAGGTGGAGAATCTGAAGTTCCATTTTGCAAGTGCAGAGACCCTAGAATTAACAAGGCAGTACTATTTTTTCTCTCGTACTCTTTTCATATGAGTTTGGACCATATATTGCATTCTACACCCCTCCCCCATCATTTGTAGCAAGATGAAAAGAGAAGGTCCAACTGCTAAGTATTAGAAAGGTGATTTACTCTCTCTCTCTCTCTCTCTCTCTCTCTCACACACACACACACACACACACACACACACACCCTTGCAGGCAATTCAACAAGAACTATCAATTTGTGGTTGTGGGGTGTAGGTATCAATGCAGTCTCCTACACACATTTCACACGTCTCTGCAACAGCAGGCTAATGAGTTGCCGTCTCTTAAAAATGAGCAAGAAGTAAACACCAGCTATGGTTGCACACTCACACAGAATACCCACCACAGAATCAGTATCGCTGTTGTTGCTTTCCCTGCACCATTTCCTACATGTATTTAAGTAGTTTAGTAACTAAAACCGAGTAGAGAAATTGTTAGACCTAACGAACGCACTTTGTCTGTCTTCTAGCTACAATGATCCATCGTTTTATGAAGAATGCAAGGCTGAATATTTGAAGCAAAGGGAAGAGTTCAGAGAAACAGGAAATCGTCGAAAGCAGCAGAGGCTTCCTACAAGCATGTAGTCAAAGTCTTAAATGTTTTGGCTGACACTTTAACTTTATATACCTTTGATATCATGGAATTGATCTTACAATCACTTTTCCCTAACCCAATCTTGCTGAAATAAATGGAGCTTCTATGCTTTCATATTGTAATACAGGAAGCCAGAAGGCATGATCCTCTGCTTAAAACCTCAAATGAAAAGTCTTCCAAGGAAGGTAAACTATTGCAGTTCAGTTATACACTTTTATTCACAGTAGAAGCAATTTTCCAGACAGCTTAAGCTAAACATATACTAATTTTTTTCAGGATACCGCATTTATTTTTCTAAAAGCTCTGATGTCATATGTAACATCAGGCATGAAGGCAGGTAGAAATGGCTGCAGAAAGCAGGATAAGCGGATGGGTGGAGAGTTGACTCTTCAGTTCTGCTTGGGAACTGGCTTGTGTGCCCAAATTCTGCACACCAGCTGATGCTGAAGTATACTGCAAGCCCTGCTCCAACTTACCAGGGATTCACAGAAGCTGTACTGATTTGTGTATACACCAAGCATGGCACTCTAATCCTCACTTCCTCTTGCAGTCTCTCCACCCTGGTTTTTATTCATAAGGCCATGAACTGTGAAGGAAAATAAAGTCAAGATACATTCAAATGTCCATTGAGGTTTTCCTCCATCTCTTCAGGGGAAGCCCCTTTAATTGAGATGAACTTACTAGCAGGGCAAAAAGGCACTGAGTGTCTTGTTTTGGAGTGCAAACAAGAAAGCAAGAGGATCAGCGTAAGCGGAGCAGCAGCCTCCACATGTTTGAATGCAACACCCATTGTTACCAGGGATTGGCCAGACTGGCTGGGGCTAAGTGGAGTTTGGAGTTCATCATCTATTTCTGATGTAAAGGAAAGGGGTGGGGGAATAAATTGTAGAAGTGCAGGATAGGAAAGAGTAAAAGTGCTGTTAACCAATGGCATGATACTGTAAACCTGACTGTCCAGAAAGGAAGTATTGCTATACTAAATACACATACTAAAAGGTTTGTTTTAACCTTCCACTTATTTTTATTCACCATATCCTAACTTAGTGTATTTGTTTCAGTTCAATTCTGTAATAATAATTGGATATGCAGCAAAGCATATTGTTGACCAAATCAAATTTAAAACAAAACTTTCCTAAGTTTTTTTTGTTATTTTTAAAAAAACATCCTGCAACTAACCCATTTGCAGAGGCATCTCTTTCAACACTTCTGGGAATTTCCAACTTTCACACCTACTTCCATATTGATCAGACCGGCTGGATTTGTGTACGAGGCAGCCTTTAGACTTTCTATGGTACCTCAAGGCAAAAAGCCAGAGCAGGAAGCCTTTGGTTTTTTAAAAAAGTAGAAAATGCTTAAAGGGGGCAGAGCCTTATTTGTCTAATTGAAGACCTTGCTAAAACAGCAATGCATGAATGCTTCACAAACTCACAAGTTCCGAAGTGATTTTAAACTCAAAAGTTTTGCTTGGGAAGGGAGGGAGAACTGTGAGAAGCAACTGAATGGCAAATTCAGATTACATTCTTCCCCTGCTAAAAGCTACTGGTTTCCCTCCTTAAATTAGCCCCATCTTTTTTATTGGTGTATCCCACAGCAGTGTAAAAAGCCATAGGAAGTTGCCCTTATGCTAAGCCAGGACACTTGTCCATCCACCCACTGTTATCTATGTTGAACAGCAGCAGATACCAAGGGGGGGGGGTGTGCCTTCCAGCTGTTAGTAGACTACAACTTCCATCAGCCTTAGCCAACATGGCGAACGGTCAAGAATGGATGGAATGTGCAGGCCAGAAACATTAAAGGGCACTGCAATGGCTTTCTGTGCTCCAGGGTTTCTTACAGGATCCTTCCCAACTTTATCTTCATAGCCTGGAGATTGAGTGTGGCATTTTCTGCATGCAAACCATACACTTTATACTATTGGGACTTCTGCAGGTTAAGACTCATGTAGCACAAATCATGTAAAATAGACTCAAGGATTCCTTGGTATGGTAACGCCTAGACTAGCGTGTCAGTGTATGGAATAGGAAGGTGAAAGAGAAAGAATAACCACTTCAATGAGTAGCTCACCTAAAGAAACTGAGCTGGTTAATGTTCCCACTACTTCATGGCACCTCATAAAACATACAAGTCTCCTCCCACTTAGGAATTCATTTACCTACACAATGTATTCATATGAATATTGCTATGTATAGTAAGGGAGCAATAAGCAGCCCAGGAAGAATAAAAATCTACGAAGAGATTGCTGAGGTGTAGAATTATGCACCAGATATTAAAGTTTCATTCATGCATCTTGCAGTTGTGGACATTTCTGAGGTACAAAAGCTACGTAGCAGTCAAAAAAATAATGACTACTTGCATCAATTTATAGAAAGCCATTTTCAAAGAAAAATAATTTATTTAAAAATAGGACCATTTCTCCAGTACATTGTTTAAAACGTTAACTGTGTCAGTGTGCTGGACAGTGATACTTATTCAAGTCCCTGTAACCCCAAGAAGCAGCCTTGAGAAACACATCGGAGCTCTGCAGCCACATGAGAAATGGCTTTTGCTGCTTTGTTATTACACAGGTAGTTGGTTCTATCAGCTAAAGTCTAGTGACTTGGATTTATTTTATGCATATTGGATTCTGTTCTATTACTCTTCAGGAGATTGTACTCCCTTGAGTCAGCTATGTTCATTGGTCAGAATAAATTCCAGCATCTGACACCATTTCCATTAATCACAGACAAGCCAGGTTATGTGAGCGAGATAAGAGTATCGGGTGAATGGTATGTACCTTATTTATGTATGCCATTCACTAACACAGTAGAAGTCATCCTTTCTCCCTCTTCTACAGATAAAACTCTCTCCAGTATGAGACAAAGAATAAATATTTAAACTGCAATGCAAGGAAGGGAAGACTTAGCCACGTTTCCTTTTACAGAAAATCACTGATATGCTTGCATTGCTCTGGCACACAGCACCCAGGCAAGTGATTTTTATTATTTAAGAACATGCATCTTAAGTGGGGTGAAGAACATTTTCTGTCTCCTTTGGGGTATCTGTCAGGGGCCACATGCCAAAAGCAGGCAGGGCCAGAGTCATTACTGGGTGTGGCTACACTTTTTCTCTCCACTCATCAAGCTACCAGGAAGGGACATTACGCTACCAGATGATATGAGCATCAGCAGAGGGCTTTTGGAATTGGGCCAAGGCTTGCAAGTTGCTCACCCCTGATCTCTTAGGTCCAATGCAGATTTTACTTTCCCCCAGTCGTGTTTCAAGTCCAAGTTGGGAAGGAAGGAGGAGGGTGGCATAATGCATTAATTTGTAACGGTTGAAATGATCAGATGAGATTCTGGCACAGAACTAGGGAAACTCAGAGCTGATCTCTCACTGTGTTCTCAGCCCTCACCAGCCCTTTCCAACATGAGAGAATCTTACTCCACTGCATATCAAAAGGCCAAGGAGGAAAAAGTATTGCTGGAAACCTGGACATTAAAAGGCTCTGAAACCATCCACTATTCTCTGCTCGAAAACAAATCAACATTGATTAATAGGTTTTGCTACAAAATCTTAATTTCAGCTAATCAGTAATATAGGGTAGGGACCAGGAGCTTAAGAATTATTTGACTGCCAATAGTTAGAATATTGAGTGACTATGTACATAATGTTTCTGACACTTCAATGCACCTTATGAATATAGGACATAAATTTTATCATAGATTAAATGCATTTATCATATTACAGTTCTTCCTGCTTAAGGCGCCTAGAGGTTTCTACATCAAAGCAGTCAGTGAACTTAGGAGTCATAAAGCAAAGTTTTTTGGTAACTGGCAGATAGGCACCCGAATGGTCACTGCATTTTGGCTAGGATCATACCAGAACACCACTATTTATGAAGGAAGTATTTGCCATTAAGTTTTTTTAAGATTTCTACTCCATTTCTACTACCTCAGATTCTTCACTGTAAGGCTAAAGATGACACACAGCTGAGACAGCAAATCTACTCATTGGGCTTACTGTTTTAGTCACAATCACTTCAATCATTTACCTGTTCTTCCCTGCGCACGCCACAGAGTAGGGAACAAAAACCAGACACTGTTTCAGAACTGGAGGTAAAACCTACATCACATTCTATTGTTTACCTGAGAGGCCTGAAGGAAGAGACAGTGTCAAAAAAGGAGAGGGGGGAAGGACATTCTCGAAGCTTGTAAAAATGTCTGAAGATACTGTATTTTAAGCAACATTCACACAATTAGCTGCAATGTACAGCTTTTGTTTTACTCGGAGGCTTAATACTCTAGAGTAATTTGCAGGAGTGCAATCCGAAGACCAACTCGTGTATTCTAGGCCTTACACCATACGCCATTTCTATTGATGTACATGGCCTGCTTTCAAAATTAGACAAGGGAAGAGTAAAATCCTGCTTGGATTACCACACTTTCACTCTCCTTCCCATTAGCTATTTTCCTCTTAGGTGTATGGGAGCCCATTCAGAGCTAAATCAAGTTCCACAGTTCTTAGCTCTTGTGCAGGCAGTTTTGGTTACAGTGATCCAAACTGTTTTCTGGAAAGTTTAAGTGAGACGCTCTGTTTTTCGTTTCCCAAAACACTGTCTCACTAGGTTTTGGAGGGCTTGGGAAGACCCAAGAATTATCTTCCAGAGAGCTCTTTCCGTACGAATTAGGTTCCTGAAACGGAGAGTCATGAACTGGGACAAGTCTCTCGTCAGTACACGAGGGGGAAGACACAACATTGCTGAAAGTGTGGTCGCTCGGCGGAAGTAGCCTCTTTTTGTACACAGCTCCAGAAGCAGCTAAATAAAGATCTGTGGTGTCCCTTTCAAGGTCTTCAATACACTGAACAGGAGCATGTGGTGGCACTGTGGAAATAGCAGAAAATACCTAATTAACACAAGAGACACTCAAAACTAACACAATTGTTATACTTTATTTCAGTAGACAAAAGCCAATTACTTATAATGCATCTCTTAACTTCTGTCCATTCATTTGGCTTTACTGCAACTCAATTCTTCAAGGACCTCAATACCCCAGTTTTAACTCGTTGAGAATTAAGTACATCACCTACATAGGGGAATAAATCCAATCTTCTCATTGAATGGGACTTCTGGAGGTGACAGAGTAAAGGAGACGGCAGCTTCTTGCTGTGGTTTCTTGAGGGCTGCTTGTTCCCCTCCAGGCTAGGTCTCATACGTCTTCCTGCTTAGTGAACACACTCGCCAGTTCAGCTATAAAAGAGTGTGTGCGCGTGAGGAAGAAATGCTAAAAAAGAGGGTGACAGGAGAAAAGCTCACCCTCTACTTTAACAGCCCAGCCTTCTGCTGCTCTCCTCGCATCTCCAATGTAAATCAGCAAAGGGGGAGGGGAGCCTTAAAGCAGCAGAGCATGGGATGTAGAGTCGGGGGTGGGTTTTGGTTCCATCCCTGTGGGTTAACAGTTAACACTCAACCCCTGCTTTATAGCTGAACCAGTGAGCCTGTGCCAATTAGCTGGTCCAAAGCTGCATGGAAATAGGCAACTGCTTTATGTTCTTGAGCAGGGATGACGAAGCTGTGCTCTGCAGATGCTGGACTCCCAATTTCCATCGCCACCCAAACAGGAAGGCCCATAGACCAGGGATGATGGGAGTTGTAGTCCAGCAAACAACCTAAGGGCATCTAGGGTGGAATTTAATGCTGTGCTCTTCCAAGTGGTCCACAAAGAACAATAACCCTTTCTCCTACTGTGCACTACTCTAGGGGTTCTGTCCCCACAAAAAAGTATAATTTGGGGAGGCACAGGGAGAAGAGAAGAAATCCCTGTGGAGCAAGTGGACCTCCTTGCACAGGGCTTCTCCTGACATGGCTGGTTAGGTGAATTTCATGCCTAAATTGTAGAAGTGCTTTCTGGGTCGAGGTTTAACTGTGTATAAAGCAGCCCTGAGGATTAATGAATTGTCCCAGTAAACAGCTAAGGAAAATGAGGCATGCATTTTCTTTTGGGGCGAGGGGGTCTGCCTCACCTGCTTTGGTTTGTTTTAAGAGAACACTATTTGTACAGGAATGCATTTGAAAAATGAAATGTCTGTTGGTGCTTTTTCCAATATGAAGTACTTGTGGTAAAAAAGGTCAAATACAACTAAACTTCACACCTCAGCCTCGTACAAATAAGCAACACTTGACCGAGGAAGAAAGCCACACGGGAAGAGAAAAAACACATTTTTTTTAAAAAAAAACCATCAGCAACACCTTTATGTGTTAAGTTGACCATTATGAGACGGAAGTCAAGAGAGAAAACGGAGGTTTCTGAGCTTCAACTGATGAGGTTTTGAGAAGAAGCAATAGGCAGCTGTACTCCAAAATGATGCAGCTTAGGTAAGCGACTTGCATTTCCAAGACCTCATCCTGCAAACTCTGACTTGCCTTTCTTGGTTGCAGATGGGGTCAGTTTCAGTTTTCTGAGCATTTCCGCTTGCACTTCCGTCACCAGATGCAGATTAGACATCTCCCGCTTCAACTCCCAGTACGCTTGCTGAATGTTTTCACTGAAACATTTTAGAAGTTACAACATTTCAGCTTTGCTGTATGTCTCAGTTCCTGTACTACTATGATCTACAGAAAGATGCTCTAAACCAAAAGAATTCTGGGGGGGGGGGGGGGGAGAGAGATCTCACAGCACTATTTCCATGTAAACAGTTGTAATCAAAATTATTCAACCCCCATTGCAAATCAGGTTTATTAACAAAATATACAGACTTTCAGCTGTTTTCAATGAGCAAATCAAACAAAAGCAACAGAAATTGCTCAACACCTATAATTTCTGTATATAGCAAGTTTTAACATCTAACAATCTAATGATTCTAGTTCCTGAAATGGCCAGGCTAGCTTCCTGGTGTGATAATGGCCCTCTAACTATGGGTCGTTAAGGTAACAAAGGAAGTGGCGCTGTGCCAGATGACAAATGAAGAGAGTCCCCCCTCCCTCAACATGCTGGTAGTTAGGAAAGACAAAGACCAGAGTTGGGGGGGGGGGTAAGCTAGGAGCTGAAGGAAGAAGCAGGTTGAAGCCTCTGAGAGGGAGATATGCCTGATTTCTGCTCACATCCAAGGCTATGACTATGGGTGAAGCAAGACCCACTTGGGGTGTTAATGCTGTGATATTGTCAATTGTAGGCTCAGGTTGTATATATGTGTAAACCATATACAGCGGTACCTTGGGTTAAGAACTTAATTCGTTCTGGAGGTCTGTTCTTAACCTGAAACTGTTCTTAACCTGAGGTACCACTTTAGCTAATGGGGCCTCCAGCTGCCGCCGCGCTACCTCTGCACAATTTCTGTTCTCATCCTGAAGCAAAGTTCTTAACCCGAGGTACTATTTCTGGGTTAGAGGAGTCTGTAACCTGAAGCGTATGTAACCCAAGGTACCACTGTATCATAAAGACGGGGGCGCAGGTGGCACTATGGACTAAACCACTGAGCCTCTTGGGCTTGCCAATCAAAAAGTTGGCAGTTCCAATCTGCACAACGGGGTGAGCTCCTGTTGCTCTGTCCCAGCTTCTGCCAACCTAGCAGTTTGAAAGCATGCCAGTGCAAGTAGATAAATAGGTACTGCTTTGGCGGCACTCTGGTTTTGGTCACGGTGTTCCACTGCGCCAGTAGCGGTTTAGTCATGCTGACCACATGACCAAGAAAGCTGTCTGTGGACAAATGCTGGCTCCCTCAGCCTGAAAAGCAAGACATTGCGCTGCAACCCCATAGTCGTATTTGACTGGACTTAACTGTCCAGGGGTCCTTTACCTATATCACAGAGACACCGTAGTCTCCGCAGTGCCTCATTCGAAAAGGAAACATGAACCCAGAGTAAGCACCTGGAACCCCTGGAATCTCATACTGCTTGGAGATTGGGGTGGTGTACAACAATAAAATACTCAGGTTTCGGACCAGAAACTATATAGGTCAGCAGGAGAGAGTCCTAGAGAAGGTGAGAGGTGAAAAATGTCATTTCTACCTGCCCACCTAAAAAAGAAAAGAAAAAAAAAGTCCAAACAACACACTGCTCCATTTCCAGGCTGGTTAAACAGAAGCACTCCTTTTGCAGGACAAGGATACATCCCAACAAGTAATTAACGGAATGATATTTAACCAAGTCATACTCAGAGTATGACTTAAATCCACTAATTTCAATGGATCTCCTCCAAGTATGACTAACATTGTATCACCTCCTAACTTTGAAGTGGTGTTTAGCATTACAAACCCCATGCAGAAAGAAAGCCTTATTCATAAATGGAAGAACACCTAGTTTCTGTGAAAAATGCAATTTGTAGCTTCTTGCAGAGTACTTACAAGCACAAGACGTTGCTCTTGTACAGACTATGACAGTCTGAACTCTAGATAAAACATTGCTCTGCTTCAGACTGCCCAGCACCCCCCCCCCAAAAAAAACAGTCTCCACAGAACAACTCAGTTGCTTCTAATATTACAAAAAGGCAAGAACTCTGTTTCCCATGTGGATCAGGTCACATATTTCTGTCAACATCCACAGAGTATTTGCATAAATATCCAGTCAACACGTCACTGGGAACTGCATCTGGCAGATGCCCCCTCACAACACTCTTTGGGTAAAGCGTTCCCCCATAAATATAGGAAACTGCTTTCATCAGTCTTTAGGAAGATAACGGATCGGCCACACTCAATGTGGACAGAGTTCTCGAGAAGCAGCATTTCAGGTAATTACAAGTACCTCCTTCAACCCAGAAATGATAGAACAGAAGTCAAGAAGCATGTAATAATAGGCAAATACACAAGTTTACAGTCAAGTAGAGACCACACTTAGTTGCAATGTTTGATGACCAGTTTAAGCAAACAGTGCACCCAACTTCTAGCTTAACTGCTAACCCTGTATTTCTTTGTTGAAGCAAGACTTGAAAAGCAGGATGCTGTCACACAAGGGAAACAGCTTGAATATTCTTTTCTCTCACTGATGGACTGGAGTTCCAACTGTGTGTATCAGTATCCCTTAAAACTCAATTACTGCACAGTTTTCAGTTAAGACACATTGACCAACGAAAACTATAACAATTAGGGCAGTTCTCTCCAAACTAGGAGCAGCATAATGAGTTCTGCTGCTGTGCTTTGTATGGGTGGATATATTATACCCCAGAATCCAAATCTCAACTGAAAAATGAAGGTGCAGAATTTTGGCTTGAGACTTGGGGGGGGGGGCGGACCCAGCATGAATCCTGACACCACAAACAAGCTGAAAGATATACAAAACTTTCTAGAGAGGTAATAAGGAGAGGTCAGGTGTTACATCCTGTATACACCAATATTTCTCAGTTGCACCAACAAACAGAAGCTCATAAGATGCAAGCTTTCTTATGTTGCTTTTCTTTAAAGCCATTGCAGTGTCATTCAGTGTTCCTCAGTTGTGCTTTAGTTGAGATATATTAATGTGCAGTATGGTTTTTTTTGCTTACGACTACCATCATTGTAATAAAAGCAATTATTAAGAATTTGCCACCACAAATTATATCACTCTAGTCAAAATAATTCCCGTTGGCAATGAAGTTGCCCAGCCCTATCTGCAGAAGTGCTTAGCTGCCGATAAGCAACAATTCGTATTCAAAGAATCTCTTGTGTCACTGACAAGTGACAAATATTTCACAAGAATATTAGGTAAGTGAATATTGACATTCATATTAAAGCAAAGGGTACTTGCTGAAAGAAACATTTCAAAGAACTTCCTCTAGGTGTGAAAAGAGCTGTGGACTTGTTTTCACAGTCGATGTGAATTACATAAAATAGTTGGATTTTTAACATAAAAGTCTGTATGTGCTAATTTACATACCAGGCTGTTACCAGAGTGATGCTTTAAAAAAACACAACA